CCATGACCTACACACAGGTCAGACAAGTGGGCTACAGGCCGTGAAACCATGACCTACCCACAGGTCAGACAGACAAGTGGGCTACAGGCCGTGAAACCATGACCTACCCACAGGTCAGACAAGTGGGCTACAGGCCGTGAAACCATGACCTACACACAGGTCAGACAGACAAGTAGGCTACAGGCCGTGAAACCATGACCTACCCACAGGTCAGACAAGTGGGCTACAAACCATGACCTACTCACAGGTCAGACAGACAAGTAGGCTACAGGCCGTGAAACCATGACCTACCCACAGGTCAGACAGACAAGTGGGCTACAGGCCGTGAAACCATGACCTACCCACAGGTCAGACAAGTGGGCTACAGCCCGTGAAACCATGACCTACCCACAGGCCAGACAGACAAGTGGGCTACAGGCCGTGAAACCATGACCTACCCACAGGTCAGACAAGTGGGCTACAGGCCGTGAAACCATGACCTACCCACAGGTCAGACAAGTGGGCTACAAACCATGACCTACTCACAGGTCAGACAGACAAGTAGGCTACAGGCCGTGAAACCATGACCTACACACAGGTCAGACAAGTGGGCTACAGGCCGTGAAACCATGACCTACCCACAGGTCAGACAAGTGGGCTACAGGCCGTGAAACCATGACCTACCCACAGGTCAGACAGACAAGTAGGCTACAGGCCGTGAAACCATGACCTACACACAGGTCAGACAAGTGGGCTACAGGCCGTGAAACCATGACCTACCCACAGGTCAGACAGACAAGTAGGCTACAGGCCGTGAAACCATGACCTACCCACAGGTCAGACAAGTGGGCTACAGGCCGTGAAACCATGACCTACCCACAGGTCAGACAAGTGGGCTACAGGCCGTGAAACCATGACCTACACACAGGTCAGACAGACAAGTGGGCTACAGGCCGTGAAACCATGACCTACACACAGGTCAGACAGACAAGTGGGCTACAGGCCGTGAAACCATGACCTACACACAGGTCAGACAGACAAGTGGGCTACAGGCCGTGAAACCATGACCTACACACAGGTCAGACAGACAAGTAGGCTACAGGCCGTGAAACCATGACCTACACACAGGTCAGACAGACAAATGGGCTACAGGCCGTGAAACCATGACCTACACACAGGTCAGACAGACAAGTGGGCTACAAACCATGACCTACGGTCAGACAGACAAGTGGGCTACAAGCCGTGAAACCATGACCTACCCACGGGTAGGAGATGGTTCGATGACCAGGCATGTGGGACAGTAAATTACAAGATATCGCTTGTTCTAAATAATTCTTACGGGGCGAAGGGGCATTTTAAATGTGTGTGCCCGATGTATCTGAGAAAAACAATTTGCATTAGAACAATGCAAGCTATGGCCTGAAATTCACAACTATATATCTTAGCCAACAACTCGATTTAGATTGAAAAGTTACCCGATACAAAGTTGCGGTGGGGTAACAAATCGATGTTACTGATTGAGTGAGCAGTTCGCAGACAATAAGAAGGGTGACGGGAGGAACTGATGCCAACAACTGTAGCTGTTACTCACCTGCTGTCTATGGGGTGTAAATTGCTGGGAGGGGGGGGGGGGGGAGTAATTACTACTCACGGTTTGCCAGGCGTGAACGTACGTGTAACAACCAACACAAAGTGTTGTCATCGACCGGCACCTACAGCACTTAACGATCTTTATCAAATTTGGCCTCTGTGTTTAGAGTCAGCGCTGGTCTGACGCTCATGTTCTACGCGACTCTAGGAGTCGATCTGACGCTAAAGTTCTGCAGGAGTCGGTCTGACGCTTATGTTCTACACGACTAAACGAGCCGGCCTGACGCTGATGTTCCACTCTAGACACGATGCACCTACAAGTATCTACGCATTCTCCAAGCAGTTTGTTGACAGGAAAAGTCGACAGGTTTAAATCAATGGGACTGGGATGACATTTCTTTGATGTGCTGGTTGGTAGATCAAGTATTCTTCAGTCGACTACCCTACATATGACGATTTCTTCAGTGCGACAAACCACCCGGTAGTACAATTGAACAATTCGTCGGTTTTGGATTACACAGTACATAAAAAGTATTCTTCAGTAATCGACAACATTGGTAGATATGACGATTTGTTCAGTGACAAACTACACGGTACAGGTGAACAATCTTAAGTAGCCGATTACCCAGTACACATTGATAAAGAAGTCTTCAGTAGACGACTCATCTATCTAGCACAGATGAAACTCTGGCTACGCCGTGACGTCAATAGATCTAGCTCCGCCTCCACCCAACATAATGTTTAACAATCATTTGTTGCTGTCTTTACCTCAAGTTAATGCCACACTAAAAAATCTGACGTCTATTTTCAACGAAAGTTTCAGACTCAGATATTTAAAGTTAAACCTGCTCAAGACTGAGATGTAAATATGTCTCATTCTCAATACAGTTTGAAACGATAGCATACAGGCAAGAAGCAATGTGAAGCTACAACAAGTAAAGTAAAACATGCTAATGTCACGGCTTAAGACGTGGCGCTAGATACAAAAACAGTTATTGTCACGTAACGACCAATGTAACCAGAAACTAACCGTTGGGCGTCTATTCAACCAACGCCGGAGTTAGCCGAGCTAATCCTTTAGACACCACTGACGCTTGATACAGCGCCTTGCTAGAGCCGAATCAACACAAGAACCTAGCGTTTTAGGTCGTTGGTTTTTTAAAAATCTGGACAATAAACTATATCAATCTTTGCCAACCACCTCGATGAATAATGTTTCACACAAATGATTTCACTTGAGATTAACAAGACGGGGCAAAGTTCGTGGGGGGGGGGTGTCCTTGATGGCACTTTTATGGTCTAGTACATAAATAATGTACATCAACATCATCTAGATCTTGTACACGTAGACATAAATAATGTACATCAACATCACCTAGATCTTGTACACGTAGACATAAATAATGTACATCAACATCACCTAGATCTTGTACACGGTAAACAGTAAAAAATGTGTGAAATGAAGCGTACGTGTTGTGAGCAGCTTTCATGACACATCAATTCATAGCGTGGGGCACACGCCGGGACCTCCATGGGTGGCGAGGGCCAGCCGGTCAGCCAATGGCCAGCCAGATAAGGGGAAATCAAGGCTCGGCCTGGTCATCTCAAGGGGCTTCAACCAAATGATTCGATGACTGACCACTGGCCGGCTCAAGTCCTGCCATTAGTACCTGAGTGGCACGACTCAGTCCGTGGGGATTTGTTTGTGGCGTGGGTTCAAGTCTGAGCGGAAATTATCAACGAATCCATCAGCGCAGTAAAAGTTCGATCACCTGGGACAAGGCAGATAAACGTGAATTGAACTGACACGATGCGGGTGTGATTAGGACACAAGGCACGTCTCACTGACACGTCTCTGTAACTGGGATTTTTTCATGCTGAAACACGGCACACACCAGAGAACCGTCCCACCCGGGCAACTTGTGATACATCCAACAAGTCGCGTCAACCCGTACGATCACAACAGTCTGACACACTGCCGACCAAAGGGAAGTGTATAAATCTCGTCTCTGACATGTACACATGGTGACACGCTTGTTTGCATGCATCTAACACATAAACACCAGTCTATGACATTTCAATAGGAGATTACTGATTTTATGGCGCCAGCTACATTCCCTGTCAATAGCAAATCTACAGCCTATTTATAACATAATGCGACCCTCTTATCCAGAAGAGCTATCAACAAAGTTATAAACATAAAAACCTACTATTTTTTTCTCTGTAGAGAAATGGCCGACTGTATATCATTCCCATTTTACGTCATTCTCACAAAAATATAAACTTTTAATCCAACAATTGTTGTCAATAAATCCTGTTAAAATATGGTATCTACAACAACAATTTAGGGTAGACTGAAGATTTTGTAGCCAAAAGATTTTGGTGAAGATGTGCTACCAGTTAGAAAACATTTTTAAATTTCTGAGTCTGAGCTAAGATATGTTGGTCCAGAGGCGTAGCGACCCTTCCCGGCGCCCGGGGACAAACTTTTCGATTTGCACGTCAAGATTTCGATTTGTACCCCCCCCCCCTCAAACTTTCGATTTGCACCCCCCTCAACCTTTCAATTTATTTTTCCAACCCATTTTGGCGCCCCCTAAGGTCGGCGCCCGGGGACATATGTCCCTCCCCCCCCCCCCCTACGCTACTGTGTTGGTCTATTGTATAGATTGGTTTGATCACCAAGCAGTCGATTGTAAATAACACAACCCAGCCGTTACAGTGATATTGTCTGTCCCTTCAACAGGACAATTTTTAAAAATATGTAAATAGGTCTGTACGCTCATCGCCTTGCAATTAGCGGCTTGTTACGTCTGCTCATAAACGTGTAGTTGTGTGTGCTCATAAACGTGTTGTTGGCGACTAGTTGTGCTCATACACGTGTAGTTGGCGGCTAGTTGTGTGTGCTCATAAACGTGTAGTTGGCGGCTAGTTGTGTGTGCTCATAAACGTGTAGTTGGCGGCTAGTTGTGTGTGCTCATAAACGTGTAGTTGATGGCTAGTTATGTGTGTTCATAAAAGTGTAGTTGATGGCTAGTTATGTGTGCTCATAAACGTGTAGTTGATGGCTAGTTATGTGTGCTCATAAACGTGTAGTTGGCGGCTAGTTGTGTGTGTTCATAAACGTGTAGTTGATGGCTAGTTGTGTGTGAAGCTAATATACATGTGGCAAACCAAACTCAATAGAATATACAAGCCCAGCTCTTCAATATAACAGCCAAGCCCCCTCCCTCAATGTACCAATCAAGCCCAGCTCTCCGATATAACAGCCAAGCCCCCTCCCTCAATGTACCAGTCAAGCCCAGGTCCCCAATATAACAGCCAAGACCATTTCCTCACTGCACAAATCAAGCCTAGCCCAAGTCTCGCTACTGTAGCTGGCAATGTTCGAGCCTTGAACAGATTGTTTACACCAGACAACAACAACTTACCTGTATGAAAAACTTTGCGCTCCTTAATGAGATTCCCTAAAGTCTCAAAGACCAGGTTCTCTGAAGGAACTGTCATATCCTTGTACCATTGGCTCAGCTTTTCCTGTATGACATCCAGTGTCGCCATGATCCTGCGCATGTTTAAATCCATGATGATGCTACATAGTGCATCAGGTAGGGGCATGAACTGTGTCTGGGGTATCACCTGCATCTGAATTCCGTTCACATCACCTACAAAATATAGAATTACTTTATAAACATTCCCCTTGCAGCATTACGTTTTCTAACAAAATCAAATCTAGGCAACAAAATTTGATACTTAATAAATCCAATTTTTCAAAGGCAGTTTCCAGGACCGACTCTTTATTCTTTAAAATCCGAACCAGATATATTGAATGTTATAAGATATATAATGTTCATAATAAACAAAAAAAAAGTTCAGCAACGACTCAAAGAGTTTTCATGAAATGTCAAAGGTGCTAAACGTCTAAGTTGTATTATCGTGAGCATCTGAAGACATACTTAGTGAGACTAAGGCCAATAACAAGGAATAAGAAAGAAGATTGACATAAAGGAGTGTATCCCTGTCGTGTTTATGGCTCTAGTGTCTTAAAATAGCAGAGTCAAATAATTGTTCTGTGGTTTTGACCTTTTATTTTAGTCTCTTCTTCACAACTAGTAACAACAACAAAACTTCTTGCAGTAACATTTTTTAAGGACGGTAAACAAGTGAGTGGACCAAACATGTCCAGCAAACGATTGCCAGATGTTGAAAACTGTGGATCAATCGGCTGGTTGTGGCGCAGGTTGTCGGGGTAATGAAGCCGTCTCCAGCAGCAACCCTATGGTGGTTCCCACACGTGCCAGCTCCAGCAGCAACCCTATGGTGGTTCCCACACGCGCCAGCAGCCCTTGAGGGGGCGGGGGTGTTACATACACACTTAGCAGGCCAGTGCTGAAAGCCTTGCGTCATTGGGTGTCATCGTCCTGGCAGAGCCGCGCGGCTTAAATGTCAACAGGCACCTACGGAAGTTGGGAGAGCTCTGTTGATAAACACTGGCAACACCGTGTTACGCAACGTCAAGGGTGTTTCACAACTGCTTGGAAAACTTGATTGGACAGTGTTCGTTCGGATTAAAATCAGGCACGTGACTAAAACAGAGGTTCCCGGTTCTACGAGTGGTTTGCCGTTGTATAATGGGGTGAGACGGTGCGCAACAAATGGTGTCTTGTAAATGAAATTACCTACAGTCTCTAATCAGACAGGTGATCTATTTCCTTGGGGCGTGGGAAACCACGTTGAATTTAAACACGATCAACGACGTTATTCGTATCACGACCAACGACGTTATTCGTATCACGACCAACGACGTTATTCGTATCACATTTTCCAACAGCACACTTATTTTCATTTGCAAAAATTAAACTACATTAAACTAATTTGATGTAATATTGGGTTAAATGGCAGCAGCAAGGAACTCAATCGCATATAATTTGTATTCTTCGTCTCTATGGGCGGTTGCCAATGATCTGAGCGCTTGTTTGGTGTACATTTCGGAATGCTGCTCAACAAATGTAACGAACAAATTGGATCCGCTTTACTGTTTGTCTTTCCCATAGAATCAGTTTGAACAAGGTTGACGGGCGAGTTGGGATTGTTTAGCCGGCTGACCATGTTCAGGCTAGCTTCACGTCTAGGTTACAAATGACGTGTGGCCTCACTGTACAGGGGGGGAGGGGGGAAAGACTGATGTTGTAACATTTTACACTTAGATAGCAGAGTCTAGACGCTGATATACCACCAACCAACACACAATGTAATAGACATGGGGCGACGTGACATCAGGCGGTTGTTTACTTTTAGTGTAATCGTCTTGTTTGGATAGCTTGGCGCACTGAGCGCTCAAACATTGGGAAACCTCGGCGGCTGTTTACTTTCAACACAAGTCGGTCATAACAATATCATAGTTCTCCGTGTACGTACGAGATAAGACGTCAGTCATAACAAAATGAGAGGTGTTGGTACACATTCAAGTCGGTGGGGGCTACTGGATGAAAACGTTACAAAAGACAACGTAACTCTTTAATCGTCGTTTCATTACACAAGCGCCATAAAAATTTAGTACAAGGGTTAAAATACCTTTAATCATAGTAAAAGTATGAGTGGGCGGGCCACGAACACGGAGCTTAAAACAACTAAGTGGAATAACAGCCTTGTAAGGGGTCAAGGGGTCATCCATTTATGACGTCAACACGCGGGGGGGGGGGGGGGCCGAAAAAAACTGACTTTTGTGGGCGCATATAGACTTTAATAAGGGAAAAAAGTGGATTTTTGTGGGGGGGGGGGGGGGTGTCCAAAATCCAAAAAAAATTGTGGACGTCATAAATGGATGACCCCTAAAACAACTAAGTGGAATAACAGCCTTGTAAGGGGTCAACCATTTATGACGTCAACACGCGGGGGGGGGGGGGTCCGAAAAAAACTGACTTTTGTGGGCGCATATAGACTTTAATAAGGGAAAAAAAGTGGATTTTTGTGTGGGGGGGGGGGGGGTGTCCAAAATCCAAAAAAAAATTGTGGACGTCATAAATGGATGACCCCTAAAACAACTAAGTGGAATAACAGCCTTGTAAGGGGTCAACCATTTATGACGTCAACACGCGGGGGGGGGGGGGGTCCGAAAAAAACTGCTTTTGTGGGCGCATATAGACTTTAATAAGGGAAAAAAGTGGATTTTTGTGGGGGGGGGGGGGGGGGTGTGTCCAAAATCCAAAAAAAATTGTGGACGTCATAAATGGATGACCCCTAACGACGAGGACACAATAGCTGGTCACTAAATGCTTGAAGGGTTATCACATCAAATAAGAATTTTTACTGCTACTTGTAATAAATGGCTAAAAACAATAAATCTTTTAAACAATACTCCATCAAATGTCTTGTCTTAAACGTGACGGTTAATAGAATGTGGCAGTGAAAGTGAACGATATATGGGTAGTGTGTCAGTTCTACTCTTGAGTTCAAGGATTGTCAGCCGTTTACAGACTGCTTCTAGTTAACTCTCAAACAACCACCGACTCGACCTGACAACATGAGGCTCTACTAGATCTAGACAGAACTGCAGCAACAACTAGCTGTACTGCCCAGATCTGTATTTGCAAAACAGGCGTATGTAATGACTAGCATTAATTACATCAGGTCCCAAGCCAAGCGTACACAATTTCCTGCACCGCGCGCTCAGTGCACGGCGTCCAACGGGAACTTATGGCGATTGCCGTCCTTATTGATTATCATAATATAGCATTACTAGTTTGTTTAGATCATGCTAGAACATGCACAAGGCGGCTCATGGAGAACCCCACATTACGCGTTGTTTTCACTGCTTTCATTCACACACTATCAATTCCGCGGGCTTGCTTTCACTGGGTGCCTTTAACGGGACTGCTAGGATTTTACGTGTGTAAAAATAAAATCTGCCAATAAAAAGGTCGTGCCAAATGCCGAACCACTACATACAAAGCTAAATTTAAACCAGTGTTAGTGGAAGGGGGGGGGGGGGTTAGAAACTTGACTATAAATAAATAAGTCTCCAATTCTATCGATCGCGGCGTGAATGCTGAACATGTCAGACGTGAAAAGACCAGAGCTGGGCGGCATATCTGACGGCCACTCAAACACTCCTCTCGTAAAATGCAAATACGGCGCTACAGTACGTTCCCAATTAATCGTTCTCTCAGGGCCTACATGATCAATTAAAACTTTTCAGAATTCGATTGAAATATTTCAATGATTAGACATTACGCATTTCAATATGATCTCTTGAAAGCTTTTTAAAGCCTTGCGTAGAGAGACCAAATAGTTTATACCTCAACAGCACCAAATATACAACTACTTAGCATTTAGAGTTGACAACAAATTGGCCGGCGAATCTCAACCAAGTTGAAATGTGTAAGCAGTAGAGAAAAACACAGCAGGAAACAGTCTTTCCCTGCTCATGTAAGGTGGATTTATCGCAACATTTACAGCCAACTACAAGCAGTAAAGAGAGTAATTGCTAAACCTCGATCTTCACAAGCCTTTATTGCTAGGCTGAGCTTTTATTTCCTTCGCCACGGGTCACAGAGTGCCAATCTTCTATTCTTTCTAATAGCTTCGGAGTAATGAGCATTTCTTCTTTTAAACTATTCTCTACTACGTCTTAGAAGTTATCAAAATGAAGGTAGCCAGAAAAAAAGAAAGCGAATATTAACGCGTTACACGTGTAGGCCTACAAGTAAAATAATAAACGAATCAAATTAAAGATGACTCAAGCGCAGTTTGTTTTTAATTCATTTCGTCTAGATGGGAAAGAAGCACCGTTTGGGAATTTAGAATACAGAACTGGTTCCAAAAGCAATACAACTCAATTCTAAAATGCTGGCTAGTCGTAGGACTAAGTAGAGACTGCAACAACCATCGACAATATCTTTTATTTTGACTGTATCTTATATTTTGACGGTATCTTATATTTTGACGGTATCTTATATTTTGACGGTATCTTGTATCTTATATTTTGACGGTATCTTATATTTTGACGGTATCTTATATTTTGACGGTATCTTATATTTTGACGGTATCTTTTATTTTGACTGTATCTTTTATTTTGACGGTATCTTATATTTTGACGGTATCTTTTATTTTGACTGTATCTTTTATTTTGACTGTATCTTATATTTTGACGGTATCTTTTATTTTGACGGTATCTTATATTTTGACGGTATCTTGTATCTTATATTTTGACGGTATCTTATATTTTGACGGTACCTTATATTTTGACGGTACCTTATATTTTGACGGTACCTTATATTTTGACGGTATCTTTGATTTTGACGGTATCTTATATTTTGACGGTATCTTATATTTTGACGGTATCTTATATTTTGACGGTATCTTATATTTTGACGGTATCTTATATTTTGACGGTATCTTTGATTTTGACGGTATCTTATATTTTGACGGTATCTTATATTTTGACGGTATCTTATATTTTGACGGTATCTTATATTTTGACGGTATCTTATATTTTGACGGTATCTTTGATTTTGACGGTATCTTATATTTTGACGGTATCTTTTATTTTCAAATACAACGAAACATGAGAAGATGTTTGACTAGAAAAGCCCAGCCATGAACCATATAACCAATTGTTTCCAAGTCGCAAAATGTGAAAAGAAATCTGCGTTTCAAAATCCACCAAAAAGGAGCCCCAGTTAACGCAACACGTTGGTCATCTAGGCCAGAGAAAACCTTGGGAAAACCTGGTAGGCGCGAAGGGAAGTACGACCTCCTTCAACGTGTCCCAGTTCAGGGTGACACGACTCAACACAAAGGGAAACCTGGCGATTATGTCACCTTCCTTTATGGCAGCCAGACAAGCATCTCTTACAGCAGCGGCGGTCGTTCCCCCCCCCCCCCCCCCCCCTTTCACGCCCTACACCAGGCGTGTCATTTACGCTGTGTAAAACCGTCTGCTGACTGGAAACGGACGTTAATAACATTTAACAGGTACACCAGACGTTAACAACAATCGAGAGCTCGTGTATTCCCGGAAGTCTCGCCATGCATACACTGTGACACTATGTGACATTTGATAACACGGCATGTAGCATGTTACAATTTTCTATGGCTATCAACATCAACACTTTTTCTTCTACCAAACCTTATCCCCAGCTTAACTAGTCTGCAATCAATGGACGAGAGGGAGGGAAAAAGTAAACAGAACGGCAGGAAGACTCAAGTCCCGCCAATAGTTCTAAGACTTAAATATTGACTGACTCAAAGCCAGGATTAGTGCTGAAGATTTGCCTTGCTGGGGGTTAAAAGCGTGAACATGATAATTATCTGCTGATGTTAAATAAGTTAAGCGGTGTGAACATAAACACTCACGTCTAATCATCATGTTCATCAATGCGGGAACAAATCTTTCCTTATTACTATGTTCTTTTTTTTAAAGTTAGATAATAAAGGAGTAATGGCGTTGTTTTATCATTACACAAATAGAATTCTAGTATTATAATAAGGAATGTATTGTTTCTCCCCTTGTTAACGTGAACTGGGATTTTAATCTAACCAAGATGTATGTTCCAGACACACAAGGGTATTAAGTACTGTTTGACACAGATAAGCAACACAACAGCTAGAGATGTGTGTACTATTGTTGCCTAGATTATAGAGATGTGTGTTGCCTAGACTAGAGATGTGTGTTGCCTAGACTAGAGATGTGTGTTGCCTAGACTAGAGATGTGTGCACTGTTGTTGCCTAGTCTAGAGATGTGTGTACTGTTGTTGCCTAGACTAGAGATGTGTGTACTGTTGTGGCCTAGAGATATGTGTACTACTGTTTCCTAGAGATGTGTGTACAGTTGTTGCCTAGACTAGAGATGTGTGTACTGTTGTGGCCTAGAGATATGTGTACTACTGTTTCCTAGAGATGTGTGTACTGTTGTTTCCTAGACTAGAGATGTGTGTACTGTTGTTGCCTAGAGATGTGTGTATTGTTGTTTCCTAGACTAGAGATGTGTGTACTGTTGTTGCCTAGAGATGTGTGTATTGTTGTTGCCTAGAGATGTGTGAAGTTGTTGCCTAGAGATGTGTGTACTGATGTTGCCTAGACTAGAGATGTGTGTACTACTGTTTCCTAGAGATGTGTGTACAGTTGTTGCCTAGAGATGTGTGTACTACTGTTTCCTAGAGATGTGTGTACTGTTGTTCCAATTAAAAAAATGATGCCAGTTTCATATAGTGAAAAATTATCCAATCAATCTTCTTCTTCACTTTAGTGTTGGAAGGGATCCCCTCAAACACAATTAAGTATTTGTGTCAACTGGTTATTCGTCATTGAGGCCATTGACTCAGATTTCAGCCTACTTTTCTTTTTGGATTTGCTTCAATAGCCTTTATCCAATCAAGAACAAAGTACAAGGCAGCAGTTGTTTGATTTTGGAGTTGTCTCTCCTAGGAGAGCTTATGTGTTCCAGTTAGATGACCTTTAAATGAGTACTGTGCAGCTTAACGCAATATTCAATAAACCTAACCCTGCTGAGTCATCTATAAGTCATCTCTATAAGTCTTAACTTGGATCATTACTTTTATTATTAGGTTTCTATTCACAATGCTGCCAGGGCAATACTATAACTTATGAAAAACACTTATGAATTTCACAGCTGTTATGGTCAGAATAAACATAGTAATACAAAGGCCTGATTATAAGAGCATGATATAAGCCTTGAACAGTTCTTCATAAGTGTTTTAAGTACCATCTAATGGGCATATCAAAATGACTAGATAGGCCTAATCAGATCAAATTTTGAAATCACAATCTCAAAATTATGTTTTATTAGTTAAAGTAGATTTGAAAGATGACATTTGATTTACAATATTTTTCCCAATCATTTTAATATATGGGTCTATTTCTAGTTGAATGAAATAGTAAATAAACTAATAGTTTATTTAATAAACTTAGGCCTTACACCTATACAAAATTGGACATATTCAACCAAATATGACAAGAAAACTGAAAATGCCAAATCAGCATCCAGAATTTTAATGAAAAGATTTTAAATAATGTCCAAATTATCGTAGCTCTAGATAGATATTAATCCCTGGCGTCTACTCAAGTGTACGGGTAACTTTAAAAGGGACTTAAACTACTCTTGAAGTCTTAATTAAACTAATTAAACTAAGGTGTAGGCCTAAGGATATTATTAAGTGTAAGGCGTAAGGTACCAGAGTTTCTTCCAGGCATCTCTTGGGGGGGGGGGGGGGGGGGGGCGAACTAGATGGAATTTAATTTTATATAGTAAACATCATACACTTTTACTAGATCTAGTGTCGTCGCCCCCCCCCCCCCTCCGAGAAAAAAGTCTGGAAGAAACACTGTAAGGTACCAGTAACCAGCATATAGAATCTAGTCTAGATCTACGGTTAGACTAAGTTATTAAGTTTAAGTAGGTGTAAGTAAATTTGTAATTGAACTAATAAATAGGCCTATAGATCTAGAATTATTTTATAGTTTATAGGCCTAGGTCTTAAATAGTCTAGATTTAATAAGAAATACAATTAGGCTTACTAGATCTAGATTTCTAGATCTAGATGATGATTCTTAATCTTAGTCTACTTAACTCTAAACTTAGAAAATAAACCAACTAAATTTAGTAAGTAGATTTTCTTGATTTACTCATTGTGACTAACACTAGATCTAGATCTACTAGCACTAATCTAGAATCTTGATCTCGTCTAGATTCTAGATTTAGAAAATCTAGATCTAGATTTCTACTTCAGTACTTGCCTATTCTTTCAATAGTAAATCCAGCAGGGGCTTTGAGAACTCTTCTTCCCCATGCCGAACGGAGATTTTCGAGATGAATATCTCCCCCAGTTACTAAGATAGTTGAAGGTTCCACAAATCCTTTGTACTCCAAACTTTTGATACTTTCCACGAGTGAAGGATTCCAGTAACAAGTTTTATTCCTAATTTTGAAATCCTGCAGTAGCTCTTTGCCATTGTATCCACTAGGCGAAAGAGCTTTCTGTACTTCTGAAGATTGAACAACATTTCCATCAGAAGAGTCGATGTGAGTTTCATCATTATCCACATTATCACTTGAATTTCTTCTTGTTTTAGGAATCAAAACAATAGCTAGGCACTTGGACACCACAGGTAGATTTTTATTAGAGGAATTTATTTTACCTTCCTCTCGTATATGTTTGTGGGACATGCTTTGTTTTGGTTGCGGTCCCGCGTCATGAATTCAAACCAGTTCACATTTTTAAACAGCTCGCTAGGCCTAGCACTCGACGCGAACCGCGGCTGGCAAAATTTATCACCTGCCAGTACAGCGTTCATTGATCAATCTCACATCTCCCGCTAGCGATGTGTAGCGCCCCCATACTTCAGGTGTCGACGAATCAGAAAGAAGGGAGAATACTAACTTTTTCTAGGCCCCCCCCCCCCCCCCTAATGTAATTTTTAAAACATTTTTTAACACACACGCGCATAGAAGATTTTAACATAGAATTAATGTATGTTCTAAAGTGATTCTAATAGATTAGGGGAAAGCATTTTCTGAAAAACGTAGATGTAGGATGTATAGTATAGGATTTGTGTAGACAACTATTCTAGATCTGGCAAAACTTTTATAAAAATTGATTTGGCTACTAGAATCTAGATCTAGAATTCCAGTTCTAGAATAGCTACAGTACAGCAGTATTTGACTTTGACTAGATCTAAATCTAGATGTTTCGTGTGGCAACTATTACTTACTTTATTTCCTTTAATATTTCTTTAAAAAATCAATATAGGAGTCTGGTAGTAGACTGCTTAGTTACGGTGACGACTAATTTGATTTCCTAAAGCGAAATTCCCAACGTCAATGCAGAAGCTTTTAATAAAAGCTTTACTAACTCTAACAGGCATAGTAGTGCAGTATTATACACAAGTTACAAAACTATTTCATATTATTAAAAAATAAATAAATAAAAGATCAGATTATTCAGACTAAAAAGGTGCCATTTTATAAAGTGTTTTCTTTGAACTAGGTTACATTTCCTTTAAGTTAACAATTATCGTAACATTGTGTTACGCTCATTGTTAACCTAAAGGGAAGTAACAGCCCACAATAATAGATAAATGTCAGTGGTACATATATAATTATATTTAACTTTAATTTTTCCAGTTTATTTACTTAACGTTATGATACAGCCTATAACATATCGATGCTCACCAAGGCGGTATTAATTCTATATATTTTAAATGTTATTCTTACTTTAGCCTTGACATGAACTGTAGCCCTAAGCCTAAATCTAATCCAAGGAAAACAGCTCATTGTTTCGCCACTGCATACATCACATAGGCCTGTAATGATATGTAGATCAATGGGCGCTAATGCATGCACGTTGTAGTAGCGTACGACAAATTTTGTCATGTCTAGATCTAATAATACTTGAACCCCAATCCCCATAATAAAAGCAATCACGTTTTTTAGTCGTTTCATTTTAGAATTCTATTGTCATACGATTCAGAAAATAGAACATACTAAAAGACAACAAATTGTCCAAATAATGTTTTAAAGAGGTGTTATAGGCCGCGACATGGCGTCACGAGGTGTGTGTGTGGGGGGGGGGGGGGGGCGGCGGTCCGCACATGTTGACGCCATTTAGACGTCAAAAATGTTTAAAATAACTAGATAGTGGGGGGGGGGGGAGCTGTTTGTAGAGTTTAAAACTGTTTGCGCAACATTTGCGCATCCGATTAAAACACCGCCGTGTTTAGGCCTACATTTAACCGTTACATTCTCTGCCTAGTGATTCATTTATGATATCCTACATTTCCTATTCCAATGACAATCACATAAGAATACCCCCTCCTTATAATACATCGAATTTGTTAACGTCCTCTAGTGAGGGAGAGATCATAAAAATAGCGCATCTATAATAATCTTTGTAATTTAGGCTTGTCTCTATAAGTTCTATTTCCTTTTGGATTTCCCCTTTATTGGGCTCTCTTTTAAGCATTATTATAATATTTAAAACAGCCATTTAAAACATTCTCATTATTTAGTAATTTACCACGGACCTAAACAAAGTTAATAATTAGTTACAGCCTGGTCGTCTGATTGGGCCGCTGCGGCTCTGAAAGAAAGCGCCAATGTCTGTGATTTTTTTTTACAAGCTTTTATTTAACTCACTTCCTCGTCAGTCTGTCGTCAGTCGTCAGTCTGTCTAGACGGAAACGCAGGAGTGAAAATTCGGACAGTTCTACTTGACCGACACGATTCACAGTTGGCACGTGGGTCAAGACATGAAGACAATGCAATCTGAAACTAAATTTGACTTAATTGGATGCCTAATTGATTGTTTATGAATTAATTAAAATTTGGACCGAATTAGTAGGCATGTCTAGCCAACCACACCACACGCGTCATCAATAGCTGCGCCATCACGACCACGTAATGGCTGCGTTCAAAAACCATTGCGCGCCTACTGAACGTGATATTCAGTAGGCGCGCAATGGTTTTTAGTCATGTAACTCTATTGTAGATAAAACATGTAAAGTACTGAAAAAAAAATTCATAAAAAACGTTTTAATAACAAGCTTTTATGTAATGATGCACTAAAAAGTAGAAAATAAATTATAGACTACTATTTAAATAACTATAAAGAAAAGCGTGGGTGTCTTCCTTAACATTAGTAAAGGTATCCAATAGATACTAAAGTGACCCACGCTTTTCTTTATAGTTATTTAAATAGTAGTCTATAATTTATTTTCTACTTTTTAGTGCATCATTACATAAAAGCTTGTTATTAAAACGTTTTTTATGAATTTTTAAACTTTAACACAGTTTAATAAATTTTAAAATCTAGAAAAGAATGTAAATTATTAATTTAATAATACCATTATGTCTAAAAAAAAAATAAAACAAATTGTCAAACATTGACGAAAATTACTAAAATGCATTTCGGTAGTAATCCTTTAGTTTCGGTAAAGTGAGTGGGCTGGTTGCGTTGGCGTGTAAACAAAACCGTTTTTGACCTAGACTTAGGGCTTAGGCCTACTTAAAATGTTTTGAATGTGAAGTGGGTTTGGTCTAAGTTCATTTTTATGCCGGATATGCTTTAAGTTACACGTCCAGTGTAGCAGTCGGTAGTCTAGCCTACTGTACAATATCTTGCGTTGAATTTCTAGGACTAGATCTAGTAGGTCTAGATTTAGAATCTGGTATACTACTGATTTAAACTTAATAAAGTCAAACAAAGAGCTAGAGATCTAGATCTAGATAGATCTAGATCTAGAATCCTAACTTAGCTACATCTAGGCGGAGTCGAAATCTTCAAAATAATGGTTTCAGACGATGTCGTGTATGCAACTGCGATAACGCTGTCAGTTGCCGCTGGTCCATTATTTCGTGACGTTTTAAAAGATTCTTACTCCAAAAGATGGGTATCAACAATTTTAGGTGTAATCCTACTTTTAGTAACCTGTGGATATCACTTTATTCATTTATGCATAACAGTGATAGGGAACTGTATTCTTTTAAGCTTGGTTCCAGCATCCAAAAATGATAGGTAAGGGCTTAGTAAGTTAGTAAGGGCAAGGGTTATTTTTAATAAGTTATTGATATTTTAATTATTTTAATTTAGGCCTAATTAGTAATTTCTATTAAATAATTAGTAATTAATATTTTAATATTAATTAGTCGGTCTACAAATTGTTTTAACAAGTTTACCATAACACAAGGAACTTTACTTATACTCTTTTTATAGAAGTGTAGATTAGTATTATATATCATTGGCATCATCATAGATCATCAATTTGTATGAAAAATAGTAAATACCCCTGATTACGTATAATGAATATTGACTAACAATGGTATAAAGACCTTATTTATAATAAAAATCTTATCTTAAAAATTTTTGTTTTGAAGTATTATAGACATGTTGCCTATGGACATGGTTTGTAACAATCTTACGTTTTTGCTCTTCTCTTACTTCAGAAATCTTCCTTGGAAAAGTTTTCTGTGGAATTTTGGATACCTTACTGTTTTCCGAACGATACATTGGATCGGTATTCCTCCCCCTTCACCTGTTACAAATGCTGCTCAGTTGTTCCTCACCTTGCGTGTAAGATGTTGACATTTTTTAAATCACTACTTTGCTTTCAATGTTGCTAATCTATTTTAATAACACTGCTACAAGTACATTCAATGTGAATATTTTTTCTGAAACAGATGGTTGGCCTTGCTTTTGAAGTGCAGGACAGTTACCTGAGAAAAAAATCATTGGATTCAAAGTCTGATAATAATGAAGTTGAATTAAAAATAAAATATTGCAACATAGAGGTAAAAATTTTGGACGTCATCAGTTATGCATTTTGCTACATCGGGTTACTGACTGGTAAGCAGCTTTTGTATTTTTTGTTGCTATTTTTTTCATAATCTTGAAAAACAACAGTAAAAAATACTGCATAATATATCAACTAATGTATAGTTTTAGACACTATTTACCAGCTATGAATAATTCATATAAATGATTTCACTTAGTTGGTAAAAATGTGTTTCAGATTTTGTGAAAAGAAGGGGGTAGATTTAAGAAATTTTTACATAGAATCTGTTTTGTATTTCTTAAAAATAAAAATTTTGAAAAGCATGGTTAATCTATGTTGTAAATGGGATTTCATTACTACATTTCGAGGGTTATTTTTCTGTCTTGTAATTAAATAGTAGAGTGTAAAAATACCTCACTCATGAAAACAATTACAACAAATTGCAATTTTTTTGTAAGCCTCACTATGTATTAGTAATTTAGTAAATACATCTAAATAGTGTTATTAATATTACAATTATTATTATTGGTCAGTTTTTAAAATTTATATTTATAATTACACATTTTAAATTTGTATTTCAGGTCCTTACTTTAAATATCGTACATATTTGGATTGGCTACACCTTTCAGATAAAGCTAATTTAAATAGAAAAGAACCGCTTCTGAAAAGGGCTTATGAATTTCCATTTATTGCAGTATCATTTTTATTTTTTTCTTATTTCTTTAACATCCAGGTATTTTATATTTTCTTTTTTACTAAGTTACACTCTAGCGATAATTAACTGAAAATAACCTAATATGTTGAAATATATTAGTAATTTTTAGTAGTATTTATAAAATTTGTAAATTTTCAAAATTCAACTACTTGACATAACTTATGCTCCATACTTTCAAATATAAATGTATCTCATCAAAGCATTTTAAAAATAAAAACATTTTTTTTTAAATTTCAGCATGTTGAAACAGATGAATTCTTGGATCATTCATTTGTATATCGTTTGCTCTACATGGTGCCCATGTTTATTATCTTTCGCACACGGCTATACATAGCATGGATTTTGTCAGAATGCATGTCAGTTACTGCAGGACTTGGGGCGTATCCTAAAAATTCTGTCCCTAAATGTGGCGAAGGGCCCACAAATTATAAACAACTGGAGATGGCGTAAGTGTAAATAAATGATTTTTTATCACTTATACTATACTCATTAAAAAATTAAATCTAGTATTTTTGTTCCTTTTTTTACTTTTAAAAATGAAATACTTTTCTTACTTCTTCAATTCCTTATTTAACTAAATTGTATGTATTTTCTAGTTTAGAAGATGAAAAAGATGGTAAAGATAGTGACTATGATTTTGAAACTATCCATAACATTGATATATATGGATGCGAACTGGCTCCAATGACTAAACAAGGATTACGAAGTTGGAATATGACGGTTCAGTATTGGCTGGCAACTTATATTCATCGCAGAGTACCATCTCATCTAAAAGCCCATAGGTAATGTAGACAATATTTGATTACTTCATATATTCAAGAATTTCAATAAACTGTTCAAACAAAGAAGTAAAACAGCGATTGAAAGTTTCTAAAATCTGTCATTTTAATTTTTAGGGTCGCAATAACAATGGCAGTGAGTGCATTTTGGCATGGTATCCACCCTGGTTACTACTTGAGTTTTCTCACGGTACCTCCCATACTCATGGCAGAGGAAGCAATGATCAAAGGTTTTCGTGAAGGAAAATCGCCCCAAGTGCAACAAATCTTTGATTGGGGCTGTTGGTTTTTTAAAATGCGAGGTTTTGATTATATGTGCATGGGATTTCTGCTTCTCAGGCTAGGGTCAACAATTAGATATTGGTATTCCATCTACTTCATGGGTCATGTTTTCATCTTGATATTTTTACTCATTGGTAACATTGGCATGGTTCTTAATAAACAAAAAAATAAAAAGATAGAAGCTGAGAAGTCTAATTCAATTTCAACACAGGAGAAAAAACTAAGTTGAACTATCTTCACTATCTTTTTGATGTTGAAGAAAATCAAACAGCTACTTCATTTTATAATGGCACAACAGTTTTAAAAAATCAGATCCAGAAATTGAGCATAAATTAAAAAAACTCAAGCATGATATCTAAATATTTCATTTTTACACAATACATTAAAATAAAACCAATCTGGGTAAACACATGTAGCAGATTCTAATTTTCATCCTGTTGTTCACAAAATTAACACTTTATACATATCAATTATGTTCTATTATAACTTTAAAATGAAACAAATAATATTTTTTTAATTTCTTAATCATCAAAAGCTGATCCTATTGATATTGTGACATTTTTGTGACTTCAGAAGTTCAAATATCTGTTACTAAAAATGGTACATGTACTGTCATCAAGATGTAATGATTAAATATAAAAAATGGATGTATAAAAGTAGATGTATAAATGACTGTACCAACAAGGTGAAGTGATTGAATAGTAACATTTGAAATGTTATCTTTTTATAACTATTCCATCTATTACCAGTACCGGTTACTGTTTTTATGAAATCATACATAAAATCATATTTTCCTTAATACTACTCATTTGTGTTTGTTTTTAAACTCTTCAGACGATATAAAATATTGGGAATAATCGCTTTATGATGTGCAAGAGTGGGCATTTTTTTTTACAATTTCACATAAAGAATTTAAAATAATTAGCACAGCCAAATTGACCTGTGATCAGTTCATGAATTGTGATGTATTACATGCAGTTGTTATTTATGGATAAGTAAGTGAAACTATCTATAACCTATTAAAATTCATTTCATTTATACCATTATTAAATAGTTTTGCAAAAATTGTTAGTTGTTTTATTTTAAATTTGTATCTTAAGTTATAAACCTTTACAACATGTATTGAGGCAAAACATGCTTGGTCAACATTATCCTCCCGCTTATTAAAGTATTTTTCCAAAAAAAAATTTGGCTTTATCATCACTACTTGTTAGGCTACATTTATTTTGTTGTCTACATTGTAACTGATCTAACTGGCATTTTTAAGAAGTAATGTATGAATTAAAATATTTATGTTCAGGGTATTTATAACAAAATATGAAATTGAAAGTTCCTTCCATTAATATGGTGCTACATAACTATTTACCTAATAAGAATGAATGAACATTCATTTCATCCCTCAGTCGTTGTAGGTAAAGCTAACATTGTTACAGTATGTCTTATGGTCATGTATAAACATTTTAGCGTAGAAAAGAGTCTCTGTACATTTTTAAATACATTCTTTAAAAAAAAATTTTTTTTTAAGATTTAAGTAGTGTGTGTTGCTGGGTTTAAAAACAAAAATTGTCAATACATGAGAAAACATTGCATCTCATAGAGTAATGTTGTATTGTTTTAAAATGTTCTTGAGTACTTTGACATGTGCATAACTCAAAAGATTCAATTCTTATTCTTCCTCAATAATATTTTATGCTGCACTTTCTTAGTATTTTATAAATTATACTGTTTGCTTCATGAAATGGAGATGTATGATAGCTCAGAAATAGCACAAGATAAACTTGTTTTGAAATAAAGACAACACTAAAATAAAATAAATACAGATTTTTTATTTGTTTCTATGTTTTTACACACCCTTTTATAACTCATTTTAGTAGACATGTATTTAAACTAAAAATTTAGTAGTAATGGCAATATGATGCTAAAAAAGCTCATACATTCTTATACTTATACACATAATACAAGGCAACATAAAACAATGCATGTCACATTTTAAATAATAAAGTATTTTGCTTTTTGTGCCTTCGAAATTGAAAGAAAACGATATCACAACAAAATAAATTGTTAGGTGCTAACATTTAAGGACAACACATCTTATTTAAAACCTACTACAATGTAGTGTTATAAGTATTCAATGGTAGAAACTTTTCATTCTAAAAGTATTGATTGTTAAATGCCTTCACCACTGGGATGGGAAAGTTCTTGTATCACAAAATGTAGAAGCTGGTTTTGTTCACAGTCTAGCAGGGGCCATAACTCTTTCTGAAGCGCTCGCAGTGATTCTAAGTCAAGGGACTGGCAAGCCATCTACAATAACAAAAATGTCTTTACACATCACTGTACAACAGCTGTTAACAAAAGTAATTTTTAATTTTAATAATTTTAGAGTAGCTGCTGCATGTAACAATGAATTAATTAAGTAAAAAATTTCACACAGCTTATACATACCACCACTGACTGAAGCAAAAGATACAAATCTTCTCCAAGGTACATTTCTAGAAAAATTTAATAAAATAAGATTTGGATAAGCAAGCTAATGAACACTATCTAGATTTTAAAAGATCACTGTGTAAACTCCAAAGAAGATTGGTTAATAGTTACCTGTGATAGAGTCACAAGACTCCCATGTGTATTTTTCTAAAGTCTGAGCATGTTCAGGTCGTATTCTCTGTGGTGTTGGCTAAAAATATTTTACAAGCTTTAACTTTTTTTTAAAAACAGTTTCCAATAATAAAAAATCAAAAAAAGCAATAATCTCATCAAATTAAACAAGATTTCAAAATCTAATAAATTACTAATAAGTGATGTTTTTGTGTTGGAAAGTTAATTAGAAGAACAAAACTTACTTGTAACAATAATAAGAGCAAAACTCGAGTGACTTCACATTTAGCAAGAATATCACAGTAAGCTCCTATAGGTCTACCAGTTGTTGAAGACCCTGAGCAAAGAATAAAATTTTAATGTTTTAACATGTAAACCCAAATACATCCTAAAAAATGCATAAAACGTTTTAATAACAAGTTTTTCTGTTATAATGCATTTAAAATAAGAAAATAAATTATTTTCTATAATGAATTACTATTAAAAATAAAAATAAAAGCTTGGGTTTCAACCAAGACGTCAGACAAAAGCAAGAGGAAGCAAGTTAAATAAAAACTTGTAAAAATACTTACCCCCTCTCTCATGAGCTAGGTATGCCATTTCAGTGAGAACAGCTAACGCTCCTTCAAAGTCTTCTGCAAAATGTATTGTACAAAATTTATTAAGTTTTATAATTATCTCTATTGTTCTTTGATTTTTAGCAGTTGAATCAAAACAACAGTTAATAATGAATAGGTTAAAATAAATTTAAATTGTTTACTTGTGTCCATTTTGCATTTTGCCACCATATTTAAAGCATCCAGGCAATCCAAAGCACTCTGCAAAATAAGAATTAAATTACCTCTCTTCAATCTTTTCCAAATTTAGAGAGCTATCAAACACATATATTGACTGTGTTGTAAATAATTAAAACTATATTTTTAAACATCTGTTATGAAGTAGAATTATTAGATCATCAGCAAAAAAATAGTTTTTTATGGAAAAAATCATACCTGAGACTGTAATTCTGCTGCTCTTTGGTAATGTGCAATTGCTTCCCCTGGCCTATTGACTTTCTTTAGAAGAAAAATGATTTACAATAAACTCAAATATTTGCACTGGGCGTTTGTATTTTAAAGAACCCTGTTACTCAACTAAAATTAACTAAACCATGTTTGTCTTAGAAAAAGATGTATTAATCTAGCCATATAGTACATCAAAGGATAAGAATATTATTATTAGATCTATGAATAAATGAATGTATATAATTTAAATAAACATTTATCTTACCCTTAACACATTTCCAACCTCAAGGCAAAGGGATGCTGCTAAAGCAATTTGTTTGCTTTCTATGTGTACCTGTAACAGCAGTATTAAAAAAACATTAAATATATGCATGGTAATAATTGTTTTTTAATGATACAAAACAAACAACACCATAACTGCAAACACTAGTCTATAAAAAGTTGTGTTGTGGTAATAGAGAAAATAGACATTCTAAAGAAAGAAATTATTATATATGATTTTATTTTTCCACATTAGTTTTATAGTTATGTTAGTTTTTTTTTATAGTGGTTTGATTTTGTATTTATTAATTAATTTAACAGCATTACTGTAAGAGTTAATAGACACAGCTAATAACCTTTAATTAATTACCCTAGTACAGTAAAGTTACCCTTTTGAACCTTTTTTCTATGACCTTGGCACATGAAGGGATGGTGTGGTCAGCACTATGCCCAGCAGCCTTCACTTTCCCTAATGTGAGCCAGGTATCCATCCGAGCTGGGTGGGCTCATGAACATTCTACAGACTCAAGCTTGTGAGCCAAACCCGAGACTTACTGGGTTAGCAGTCGAGTGCTCTACTGCTCAGGTCTTGTCATCCCATAATTACCCTAACTGAAAAAGCCTCACAGTTAATAGATGCAGTTAAGTGCTGTAATTATTGATTACCCTAATAGCATGACTGTAACAGTTGATAGATGCAGTTAAGTGCTCTTGAAATCCTGGCACACTTAACTCTCTGTCCATCAGTTCTGCTTCAAGGAATGCTCTGGCTGCATCTGTAAGAGCTTGTGCTTCACCAGCTGAATTTGATAGTGTATGCTCACATCTACAAGCATATTAATACAAACATAAGGTTTAATAGTAAAAGTTTACCTTGCGATCAACAAAAGGGGACTAACAGACAACAATTTGTAATAAATACCTGCATGTGAAAACATTAAAAATAAAGTGGTTTGACAAAGTACCTAACAGAACAGTATGGCAAAAGACAGGACAAATCACAGTGAAGCAAGAAATTGGGAAAACCAGGTGGAGGCTATACATTGAAGAAATCAGCAGCCTAGTATTATTAGACAAGACCTATCATGGTGTAGAGAAAATATAAATTACTGGAAAGAGTTGGAAAGAAATTTTTTTAAATAGAAAGGAACAGAAAAGCTTTTAAGAATGTTGTAAAAGGCCTATGCTTCACAGTGAGCTAAAAAGGCAAAGTAGAAGATATTACCTCTTAATTTTATTCTAGCTTAATTAAAATGAATGTAAAATTTTTTACCTTGCTTGAGCAAGACAACAAAATCCTGCATACTGTGGACTTTCTTGATTTTTTAAAGTTTTTGCTAAACTGGCTGTAAGTTGAAAGTCAATAAAGAAAACTATAATACTACAAAATTAAATATCTTCTGCCAACTATTAAGCTATTAAGTTAACAATGTTTTTAAATGCAAGCAAAAACAGCAGGGGCCAATATCAGATTAAATGACCTTTTTTTAAAATTGTGTAATATCACAAAAAATGCCTCTTTTATATAAACAGTAAAATTATTTAAAATTAAAGTTACAAACATTAATGTGGGGCTGTTAAAAGAAACAACCATGATTTTAGTAAGTCTCCCTAAACAAAAACATGTCAGAATCTTAGATAGCTGATTCTTACCAAACTGTTCACTTCCTTCAGCCACATTTGGTTTTTTAAGAAATCTCCTGAAAACATAATGAAAAAAAAAGGATAGTGGTTATTTTGGAGTTAACATATCATGGCTATACTTAGGGGTCATCCATTTATGACGTCCACAATTTTTTTGGATTTTGGACCCCCCCCTCCCCCCCCCCCCCCCCCGTCCACAAAAAATCCACTTTTTTCCCTTATAAAAGTCCATACGCGTCCACAAAAGTCAGTTTTTTTCGGACCCCCCGCGTGTGGACGTCATAAATGGATGACCCCTTAGCAAAGAAGTCAGTTAATTAGTCAAATTATTTATCGCCCTATCATGTAAACATGAGGCTTAATAGGCTAGATGGCCAATCCAATGAACGTGTCAGATGAATATTATGTAATTTAGAGACAAAAGTCTGGCAAGATTTCCTGATCTATCTATGCCCGAGGGTTAGTAACATCAACTTTACAAAATGAAGGGGGAGGGAGGTGGGGTATGAAACCACAGTGAACTGCTCGGGTACCATATGAGTGTTATACAACAAGCGGGTGACGCTTACATAGGCTATGGGTGTTACGTTCGGTGTTATACAGTGTTGGATGGTCAGTGGCTCAAAATGCCCACCCCTCACCCCTTTTTCAATTTGACGAGCTAGTATCCTCGACGTTATTAAGCGTATGTTAATGTGTAGTCAAAAAAAAACACGGGATCACATGTATCTATCTTTAGAAATAGTTTATAGTATCATCCAATCGGATCAACCGCCTAGCGACACGTTACCATTCAGCTGTGCCATATGGTGGTGTACATTGACACAGCAGAGCGTTTCAATCGGACAACTGTCGATGCGTCATGTTTAGATTTTTGGTCCACTTGAAAGTCTATAGATGTCTCTGTTTTAGGGCATTATTTAATTATAGGACACATCATACATATTAATAAACTTCTATATTGCAGCAATACAGCGCAGGGTTCAAATAAAAAATTGGTCTGTAACTAACCCGAGAAACTTGGTTCAACTTTGCTGTACGATATCTCCTAAAGTATTTAATACATTTTGACTATGAACCCTACGCTTTATAGGTCTACAATATATAATCTGTATTTAATCATGCCAAGTTTCACCGTTGTAGTACGAAAACTCGAAGAGTTACTCAAAGTAACACCCCTCTTTAAAATTTAAATCGGTGAAAAAGCCACCACCAAAAGCCGATTTTCTCGACAGCGGCATTGGCTTTGCTAATACTAATATGATGTTGGGCTTACTGCTATTTATTTTAAGGTGAGATTTTAAAAGAATAAAACGAACTTTTTAAGTTTATTTGTAACTGCTCTGTATTTCAGAAGAATATCGCTGTCTTTCTCCATTTTCTCTTGTTTATCAGTTTCGGTCAGCAGTCAAAAAAAGGTTTCTCCAAGCATCTAAAATTTACCGAAAATAAAGATTGACACCACAAAGATCTAGATTTCTAGATCTAGATCTAGGCCTACGCTAGATCTACTAGAGGTCTGTGCATACATAACTAAACAAATAAAAGTGCAAATATACTCATATGAAATTTTTCTTAAAAAACGAACAAGATATATCAAATCAACTTAGTGCAGCCAGATTATATTTTAGAGTTAAGATCTAGATCTAGTATTTAGGCCTAAGTACTAAGTATTATCCTGAATTAAATAAAACATTTCGAAATTTAGACATATTTTGAATTGTTTAAACTTTTAAATTAAAGAACTGTTGTGTACACATTACCACATTGATAGCAGCAGCAGTTGTTAAGCAGTATTTCATTTAGTTTTATTTAGTTATTAATATTTAGATCTAAATATTTTGTAATAGTGAATTTTAATAAATCTAGTTGAGCAAGGCTTAGTTTCTTTACCAAGAGTAGTAGCCGATATTAAATATTGACTGATAGACTTATTATTATTGAACATTGAACAACAAGTCAACAGGCTGGCCTGCCAGTGCTGACTGAGTGAGTAGATCTAGTGACCAGAGTAGTTTCAAGTCTGGTATTCTGGTACTCAACTGGTAGAGTTAGTATTAAAAATAATTAACTAAGAAACTAACACTATTATTTACAGTAACACAGTATTAGTACGGTACTACTAGATCTCTCTCTCTACTTTTCGTTACTTTTTGCTGTTTTTTTATCACTAAAAAAAAATCTTACTGCTTTTTCCCACCACATTTTCAGTAATTGTTCTTCATGCAAAAAAAGTTTATGGTAAATTCTAGGTTTACAAAAGGTGCGCTTTTTTGGATCTTGTAGAATTCTGTCCAGTAGTTCTATCAAAAAGTTGTTGTGACAAAAGTGTTAATATAAAGCCATGTAAATTTGATTGCTATAGTTAGTATAAGATAAGTGCATAAATAAACAAAGCTTTGGAGGTTTTTTAGGGTGTCCATGACAACCTAAATTGTTTTCAACCCTTTTTTTTTTTTGCTGTTTAGTACTTTCATGTGCCAAACATTGTAAAAAAATTCAAAAGACTTTAGCCTACTTTGTAAATTGTAAAAAATTAAAATAAACTGAGCATATCCCCATAAGTTTAAGAAGCCTGAATTTTAATTTAATTAATCAGTTTAATTTTTTTTAAATAACTAATTCCAATGAAAAGTACTAGGTCTAGATATCCACTTTAAATCCATCATATTATTAAATTGTAGGGCTTGAGCTAATCTGTGGCTAAAATATTGCATTTAAATTCTTTTTGATTCACAGCCAAGCAGGAATCCCCAGTCTGTAAGTATGACAACAGATTTGTACGGGTGAAGCCAAGATACTGATACTGAAGTCAGAAGTTGAAGGAAAGTAGGAAGTGGACACACAGCCTAGAAGGAGTCCCCTGTCTGTAAGTGTGACAACACTTTTGTATGGGTGAGACAAAGAAATTGGGATAAAGCAGGAAGTACATGCAGGTGAAGTAGATTTTATTCTGCTTTGTGAAATAGTTAATTGTTTTCATTTCAGTTTCTCTAGAAGAATACAACAGCATCAATCTCGTAAGCACTGTTGGATGAGAACATGGATCCAAGTACTAGTGAAAGCAGAAAAAAAGCAGGATTTCAGTTTTGGAAAGAAACTCTCGAATCTGCAAAATATATTGTGGCTCCTATGGTTGACCAAAGTGAACTAGCTTGGCGAATGCTGAGTCGGCGATATGGTGCACATCTGTGCTACACTCCTATGTTTCATGCTTCAGTGTTTGTTAAAGATGCTATATATCGAAGGGAGTCTCTTCAAACTTGTCCAGAGGATAGGCCACTTATTGTTCAGGTTTGTTATTGTCCCTCTCAAATCATTTTAATGAATTATTATACTATTTATTTTACTACTTTTTTTGGGGGTTTCATCATAGAGAGTAGTTCGGGAGATGTATTCCTTGATAATAATGTATATTATTGATTTTATTATCTCTCCTCCCAACATTTTTTAATAATTAAAAGTGACAAATAATAACATGTTTATGTAGTTTTGTGCCAATGACCCGGCAACATTTCTGAAGGCTGCACAACTTGCTGAGCCATATTGTGATGCTGTTGACCTTAACCTTGGCTGCCCCCAAGTCATTGCCAAGCGTGGTCACTATGGGGCATTTCTTCAAGATGAATGGGACCTTTTAGCTAAAATGGGTACATTTTTTATTTTTTGTTGGTTTTATTGATATTTCTTTATGTTTTTACTGTGTATAAAAAATATTTAATATTAAATAAAATATGAAATTGGCCTTTAATTTTTAGATTTTTGTAAGTGCTCTAAATATTTTTTAACATTGTAGTCTCATTAAAAGAACTGAAATATAAACAAACCTAAACTACTTTTGTTTAAATTTTACTCTGAGCAGTTAAAATTTGTCATGAAAATCTGAAAGTGCCAATCACATGCAAAATTCGTATTTTTCCATCTGTTGAAAAAACTGTGCAGTACGCAAAAATGTTGGAAACGGCTGGATGCCAGGTATTCTAAAACATCTTGTTACCCTTATAACTTATTAAAAATTTGTTACATGAATTACTGTCATATTTTAGCTGTAGAAAACTATCATTAAAAAATATCTTTATTGCTTGCTTTTTTCTAGTTACTGACAGTTCATGGTCGAACGCGAGAACAAAAAGGCAGATTTACAGGAGTAGCTGATTGGTCATATATAAAAGCTGTGAGGTTGGTTGTAAACTTTTTCTAGGCTTTGATGAACTTAAGAAATCACCCAAGGATCCATTGTACTACTTGGTATGACCCAAAAATATTTAACCATTCAAAATATCTAGGTTTAAATGTTTTTCAGATTATTAATAGTTATTTGGTAATTCTTATTTAATTCTGTTTTGAGTGATATATTTTTTTACCCTTTTTAAAAAATTTCTTGTTTGTGTTTTTTTTTTTTTTTTTGGGTTACTGAAATATATCTATAGGCCTATTTTGAATATTTTGAAATTAATCATAGAAAATTGCTTTTATCATTTTTTGTAGCTAAAAGCTATTTCTGTAAAATATTAAATTTTGTTTACAATTATTTTTTTTAAAAAGCACAATTGGGTTGTTTCCTGAAATGGTGTAGTATGTATTCTTTGTCTACTTTTGTCTTACTTTACTAACCAGAGAAGCTGTTAAAATTCCTGTGTTTGCTAATGGCAACATACAGTACCTGTCCGATGTGCTGAGGTGTTTGAAGGAAACAGGCGTGCAGGGTGTCATGACCGCAGGTGAACTTTTTTCTTTTTTTTTGCTTCTTTTTTTATTTCTGTCTCAACAGAATAAAAGGATTATGTAACTCTGGCAATGATCGCACCCGTCTTCCTGTATGTTTTTGCTAGTTTACTGCCACCATTATTCAATTATTTTATTTTAACTTTATAGAAGGCAACTTGCATAATCCTGCACTGTTTCATGGAGGCAATGTACATATCTGTGATATCACAATGGAGTATCTTGATTACGCTGAGAAATACCCATGCCCTCTCTCCTATATCAGAGGCCATGTATTTAAAATATGCCATCATGCGTAAGTCATAACTTAAATAAGAATTCTTTGTAAGATTACCACAGTTATTTTAAAAAGAATTTGCAGAGGTAATTTTGATTGCAGAAAAAATATTCTCTTGTTACATTTTACATTTTCATGTAATTTGTATTGTTGTTCCTCAGGCTGACATCACACATACCTGTGAGGGATCTGATGGCCAATGCTAAATCTGTTGCAGATTTTAGATCAGCCCTTGAAACACTGAGAGAATTGTGTCAGGTAGTGGTTTTAGAACACATTATTCTGCTACTGGTGATATATTGTTCAGCATATCTGTGGCCTTGAACCTCACTGTCCCCATACCTGGCCTCCTGAACATTAAAGAGGAAAACCCCATTAGGTTTTTTTTAATTTTACGAATTATTTTTTTTTACTTGGCAAATACTGAACATTAAGATCAGCAGCAAGGGAAGGTGTGGTTAGCACTTTGCCCAGCTCCCTTTACTTTCCCTAGCTTGAGTTAGGTACCCATTAAAGCTAAGTGGACTCAGGGACATTCTTCTTGAACCCGGATTTGAACTTGAGACTTTCGGGCTAGCAGCCCAGCTCTACCACCCCATAACATAATCTAGTGGTTCTGCATTTTTTCAATCAGAGTTCATAAATACACTTAATTGACCTTTGGTAATTTAAACATAAATTTTAAAACCGTTTATAACTTTTTTCACCAGAAAGACATGGAGAAATATAAAGAAGAACCTGAGCTGTTTACAAGCAAGTTAAAGCTACCTCTTCCATATTGGATATGTCAGCCTTATGTGCGACCAAAGTGGGTTTTAAAATCTTCATTTTATATCAACATTTATATCATGATTATATTGCAAAAACAGTAGACTACATTGATCCACTGATGGTCAATTTGTCTCAATAAACAGTATTAACCTCTGTTCTCTTGTAAAATCTGTTTGTTTAGCCCTGATGAAGAAGAGGATGATGAGCACAAGGAACTCAGGCAGAGACTGAACCTCAAGCGAGCTGAAGACATGCAGAAAATCAGTGCTGTTGAAGCGGGCTTGTCAAATAATAAACTGAAGAAAAAACTGAAATGTCCAAACAAAAATTTTGATCCTGATCTGAAGTTGAAGTTTGAAACTTGCAAACTTTGTCAAAATCCCAAGGTTTATTTCACTTCTAGTCCATATCAAATTTTCAAAAGTACTTCAATAACTGGTTCTTTTTTTTTTGCTATAATGTGCCTGTTTGTCAGTTAAAATTAGCTTTTGATGTAAACTATACTTAATTTTCTTTACTTTTCTTTCCCCAGGGCTTAAAATGTGAGTACAGTCTTTGTAAAGGATGTTGCAGAAAAAAAGCTAACATTGAAATCTTAAACTGTATAGGTAAGTTACCTTTCACAATACATGTCACGCAGCTTTTTTCGCTTTGTATTTTAACATAAAAAACTCATTTGTTTTACAACACTGCCAGGTCATCACATAAAGAAGAAAGCTGTGTTTGAAAAACAGAAAGCTGAGTTGTCTGATACAAATGATAATCTATTGGCTGCTTGTCATGGGAGTAAAACACATAATGGGTTCACAGAAAATTTCACAGCTAAAACAGTATTGGAAGATAGTAACAAAAGTAACTGTACCACAGATTTGTTGAGTCAAGTCAACCTTGAAACAGATATATGTGAGCTCTCTTGTACTAACACAACCTGATCTTTGGTTTGTTTCTTTTGTGTGAATGTTGACTGGTGTGAATCATGCTTTTTAATATGTTGTTAAAGTGTTACAGATTTAATCTTCACAGTGCAAAGATAAAAAATATGGAATTTATTTATAATAATAAAATAGTTGTCTGTCTTTAATGTCACTGTAAGATCTACATTAATTAAACTTAATATTTTACACAAATTAATATTTTTATTCTTTTTTTATAATTTGCTAGATTTTCAAATAATACTCGATTGTATTGATTTGAATACTAAGGGTTTTTATTGGAAATGTATGAATTTATTCGATATATGGGACATCAGTACCATCTTAAGAAAGTTTACAGTTTTTATCTAAATTGTAATTGTAAAATTGATTAACAAAATAAGAATCATCTCATAAAAATGTGTGAATTTTAAAAATTATTTTACCATAAACACAAAAAGCATCCATTTTGTCTACTGGAAAGGACAATTGATGAAATAATACCAACCTAATGTTAATTTAGATATGTCTTGTGTGTGTTAAATTATTCTGAATCAACCATGTAAACCATTCACTCATTCTTAAAACTCTAAAAGACAGATTCAAAATTGTTGCAGAATAGTAAAAATCTTTAATGCAAATGTAAAAAAAATTTCTTTTTACTACCTATGAATTAAAAAAAAAATTAATGTGATGCACCCAAACAAACTCAATACAAATTCCACTTGTTTTCAGAACATTCTCAGTTGTATGTTCTTCTAGAAGGAGAGCATCTCACCCTGAAAATGGAGAATGTTTACTTTTTATATTCTAGTTTCCTCTATTGATGAAAAAAAACAAAATTCTAACTGGCCAGTGTTGGTATTTAGCACATACCTTCCGCTTTAGATCTCCACCTAGCTGCAAATGCTTGCACCGTTTGATGGCTATTTGCTTTTTCACTCCACAATCTTTACACTCCAACTTGAGTACAATTTTTTTTGTTGTCTTGGCCTGTACAGAAAAAGTGTCTGCTATTAAATGGTCAAAAAAGCTCTCACCAGTATTTAATTTTGGATTGTGATTGCAGTAGCCTAATAGAGTGCAATATTAGGGATTGGATGGTTTTGCAATGCATAATAATACACATTTATGATTTTTTGGTTTTTTTTTATCTGGGACTTATTTGGGATCCAGTTTATCTGTTATCTGTATTCCAGTTCCAGTTTATCAGATCCTGTTATCTGGGACCCAGTTTATCAGTTTCTGTTATCTGAAAGTCTTATCAGAGGGACCAAGACCATATTTCAGCTCATTGTCATGTCCAAGCATGTTTTTATAATGTTGCAATGGAGGCGAATTACCCAGGAGTGTTTTTGATGGTCATTGCCAATATGAATAAGTACAACATAAAAAGGTGAACATGAGCAGATGAGGGAATGCAAGGCAGAAACAAAATGTGAGGGTTTGCAAAATTCAGCATGTTTGTCAGCAAGGTACCAGGTTCTGACCTTTTTCCGTAGTATAGGTCTAGTCTGACCTTTGAAGCCCGCCTGCTTCCTGTCGTACCTTCGTTTACCTGGGGGAAAAAATTTCAAATTCCCAAATCAAATTTTTTGAAATCCCAACTTCATCAGGCAAATAAAATAATAATATAGTCTACTTTTATAAAAAAAATTAAAATGCTATCATAAATTTTTTTTAAAAAAAACAACTATTGAACATTAAAAGGTTTTGAACACTTTCCGTCACTTAGACTGACCTTGTACTTTTACACTTTCTTTACCCCTTTTGTACTGAGTTGTTTTGTGCTCCGTGTGTTTTTTGCATTTCTTACAATGGGTTCTTCTGTTCTTAGGGATGTTTACCTGCCAATGAACATACATAAAAATGTCAAATCTAGTCAAGAGGGGGGGGGGTGCATTTCTGAGAACTTGTTACTCCCCTTATGCTCCTACAATATCAAACAGCAGACAGGCCTGTTGTAATACTAAATCAAACAGCAGACAGCCCTGTAGTAATACTAAATCAAACAGCAGACAGCCCTGTTGTAATACTAAATCAAACAGCAGACAGCCCTGTTGTAATACTAAATCAGACAGCCCTGTTGTAATACTAAATCAAACAGCAGACAGCCCTGTTGTAATACTAAATCAAACAGCAGACAGCCCTGTTGTAATACAAAATCAAACAGCAGACAGCCCTGTTGTAATACTAAATCAAACAGCAGACAGCCCTGTTGTAATACTAAATAATAGAATGATAGATTTTCAAAATTTAATAAAACTTCTTGTCCATCAAATGTTTTGAATATAAAAAAAAAACATGAATAAACCACCTACGTCAGAGGGGCATCTCCAAACAAAAATATATCAGCTTGTATATTATGTAAGTTAAGGGGTGGGATGAACCACCTCCTAGGGGTATAACCATTGTGTAACACACATTGTTGATGCAATGTTAACTGTTGTGTAACACATTGATGCAATGTTAACTATTGTGCAACACATCAATGCAATGTTAACTATTGTGCAACACATAGGGATGATGTAATGTTAACTATTGTGTAACACATACAGATGATGCAATGTTAACTATTGTGCAACATTTTGATGCAATGTTAACTATTGTGCAACACATACGGATGATGCAATGTTAACTATTGTGCAACACATATGGATGATGCTATGTTAACTATTGTGCAACACATATGGATGATGCTATGTTAACTTTTTTGCAACATATTGATGCTATGTTAACTATTGTGCACCACATATATGTATGATGCTATGTTAACTATTGTGCAACATATTGATGCTATGTTAACTATTATGCAACATATTGATGCAATGTTAACTATTGTGCAACATGTTGATGCAATGTTAACTATTGTGTAACACATACTGATGCAATGTTAACCATTGTGCAACACATCAATGCAATGTTAACTATTGTGTAACACATACGGATGATGCTGTTAACTATTTTGCAACATATTGATGCTATGTTAACTATTGTGCAACATGTTGATGCAATGTTAACTATTGTGTAACACATACTGATGCAATGTTAACCATTGTGCAACATGGATTGATGCAATGTTAACCATTGTGTAATTGATGGTATGTTAACTATTGTGCAAAAGATATTTGTGATTTGTGCAATGTTAACATATTAATTCAATGTAAAACGTAGTGCCTTGTGAAACATCAACCACAGATCAACAGAATCCTAACATTGGATGCCACAAAAATAGTTACGCTTTTACCCATCTACTCACCATGATTAAATGAAATTAAAATTTCCTTGACACCGTTTCAATTATTAATTGTTCAAATGGATTTAAAAACTACGATTGGACTTCAAAACTTAACGGCATTTTGGTTTATATACCAACCTACGGCCTTTAGAGTGATGGTGGGTCGGGAGGAGGGGGGTGAAAAAGTTCTAGGTTCATTTTTTATTCCGTTACCGTATACTCAGTTATTGCACCACCGTCTGTAACATCATTAGACCACATTAAGTTCCGCGCTGTGCTGTCGTGCTAACGGTGTGAACGATGCTTCTCAAACAATAGTATAGAGCAAGTTTAAATTTATTTTAGTGTAGCCTGCCATTGTTTTCTTTATAAAGTGTTGAATTTGAAATTAAATAAAAAGCTGCTTGGCTTAAACATATTTACTGTACTTTTCCGCCTTAAAATTCTTTGTTTGATAATTAGTCTTTGAATTTATACTACGGTCATCCCAAAACCTATTCATAACACCGGTTATCCCCCTTGGGTATCTTTGCTGGCAGAGTTGAGGACCGTAGAGTGCCCGCTGATAGGGCAGAGATAACAGGCGGGTATTACACCTGGTGAAGCAATGGATTATCACGGCCTTGTGGAACTAGCTTATATATCACAATAGACATTTTGTTTTTAACGGTTGGGGGGGGGGGGCTAGTCAGATTTGTGGGGTGGGTTCGATGGTTAATCAAAACTGTAGGGACAGGTAAAAAAAAAGTCAGATCTTCTATTAGGGGGGGGGGGCAAAGCATAACCTGGCAGAGGGGGCGGGTCGAAGTGTAGCCTTATCTGCACTCATTTATTGTGTTGACAAATAAATACAGAAGTGTTGTTGAAGTGAGCTCGAGGGGACACGAGCAGATGACAAGATGCAGATGATAAGATTGGGGATCTCGAGATTATATCTGGCTACAAATTACAGCTTCCCTGAGTCAACTCAGCTGTAGTGAGTACCCGGTCACTAGCATAGTATGATGATATCACAAAAACAAATAAAACAAATGTGCAAAATAATTGTTTAATGCATTACGACGCGGGAGTACAATTTTAATTACATATTGCGTGTATAAAACGTGCAGTAAAAGAGATTATGCCGAGGTCATGATGTTATACCATCACGATGTCAAATCATCACAAAGTCACAACATCAAGATGTCTGAATGTAGACTTGATCAAAACGTCGGCACTTGATCCTGGAAATAGAAGACAACAATGTAAACCTTAACACAGAGCATTTTAGTTTTGTCGTGATCAGAAGCAACAGACGAGTAAAATAAGTACAACTTACTGCTGGGGAGGTAATATTGATTGGGACTCATCATTGATGTTTTATGTGTGAGCTTCTTCTGCATTGATGTTTTATGTGTGAGGGTCTGCATTGATGTTTTATGTGTGAGGTTCTTCTGCATTAATGTTTTATGTGTGACGTTCTTCTGCATTGATGTTTTATGTGTGACGTTCTTCTGCATTGATGTTTTATGTGTGAGGTTCTTCTGCATTGATGTTTTATGTGTGAGGTTCTGCATTGATGTTTTATGTATGAGGTTCTTTTACATTGATGTTTTATGTGTGAGGTTTTTCTGCATTGATGTTTTATGTGTGAGGTTTTTCTGCATTGATGTTTTATGTGTGAGGTTCTGCATTGATGTTTTATGTGTGAGGTTCTTTTACATTGATGTTTTATGTGTGAGGTTTTTCTGCATTGATGTTTTATGTGTGACGTTCTTCTGCATTAATGTTTTATGTGTGAGGTCTGTTTTACAGTGATGTTTGATGTTTTATATTTTATATTGATGCAGTGGCGGAACTACGTTGTCTATGAAACCCGCAATGTGTGTGTGTGTGTGGGGGGGGGGGGGGGGTTGGCGGCTTTGGAGCCCAAAACCCGACTTTTAATTAAAGAAACAAGACTAGAGTGCATCAAGATTAATCGCAGTGTAGTAGTGTAGTGGGTATCACGTGCGTATCAAAGGGTTCTCCTATAGTTTTGATGCTGTTATTTTGATGAATGCCCTCATATTTGATGGGAAAGACAGTATTTTGGTTATGGCTGAGCACTTTTGAATTGTGTTTGTTTAATATTTTCATTCAATTATTAGTTAGCGGGTGAATTATTCTAGGGGACGTCACCGTGATGTCATACAGCGGAGCTAACTAGATTGACTGTAGCCTTGGTCAAACTTTATTAACAGCTGGTCTGGACCAAGGGAGATAACCGAATAAACCACCGAAGAGTTACCTTCCGTTTAAGATCTCCTCCAAGCTCTAACCTCTTGCTCCTTTTAATAGCGAGCTGTTTTCTGATGCCGCACTCCTTACACTCCAGCCGAAGGACTATTTTCTTGCTGGTCTTGGCCTTAACATATAATCAGGTACATTCAAACGATGTTGCTATTAGATAAACACTGTGTATTCTAGTAGAGACAATCTCAGGAGTTGTGTCGAAATCACGTCGTTATTTACAATTTAAGCCAGTTTACACCCCCCACCACGTTTTCCACCTCCTATGATCAGCAGAGGCGTAGCGACCCTTCCCGGCGCCCGGGGACAAACTTTCGATTTGCACCCCCCTCACTTTCGATTTGCACCCCCCCCTCAGACTTTCGATTTGCACCCCCCCCCCCCCTTCAAGCTTTCAATTTATTTTTCCAACCCATTTTGGCGCCCCCTAAGGTCGGCGCCCGGGGACATATGCCCCCCCCCCTCGCTACGCCTCTGACGGTCAGATGTCGTTACAAAAAGCCACTTTATAATGATGTAATAAATTTTCCATCCCCACCCAAAACTACCCATAATTCTAACGAAAATAATGTTTTCAATTTTTGTTCTTTAGCAACACCCATTAACTCATCAACGTAGTAAAACAGCCCCCCCCCCCACCCACCCCTGTATGTGTGACGCCATTTATGGACGACCCACCATTCAGCAGAAAGTAAAGTACGATTATAGTAGGTTTGCATAACTATTTTTCAAAAATAGGACTTTGCATAACTATTGTTCAAAATTAGGACTTTGCATAACTATTGTTCAAAAACAGGATTTTGCCTATCCATATCATTATCAGTCTCTACGCGATTACGGAAATTTCTATTTATTTAACAAATTTAATTATATGACCCTACAAATCATCAGGTTCAGTAGTGTAGTGGTTATCACGCTCGCCTCACACGCGAGAGGTCCTGGGTTCAAACCCCAGCTGAACCAAGAAATTTTGTTTTACTCACCTTCTTCTTCAGCTTGGGCCTCGTCCTGCCTTTAAATCCTGCTTGTTTTCTGTCATACCTGCGCCGACCTAACAACAGTAGAAACATTTGATGCTATCTGAGCAGTCATTGCTTTGTTGGTGGGTACCTTATGCTCGTCTATTTCTCGTTACATTATTTAAAGTCTGAGGTATGATGTACTTGTAGGAATTTTTTTAAAATCCACATCTCGTGGTACGGAGTTTTATACCATGAGTACAAACAATGAATTCCCGACAGACACAGGTTCCCGACAGACACAGGTTCCCGACAGACACAGGTTCCCGACACCACAGGCATAGTTCTCGACACTACAGACACAGGCTCCATACACCACAGACACAAGTTCCCGACACCAGCGAGACAGCTCTATACCAGCAAGTAAATGAGCAACCTACCTAGAGCGAGACTTCTCTCCTTAGACCTCTTGTATTGTGTAGTCTTGTGCTCAGTGTGTTTATTACATCTCTTACAGTGTGTTCGTCTTGTTTTTGGTATGTTCACCTTGTGAGATCAGAACGAGGAATAACTCTATATAATATATTTCAATAATCTGGTGTTGTATATAAAATATACAACATACAACATACATAAATCACTAGAGCGTAGATGAAGATAAGACTTAGGTCAGTGTGAAATCCTATCAAATTATTTGAAACAAAAGCTACAACACGCCAAACGAACCATGTCGTATCAGCCTGAAGGACGGGCCCACACAGCACCGATACGAATATAATTTGTGGGAATCGAGATTATTGTATCAGTCCACTGGATCATCTTCTACCGGCCCGTTTAATCTTTTGCTTTAAATACATTCGGACACGTCACATAGTCACCTGGAGGGGGGGGGGTGTTCTTCACAGCTCCATCAACTCGACCATCTGTTATACCACTTGATTGAACTACCTAGTTTATCTGCGTGAACCATTAAGTGACACTACATCACAACAGAAGATAAGAGAATTATTCCTTATTTGATTATCTATTTAGTTTGTTGGTAAACATAAAATACAGATCAACAATTTAACTTGTTTAATCTGATTACATTGTACAATTTGTAAATGTAACTGTTTCCTGATAGGGTGACAAAACAATACAATGGTTCAGCTGGGGATCGAACCAAGGAACTCACGCGTGTGAGGAGAGCGTGATAATCACTACACTATCAATATATTGTATTGATTTTAATTTCACTTTAACAAAAGTCCGCCATCCAACGTTGTATCTGTTACCATATGACAATGTATTCGAATTTAAAAAGCTTATTTTGAAATGCATTAGTAAATACATAGCGGACGATAAAGAAAATAGACTACAACACTGTTTAACAGACGGATTTTACGGTTTTCAACATTGATTGTATTACAGCAAAATAAATACTACTAAGGTAAAAAGTGCACCCCCACCTTTTCCGAAATTGGGAGGCGGGGGCGCTTTTTCACCAGAGTTTCTTCCAGGCATCTTTTCCTGGCTCCGCCTCCATGAAGAAATTCTACCGCCACCCCCGCTCCCCGAACGTGGAAATATATGGAATTTATATAGAAAAAAAATATTTTTACCAGTGTCCGCCCCCCCCCCCCCCCGGAAAATGTTGACCGCCCCCCCCCTCCCAAAATATCAAGTCCCCCCCCCTGAGAAAAAAGTCTGGAAGAAACACTGTTTTTCACAGCGTAGATCAGAACTATTTTTTCCTGCACTTTGTTTTCACTCGGAAAAGAAATCAAGTGTCCAAACACACCGTGTGTTATCCCATAGCCTCATAGGCAATGTGCCAGTCCACTTTTATGATGTTAAGAAATGACTCGACTAGTACCTGGCATTTCTCTCAGTTTGTTACATATAAAGACCTCTGCTTGATTTATACATATTTACTGCATCAATCGTAGGCGTATTACAAATAAAAAATGATCCTTCAGTCTGAAGGGATGATCTGTCAAGAGCGGGTGGGTATGAGGGGGGGGGGGGGGGGGGGGGAGTAAAATGAATAGCTTCTGCCAAAGGGGTCATTCATAAATGCAGAGTTTCGTCCAGGCATCTCTACCCCCCCCCCCCCCCACCAAATGAAATTTATATAGAAAATATATACTTTTTACAGTGTCCGTCCCGTCTCCCCCCCCCCCCCCTTCAGAAAATTTTAGTCCGCCCCTTAAAAACGCGAAGTAACGGCTAAAATCCAGTTTCTCACATTACGTTTTTAAAATGAAAAATAACCGTATTGTGTTTTGAAAATAATTTCGTTGTTTATGTAATTATATAATTTACAGTTCTATATTGTTCCATACAATATGAGACTAATTTAAAAAAATATTTTTATTAAAATTGTGTGTGTATCGAAATTAACATACCATTAGAGCTAATTTATCACTGCATATATTTAGTTTAGTTGCTATAACCTCTCGCTTGTGAGGCGGGCGTGATCACCACTACACTACTGACCAAGTTCTTCTTCTGTTCAATCCTGTGGAGTATAGGGCAGCAACAAATCTTCGCCATTCCACTCTGTCTTGTGCGAGCCACTTCAACTCATTCAATGACTTGCCAGTAGCCTGCACTTCTTCCATCTCTCTCCTCCGTGTTCCCAGTGGTCTTCCACTCTTTCGTTTTCTGCGTGGAGTCCATTTTATCGCTGTGTTCGAGTGTCTTCTTCTGTTCATGCGAAGGACATGACCCAGCCATCGCCATCTCCTCATTCGTACTTCTGAGGCAATGTCATTTAAGACTGTCCTTCGTTGTATTTCCTTGTTCCTTGTAACTGACCCACAGTTACTGAGTTGATACTGTATTAGACCTAATAAATAATTATCTTTTTTAAACAAGGGGTCATCCATAAATGACGTCCGCTTTTTTGACGATTTTTACTCCCCCCCCCCCACTCCGTCACACGTCGTCACCAAAAGCCAGACCCCCCTAAAATGACGTCACACCTCAGCCTACAACCCCCCTCAAAATTGCAGCTGATTTTTTTTTTTAAATCGATATTTTTCTAAAATCTTGTCTGAACTCTGTCAAAATAGAGTATTCTAATCAATTCCTATTACAATTTATTAAAACAGTTTTCTAAAACGCGAAATAACGTCTAAAATTCGTTTTCTAACATTGCTTTTTTATAATGCAAAAGTGTGACGTCGCACCATCTGACCCCCCCCCTCCCCCTCATCACACATCGTCACAAAATTACGGACCCCCCCTCCCTCTACGAGTGTGACGTCATTTATGGACGACCCCCAAACGACGTAGGGGTGTGATAAAGTAAGTGGTAAACATTCGGCATTTTGACTTTTCTACTAATGACTAATTTAAGCTTATACGCTGTTTTCTAGAAACAGTATTTGACGATGAAATACGCCACGGGTCTATAAGTATCCTAACACGAAAAAATGACGTACCTACAAAGGGTCTTTTCCATATAAGTCTTAATCTACCGGCCATCTCTTCTATATAAGCCTACCTGCCTACTTTTCGATTAAGTCCAAATGCCTTTATTCCATGTAAGACCACCTGCCTTCTCTTCCATATAACTATGAGCCTACATGCCTTCCAGAGTTTCTTTCAGACATCTCCTTCGGCTGAGCCCCCGAAGAAAGTACCACCCCCTGAAATAAATAAAATTTATATAGAAAATAATGCTTTTTACCAGTGTGCACCCCCTTCCCCCCCCCCGGAAAATGTAGTCCCCCCCTCCCCCCAATATTTAACTGCTGCCTTCTCTTCCATATAAAACCGCTCTTCAAATAAGTAGGCATGTAAGCCTACCTGAAACTCGGCTGTCAATTAATGTTTCATTTATAAAGCACTAATTCTGCACTCTGTTATACACATGTTATTTGCGTTCATTTAGTGCGCGATTTTTAAAACGTCAATAAACATTTTAATATTTTCATATGAGGTTAAAGGTTATAGAAAACGACTTCATTTTTTGTCTACCTCTTCAATGGCCTTATAGAACTTTTCGCATTGATGTTATTTCTATCAGTTTTTAGACGATTTCCGGTAACCGGAACGGGCATATTCGAAAAACTTTTCGACGTATTTTCCCAAAAACAATCAGTTTTGTCTTTTAAGGGAGGTCACTCCCGCTTTATTAGTTCGCTTGACCCGGAAACAATTCTGATTGACCTCACTCATCTAAAAAGTAAACAAAACATTAGTACTGCTAGTAAGGAGTGTTACAGTTACGGTATTATATTTGTCTCTAAATCTACCTATTGTTACACTCCGAATTTTAGGAATTTAAAGTTAACTTCAAATCTTAACGATTAGTCTTTTAAAGATGAATGTAGATCAAGATCTATAGGTATTTGTAATAAAAATATCATTCAAATGTGTTCAAAATAAATCAAGCTGGCTGGTACTACTCCGGCTACTCCGAGTGCGGACTTTTAGATTTTAGATGCGTAAAATGAAAATCGGCCGAGGCTAGTAATGTCCGAAAAAAGTTGCCTCATTGTTAAGGCTTTAATAGAAGTATACATAATATATATAGACATATATTTTTGTCAAATATTATATATAAATGAATAATTTATAATAAACCAAAATTGATGGCTAAAACTAAGTAAAAAAAAAAGTATGTCAATTTTTTAAGACCAGAAATGAACTTTAAACAACAGTGTTTGCAAGCAAGATTTGCTATATAATATTAGTATATATAGATCTATATTCCCATCTGTAAAACAGAGTGGCTTCACCTGAATTTCCCACAATAAGTTTTCCAAAAAAAAAAAAGTTTAAGATGGCTGCTAAGCCTGCTAAAGTAAATAATGAGCTTGGTTGCATCTGATGAAAACAATTAAATGAATTAAACATCGCTAGTCTTTATTTATTACCGAAAAGTTTTATTACAATTGTTTAAAAACAGGTACATAAATGAATCTTTGAAACATTTTTGTAAATTTTAAAACATAAATCCTCCTATAAATGTCAAATAATTACTAAAATTTAAGGAGTCACCTTTTTTTCACATTACTAGTCTTGGCCGATTTTACGTACCTTAAACGATAGATTTCCCAGAGTGTTACTGCTACACACTAGTCACTACTAGACTAGTAGTAGTACATGACAATAATAAACTACAGTGTGCACACACTACCATTATACTAACTTACTAAACTACTAGATAGGAAGAATCTAGACTAGACTACGTCTAGTATTAGTATATTAATATTATAGTAATGCAATACTATTATAGTAGTGCTTGTATTTAGTTTTGTGTATTTTAATTTTTTTACATGTAAAATTTATTATAAAATTAATAATTATAAATGCAAATATTTATTTTCTGTTCTAACTCAAAATTAACAGGATGTGAGGTGACTCATTAAACACAAATTTTAATTAACAGCATTCAACAAAGTTAGTAATTTTACAATGGCACAAATGCTGCTATATGGAAAACCTACCAAAATCTCAAAATGCGTAATTAACAGCTATTAATATGTACACATTAATTTTCATTAAATAGTTAAATTGAGTACACTATTATATGCATGATGTTTCTTTGAATACAATTTTTTATTTAAACTTTTGATTAAAAATTTTACAGAGTTTGCTTTACAGCCAGCCATAAACAATGAGTTAACCTTAATTCACAAGATAAAAATAGATTGAAAAAGAATTTTAAAAAGAATTTTAGATATTGAAAAATGGCAGCATTTCTTAAAAATCTGGCAACTGGATTTAATGATATAGTTACTGTTGCTCAAGCTAAAATTAGTCCATTCACTGTACAAGCTACAACTGCTGAGAAGTTAAGCCAGAATGGGTAAGTTAAAGATCAACAATAAAAGTAGATTACTCATTTTTGTTACTATTGCTTTACAATTTGTAAAGTCCACATTTTTTGTCATATTTTGTATTTTAAAGAGTAACACTGTACTCACTCTAATTTTCATGAATGCATTATTTTTTTGGGTATCTTGATCATCATCATTCAGTTAGTTATTAAAGAAGCTTTAAATGAAAAATTATCACCATAAAATATTGTCTTGCCTACTATTCTTTTATACATATTACATGAAAGATTAAATTTACTATTTCAAACTACAATTTATTTAGTTGCAAGCAAGTGAAGCAAGATGGTTGCCTTGCCTTGTATCGTAGAGCTGGGGCTATTTCAACATTAGAGTGTACAGTCTGTAAGCATGATATGCCATCCAAAATGTTGAGGTAAGTAGTAGGCCTACTGTCTAAACTATTATTGTCCATATGGCAGATGAAGTAGAGTTTCTGTGTCACAGCTTATGAAGAGATTGTATGGTCATACTAAGTCAGCTGGGCTCTTTGCATAGTTTCTTCTGAACAAAATGGAATTTATATAAAAAATATATACTTTAACCTGTGTATTCTGTCACACTGTTGAAACAGAAGTGTATGTTCTCTATAAATCTTTGAATTTTAACAATTTTTTCATTATATTCCATCAGACAGTTAAAACTGAAGTAAATGTTCTCTTTAAATTTTTATTTTGATCATTTTTTTTCCCTAGCGTATTCCGTCACACAGTTGAAACAGAAGCTGAGGTACTCTACAAATCTCTGATTCTAATGATGGGCCCTATAGCCAGCAGTGGTGCTGTGCCCTTTCAAGAAGACCAGTACCAGAAACTTCTAGACTGCATCAAAGAGCATCCATCTTGGACTAGTGCTCATGTGGCTGCTTACTTGGGACACCACACATGCTTGAAATGCCCTGGCGTGTTTGAGTAAGTATTTTTAATATAAAATTTCACTTTCACCATTGTTCATCGAGCATGAACATTTTTTTGGTGTTGTTTGAATCAAGAAATTTCAAACAAGAGTTGATTCTTGGCAATATATGTTTTAAAAAATGTAATTTTTTAATTAATTCATGTAACAGTAGCCACAATTAAATAAAAAATACAAGAAATCTAATAGAAGTTTTGTGTTCTATTTGTTGAGAGTTGAATCCATTGTTTTTACTAGATGCATTGACCATCAGTGTGCCACCCACATGATGACACCACTAATGGCAGCACTTGTGGGCAAACAAGCCTTGTGTGTGGAGGAGCTGTTGAGGCTTGGAGCCAAGATAGAAAAGCAGGACAAAAATGGAGACACACCTTATCACTACGCTGTTTTAAACTGCCCACCTGTGGTTTCTGTAAGACTTCATCTTTACGCCTTATCATGCTTTATTACCAGCTGAAAATGTGGTTATGTTGGTTTTTTAAAATATCAAGAAACCTATGTAATAATATTTGTAAAATAATTATATTTATATCGTGTGCCGCAAGGTAAAACTACTATAATTATCGCTGTTACAGTGAGCGTTTAAAAAAAAATTTCACTAATAATTTTTAAAAATTTATCCACCCACTCATTGTGATTTTGAAATATGTCAAATGTCAGGATCTGGCTGTATAAGAGTTTGTGATTGGGGAAATTATCAAAGTCAAACAGCCTGCCATAAATATTAGCTTGAGTCATGTATTTTTTACCAGCAACTATTGGGTTCATTAAAATAATAAAAGATGAATTATGTTCTTATCACTTACATTTTTCCAATTAATGTAAAACTTTTCACAATATTTTAAGAGTTGTTTACACTGAAGTTGGTCTGAAATGTCACTTTCAGCTGTTGATTGACTTTGACAAAAGTGGTGTCATCAACTGGTTGAATGGCAAGGGGGAATCAGCCCTGTTGCTGGCCTGTATTCGCAAGCTTTCAGACGCCACTGAGATTCTCATTGGCTCCGGCGCTGATCCCAGAATATCATCAGCTGATTGTCTGCCCATACATGCAGCTGTTCGCTCATGTGACATCAAGTATGCCAGCATTAACTTTTTTTAAATAAATATATGTATAATTTGTATGTAGAAAAATTATTTTGTAAGTTTTGATTATTCTAGATAATTAAATTATTTAAATTGTTAAGTTCTTTATTCTTTTAATTTTTATTGATATATAGCGTATTTAATATATTTTTATCATTTTTTTTTTATTATTTGAAAAAGATTTTTTTAAATTTAATCTTTTAAAAAAGTTGAAATTTGTTTAAATTGTAATATTTCTCCATAAAAAAGTTAAGTAAAGTTTTCCCTTTCAAACCTGACGGTCTATGGGGCAAGTGAAGTAGAGTTCTCCATATAAGTACATTATAAGTTGTAAAAATAATGTTTGACCAATCGAAACAGGTCAATGGAAGCCATTATTCAGGCTTACCCTGACCAAGCCAATGCCACAGATTTTAAATATGGAGGAACACCCATGCATTGGGCAGAGAATGTTGAGGTAAGTAGTCAGATTATTTTTTAAAACACGCACTGAAGATGATGTGGTAAAAATAGTGGGTTTTTTAATTGGCGAACTACATGTAGAAAGAATTCCAGTGGTGAAAACACATTTTTAAAATGCATATGAAACTTAAATGTATAACATTTTTTCATCAAACATAAGGATTTATTAGTTTTTATGTTGTATGATTAGTTGTATACATATAACATCCTTTTAAAAAAAAAATTCTCCCTGCTATTTTTTTCATTAAAACAAAATATTTATTAACTTTTTTATAGACTATTCAAAGGTATACATTTTTAAATTGAATTTAGGCAATTTATTAATAGCATTGTTAATTTGTCTTGGCTTTGTTCTTTGTGTTTTAATTTTAAGTTATCAATTCAATAGTTACACATGTAGGCCTACATTCAAAGTTTAAATTTTATGTGATTTTTAAAAATGAAAAATCTGCTAATTTAAATGCCATACATCTTGTAAAGTAGATTCTTTATTCTTTTAACATAAACTAGGGAATTCAAGGAGAAATGTATTTTAAAATTTAAGCCAAAAAAAAGTAAAGAGCAACCATCACAGTAAAAACTACAAATAGTTCTGTTAGAAAGTATAATTCAAATATTATTCCAAAGATGAAAGGGCAAAAGTTCTAAATTTTAATACAACTGTAAAAGTATAATTTAATTGATATAGCAACTCTCTAAAACTAGACCTACTGGTTGCTTACTCTAACTCTTCCTGTTGACTTTGAATTTTTAAAGAAATTTCAACTTTTAAAAGAAATTATTTTAATTTGATTTCTTGCTGTGCATTTTTAGTGCATTCAGAAACTTGCATTGCTGGGATGCAACCTTGACATTCTAAACAAAGAGGGTAATGCGCCCCTGCATGTTGTCATGGTGACCAAAAAGAAGCCAGAGTGTCTGCTAGCCCTGCTGTGTCATGGGGCCAGCTGCAACATTCTGGATGCTCAAGGGGAGGCTGTGCTCCACAAGGCTATCAAGGTGACAACCATCATCTGTTTGTTGTTGGTGGAATGTAGAATTTATACCTTCCAATACAGTGTACATCTTTTTATCTTTTGATATTTATATATCTATACCTTTTAAGTTTTTAACTATACTATAATGTATGCCATTTATTATAAATACTACTTTTCTTTATCTCTACTCTCTCCCTACCTGGTCACTGGCTTTCAGCCTGCCTTCATTTATTTAACATTTGCCCTTCTGCAAGCTGGTTTTTTTCTGCTTGATGGGTCGTTAGAGCATATTTATTTGGTGAAGAATTTTGTATTTAATGTATTTCTCTATAATTTTGTATTCATTTCCAAGTTTTATATTTAAATGTATTTCTGTGTGAAGAAATACTTAATTTACTGTATTTCTGTGTGAAGAAAACTGTATTTACTGTATTTCTGTGTGAAGAAAACTGTATTTACTGTATTTCTGTGTGAAGAAAACTGTATTTACTGTATTTCTGTGTGAAGAAAACTGTATTTAATGTATTTCTGTGTGAAGAAAACTGTATTTAATGTATTTCTGTGTGAAGAATGATGATCTGGAACTAGTCCGTCAGTTTGTCGTGTTTGGGGCAGACGTCAACCTGAGGACGAGCAGTGGACAAAGTCCAAGACATCTGGCCTCAGTATGTAAAGGAAAAAATAAGTGAGTTCAAGAATTCATCTGTGTTGTCTTAAATGTAGCATTGGATCATTTAGATGTGTCTATTGCTAGATTGGCTTATGTGTAACACATCTGTAGGTTTAACTCTACACCCACATCTACATCAAATAATGTATTCCCCTAACTGTTAAATTTAGGCAGCATGTTATATGATAGTTTGTGCAGTTCACTAAAATCTAATGTAAATGTATATTGTGTTTGTCTTGCCAGTACATCTGTGTCTATGTTTCAGGAAGAAAAAGTGAGTTGTGTTAAGTATACAGATTGTTTATCAAATGCTTAACTCCCTCTATTCTAATATAACTCATATCCTTTTGATTCATGAATTTCCTTTTTTAATAGGGAATTTAGAAATCAGTCAAAGAACCTTTTAAGCCTAATATCAATATTCAAATTAAATTGTACTCACATCAAATAAAATATGAGATCACATAGTTCCAGCTATTTTTAAATTTATCACTAAAATATTTCAATTAATTTATGTTCTGTAACACATTTTAAAATTCCCAATTTTAAATTCTGTTATGAAATTACTTAATCAATAGTTGTTCTACTAATCAATTGCAGTTGTTTAAAAACATAAAATATAAACATTTTAACTAGTTGACTATTATAGAGGTTAGTGAATAAATTAGATGCTGTTCTACATTATCCACAATGTTGATAGTCAACTTTGAATTACTTTGTATTTCTAAAAACTTAGGACCCATCTCTTTATCAGAGTTTTCATATTCCTCTATATTATTGCTTCTCAGGATAGGTTTTGTGCTCATAAAGACATATTTTAACAGCATTATCATTTCATAACTTTTTTTATATAGCTTGCTCTAACAATTAGATATTTTATACATTCATTTTTCTTGGTGGACTGTAACCAACTTTTGCTGTTAACAAAGTAACAAACACTAATGAGTAGAGGTTTATCATGTCTTATCCAACTGTAACCACTTGTTCATGCTCCATTCTTCTCATGTGTAGAGGTTTATCATGTCTTATCCAATTGTAGCCACTTGTTCATGCTCCATTCTTCTCATGAATAGAGGTTTATCATGTCTTATCCAACTGTAGCCACTTGTTCATGCTCCATTCTTCTCATGAGTAGAGGTTTATCATGTCTTATCCAACTGTAGCCACTTGTTCATGCTCCATTCTTCTCATGAGTAGAGGCTTATCATGTCTTATCCAACTGTGGCCACTTGTTCATGCTCCATTTTTCTCATGCATCTTGTTCACAGACTAGCATGACCTATTTACTGCTGACCTAATACTGCATACCCATACATATGTTTCATAAACATTTTTTTTTAAATCTCCGAGAATAATGCTTATTTTGTCTGCGTTCCCTCCCTTTCAATGATTGGCTTCATAAAAAAATAAAATGAAATTTCACTTATTTTTTTCCTTTTTAAAAATAGTTTTGTAAAAAGTAAAATAAAATTGGTAGCAAATTCATTTTGTGCAAGAAGTTTATATATTCTTTTTAAAAACCTTTCCGGGGGGAGGGGTGTGAATGAATAAAATATTTAGTTCATTCCGTTATTACATCTACGAAAACATTGCTTGTAATTTTGATAAGGAATCTGATTATAAGTTTTACAACTCATGTATGAACTCTATAAGGCCTGGGTTAATCATTTTAAAATGATCTGCACATTTTTTATTCCATGATCAATTGTTTTCCAATATATAATAATCCTACTTTAAAAATAATTTGTTATATAACTTTAAAAAAATATTATTCTAGATGCTCATAGAACAATTACATGTTAATTAATTTTAAACCTTTAACAAAGAATAACATGCTGTCTTTGTTACAGTATAACACCAGGTTTTTTTTAACCAAAAACTTTTTACAGGGAGACAATTCTTTACTTGCTCCATGTGTCAGGGGCCAACAGGTGTGATACCTCGTGCAAGGGCTGTTTTGCTGGGTGTGTCGCTGAGGGCAACTACAATGGTCAGCCTGACCAGACTATGTCAGCCTTGATGAAACTGGACAATGTAGGTGAGTTAAAACTCCAACATCAACCCCACAGCCAGATGAAACTGGACAATGTCGGTGAGTTAAAACTCCAACATCAACCCCACAGCCAGTAGCACTTACTGGTACATCTAGCTGTGAACTAGCTAAACATAGCTGCAAGTTAATTGAGTATCCCTGACACTACCAATTTTAGCTGCAAGTTAGATGAAGGCTATTATTGTGTTATACAACAGTGACTGCTGTTAACACACATAAATTAAAAAAAAAAAACATTTTGAAATTGTATAATTTACTAAGAAGTGTAACTGGAAATCTGCAAATCAGATAGAATGTCTGAGATTTTAATGTTTTTCAAGCACTGAAAGTTTGTAACCCACCCAATGAATTCCTGTTTGAGATGGTTATGTTATGTTTTTCAAGCACTGAAAGCTTGTAACCCACCCAATGTTTTCCTGTTTGAGCAGCGCTGTTTGATGAGCAGTTGATGGCCACAGTTGTCCACAGCAGCAGGTCACCCCAGCAGCAGGGGGCAGTGCTGGACATGGTGGACTCCCTGGTGTCTGTTGGGGATAGGGTGAGTCAGTGGGGAGTGGGAGTCAGTGGGACATCCTGTCTAGATGTGTCAGTGTACATCATGTATGATTAGTCCACACCATCTATCTGTAGGTCCTGTGTCTGGATGTGTCAGTGTACATCATGTATGATTAGTCCACACCATCTGTCTGTAGGTCCTGTCTAGATGTGTCAGTGTACATCATGTATGATTAGTCCACACCATCTGTCTGTAGGTCCTGTCTAGATGTGTCAGTGTACATCATGTATGATTAGTCCACACCATCTGTCTGTAGGTCCTGTCTAGATGTGTCAGTGTACATCATGTATGATTAGTCCACACCATCTGTCTGTAGGTCCTGTCTAGATGTGTCAGTGTACATCATGTATGATCAGTCCACACCATCTATCTGTATGTCCTGTCTAGATGTGTCAGTGTACATCATGTATGATGAGTCCACACCATCTGTCCGTAGGTCCTGTGTCTAGATGGGGGAGGTATCCGTGGCCTGGTGCTGATCCAGATACTCATGGAGATTGAAGCTGTTGTTGGCAAACCAATCAAAGACTGTTTTGATTGGATTGGTGGGACAAGTACAGGTGGCATCTTGGCGCTGGGAATAGCTAGAGGTCAGAGGTTGTTTTTTCTGTACCCGTTGTCTTGCTTAGGTAATTAACTATTTTAAAAGAATACTAGAAGTATAATACAAATTGTAAAGTTAATTAGGAAACAGGAATTACCTCACAGGTCATTGCCCTATCCCCACAGTTCTCCTGATCAGTAACCTTTGTATATTACCACCATGTCCAAAATCAGCCATTTGATTATTCCCCAACCCCCCCATTCTCCACCACTACACTTCCCCATCAGAACTAGTTTGTTATTGGTTTCAAGAAGTAAGTTTTAGATATAACTTATGTGAACCATCTGACACCCTAAATGTGATGTCGATGCTTATGGTTTCTTTAAATCTATGTCCTGTTTGTCTATATGTTCACATACATCTTGTCATGCTGGTAGACACATGTATAGCACAGGCCTTTGGCTGTGAAGTTTGGGTTTGATTCAGTTGGCTTGTCTTTTGAAGCACACGTTAACATCTTATTAGACTGTCGTGTCTTCTAAGACTGTCTTGTCTTCTTAAAGACATTTACCTTAGTGTATGTCAGTTTCTGATCTAACTTGATCACTTTTACAATATATTGAAGTTTATAAGGAAAAAATTGTGTTTGACCTCACGTATTTTAATATTTTGGTGCAGGTTTTTCTCTCCAGTACATGAAAGGCTTGTACGTGAGGTTAAAGGATGAGGTGTTCAAGGGCAGCCGACCGTACGACGCTGCACCCTTTGAGGAGATGCTGAAGCGAGAGTTTGGTGAGGAAGCTGTCATGGCCGACATCAAACACCCAAAGTAGGTCATGTTTGTTGGGCTGTCAACATATGCTAGTCATGTTTGTTGGACTGTCAACATATGCTAGTCATGTTTGTTGGACTGTCAACATATGCTAGTATGTCATGTTTGTTAGACTGTCAACATATGCCAGTATGTCATTTTGTTGGACTGTCAACATATGCCAGTATATTATGTTTGTTGGACTGTCAACATATGCCAGTATGTCATTTTGTTGGACTGTCAACATATGCCAGTATATTATGTTTGTTGGACTGTCAACATGTACAAAATAAGCAGATGTTGTTTACCTTGTAAAACTTCCATTTCCCCTGACAGACTCCTGGTGTCTGCAGTACTAGCAGACAGACACCCAGCAGAATTGTTTTTCTTCCGAAACTTTGAGAAGACACTAGATCATCCCAAGTCGTCACCACCAAAGATAGCAGATGAGGAGAAGAAGCCTTCAGGTTTGGTTTCTTTTTTTATTAGTATCAGCTGATTAGTTGTCAGCATGGTAATTACAGGTGGGCTTTACAATGTTTGACTGACGATTTCAGTATTAAAATGAGAGGGTTGTATCAAATATTTGACAGACAGTTTATTAAAATGAGAGGGTTGTACCAAATATTTGACTGACAGTTTATTAAAATGAGAGGGTTGTACCAAATATTTGACTGACAGTTTATTAAAATGAGAGGGTTGTACCAAATATTTGACTGACAGTTTATTAAAAAGGAGAGGGTTGTACCAAATATTTGACTGACAGTTTATTAAAATGACAGAACAAAAGATTTGGGAAGCAGCCAGATGCAGTGGTGCAGCTCCCACCTACTTCAGGGGTTACGGCCCTTTCCTGGATGGGGGTTTGATATCCAACAACCCAACCTTGGATGTGCTCACAGAAATTCACGAGTACAACATGGGTCTCCGGATGTTGGTGAGGGTTGCTTTTTCTTTTTAAATCTGTGCAGCAATAACAATATAAACTGGTTATATTTGTCCTTATTTGAGTTGTCTTTTTACTTTCTCGTATATACGAAGTATAGAGAAAGTCTTGTAATCGTGCAAAAATTTTTTCGAGATTTTTACAAATCTCAACGTTTTACACCTCACTGATATGGAAAAACATAATTTTGCAATCTTGTCTGTATGTCTGTGTGTGTGTAAACACGATAACTTTAGTACCGTTACAGCTAGGTTGATGAAATTTCATATATAAGTATTTTATCAAAATCGTAGATCCGGATCAACTTTTGAGCGATTTCCGATAACTGAAAGTGGTACTTTTTTCACTTTGAATTTTTCAAAAGCCTATAACTTGAGTACTATTTCAGATGGATAAATGAAATTTCACATGTAAGTATAAGATCTAATTCTCTACCTTCTGTCAAATTTTTAGTAATTTCCGTTGACCGGAAGTAGTAATTTACGCTATTTCCAATTTCTCAAAAAAACGCTTGTAAATTTATAAAGTACTAATAATATTGTGCACTATTATGCACATTTTGTTTAGGAGTTCTCTTGGTGCGCAATTCTTTTTTCTATGAGATTCTATTCTATTTTAAAAAGTTTAAGTATTTAAAATGGATTAAAAATCATAACTATATCCCGAGTTCCCATCCCCCTGTTGTTTTATATAAGAATATTCAAGAAAGTTTAGGGGAAATCACTCCCGGTTTATTATAAAATTGTATCTAATTTTCCAGTTATTACAACTTTCAAAGTTAAAGGTTGTTGAAATAACTGAATTAGGTGTTCTATTCAAAGTTTTTTTTAAGATGTCATTTATTAGGTGTTCTATTCAAAGTTTTTTTTAAGATGTCATTTATTAGGTGTTCTATTCAAAGTTTTTTAAGATGCCATTAATTAGGTGTTCTATTCAAATTTTTTTAAAGATGTCATTAATTAGGTGTTCTATTCAAAGTTTTTTTAAGATGTCATTAATTAGGTGTTCTATTCAAAGTTTTTTAAGGTGTCATTAATTAGGTGTTCTATTCAAAGTTTTTTAAGATGTCATTAATTAGGTGTTCTATATGTTTTGAATCTTGTGTTTGCTGCTCTAGAACCGTGGCAGTGAAACGCGTCCCATTGGCTGTGTGATCTCTGTTGGCTGTGGGAGAATACCCTGCGTGGACGTACAGAACACAGACGTGTTCAGACCTTACGGGCCACTCGAAGCGTACAAGGCCGTGATGGGAGCGACCTCTCTAGGGAGGCTCGTTGTAGACCAGGTCATTCAGACATTCTTTCCAGTAGTGTATAAACATTTGAAAATAATAGTTTTAGTCATTATTTTCTAATGTGCTTAAGTAATATTTTTAACAACAAGCTAACACTTTAAATGCCTTACTGTGGGATGTACCCAGCAAAGTTGGGGTCTGCCCCAGCCTATCTGCCTACCCAATCACCTTTTGTAACCCATCCCATATAACCCACCCACAAATCAACACAAAGTTGTAACCAATTTTAAACAAAGCAATAATTGACATTCAACTTCTGATTAAAGAAGTTGTGAAATGTTTACATTCAACATGTTTACACTTGGTGCCATTAAACCATGGATTACCTCTCTTTGTAATATGAAAACATGAACATTTTATTTACCTCTATCATCAGACAAAACAAATATTTAGTTTACCTCTACTATTGTGAGACAAAACAAATATTTAGTTTACCTCTATTATCATCAAACAAAACAAATATTTAGTTTACCTCTAATATCATCAGACAAAACAAATATTTAATTTACTTCTATAAATGTCTGCCAACTAAATATTTTGCCAACTTGCTCTGATTTCAGGCCACGGTCTCAGAAGGGAGAGTAGTGGACCGTGCAAGGGCCTGGTGCAGCATGATTAATGTCCCCTACTACAGGTTCTCTCCCCTGCTGTCTGAAGACATCAGCCTGGACTGCCATGAGACCAAAGCTCTGATCAACATGATGTGGGAAACCCACTGCTACATGGTGGCCAACCGGCACCGCCTTGGGGAACTCAGCTCTTTACTCAGGGGTGGCATGACCACATCCTTTATTAATTAGTCTCTTCATTATGGGTGCTAATGGAGCTTTGTCACTTGATAAACTAATTATGCATTTCTTAAACGTAACACCTTTATAAGCCTCAGATAATATAAATTATTAAAACATTACAATATTTTCTCAACATCATTCTGTAATATTTTATAACAGCTAACGTTGATGAATAACTTTGAAAGATAGATCTTGAAACTGTTTATTTTATGGTTTTTAAGATTGTTTCAGTGATGTAAATATTTATTTTATATCATTCCATTAGTAACATACACACACTATTTTTTTCTTATCCTGGACATTGTTATTTTTCACCAACTTTTCACATTCAAAATGTTTCCAAGGGAAGTTATCTATGATCTCAGGTTACATAACTCTGTTACATATTCCAAACTAGAAATCTTTTGGTCCACAGTATGTGTTTAAAATTGACAATTTATCTGGTTCTAATTGCAATCCAAGGTCAGTCTATCCAGTGATTGAAGCAAAATATTTCATTTACAATAACTTGCAACACATTTTTTTTTTTTAATTTGTATTTTACTGTTTAATGTATGTTGTACATTTCCAAGTAATTTTATACAACTTTGTGTACCATTAATAATTGGAAAATACCAAGTGCAATACTGTCTTTTGTTAATGTATAGGCAACTTGAGAAGAACAACTGTTTAATGCTTTTTTGTGATTGATAGGCTGCTTTATGCTTCATATCTCTTTTTAACAATTTACAAAAAAACTACATTTTGAAGTATTTTATATCTACCAAAAAATGTATACTTTCCAAATTAGGATAAACTTACATACAAATAATTTCCTGAATTATTTTGTACATTAAATAATGGGTAAAAAGCTTTAACACTGAGTTTTCTATTTTGATTTTTGTGTTTTTTTTTAAGGATGTCATTATTGAAATATTTTTTCTTTTGGCAGAGTTTGCAATTCAACAATGATTTTCTTTTATCAGCGAATAAATTTTCTTATGCACTTTATTCAGCCACATAAAAATATTGAGTTTATTCTAATAACTTTAGGCTAAACAATTAATGTTTAATCAGTAATTATTTATATTTTTTTGTTAATGAAACATCAAGGCAAATATTTATGAATGCCTTTATTTTATGGATTTTTACAACATTGATGTTTAAAATTTTCCCTTAGGGTAATAATTTTCACAATTGTGTACATGATAATAAGCAACTATAATTTTTTTTAAACTTTATGATTATTTAGCTATAATTCCAGAGACTTAAATTCAGCATAAAATTATTGTATTAATTATATTTAATATTTTTTTAAATGGAGGTTTAAATAAGAAAACTGTTGGAATTTCTTCATCTATTTTTTTCATACATTGGCAGCCAATTTTGTTTAAAAAACTGATATTAGATGTAGTCAGGTTTTGATCACCTTGATACAACAAATCTTTTGTCTGTGTCAAAACCCACTATGTTGCAATTCCTCGGCTTATGTTAGATTACCACACCTTCCATCTCAAGATGTCATTTATGGAAATATTTACAATTCATTTTATTAGTGAAATTGAAATATATGATGTCCATATTCCATACATTTGACATTACAGTACAACTGTTATTTTACAGTAAGCTTTCAAATTGATTTATTAAGACGTTTTTCTTCTTATTTAATCGTTCTAATTCACTTTCAGATTGTACAAGCTTTTAGCTGTGTGCACATGAAAGATATAAGAGTGTCACAGTATTGTATTTCCATTGGTTTAATTTTGATATTTGATTATAATGCCATATTGTGTATAACAAACATGTGCATCTTTTTTACAATGAAACCTTGTGATAAAACCAGTGACATATTTTCAGATCATTTTTCAGCCAGTATAAAGCATTGAAAGTTTTATTTGCTGATTTTTGCTGGTTTGATTTGTGTAGGTGGATGGGACAGATTCGCCATGTTGACATTTTTCTAGTTGTTATTCTTCCATGAGATTTGATAAGTGTTCTGACACAGACTGGAATTACAGGTCCAACAATTTTTTAAACAGATCTACTTTTGATATTTTAGTGGGTAGTAAAACTGTTGTACGCCAGCAGGCAAGTCTTAGTGATTGAGGTACTTTGTGTATCAGGTGTGTGATCTCAAGAACCAGACTCAAATTTTTTCATTTTCTCCTCCCTCCAGGAAGAATTTCAATTGAATTCTCATACCAGTTTTGTATTATATAACTTAAGACTCAATGTATTTTTTTTTAAATCTGTAATTTAAAAAAAAAAAACTTGGAATTTTAAAATGTGTTGCTGTAAGAATTGATGTATTTTAGAATACCTGTAGTGTTTTGAAATTTTGTATTTCGGGAACAAGTAGTACTATTTTAACATTAGCATGGGAAATAACTGTAGAGCTTTGTCTAGGTTATAGAACTTTAAAACTGTGAATTAAAATGTTTTCTTATAATTGACTCCACTGTTTTTTTTAACTTTCTTTTTTACCCTGTTACTGCCTTGATAAGTTCTTACTTAATAACAAAAGAATTCAATCCCCAAAAATTAAAAAGTGCAAAACAACATTAAATAGTTCAAATGAGTTTAAACTAAAAATATTTAAATTTGATACACATTTATTCAACAATAAAAATAACAGCATATTAAAGTTAATAACATTTTGAAACTATTATAGACTATTACAACAATACAACAACATTTAAAACACTGCTTTAGGTTCTTAGCAGATGGAAAAATGGAGCAAATCATCTTGAATTCTAAAAAATATCCTGTGTCAAAGTTTACTTTGCTGTAGAACTTGACTTTTCTGGGAGGCGTGGCTCTTCTCCTGCTCCAGTTGTGTGAGAGACAGGAGGATCCTGCGCTCCACTTGGACATTCTCCAGCCTGTGCACACATTCAAACAGCTCCTTGATCAGGGGGCGCCACTTGTTCTTGTTGTTGAAGTTGATGACTGGGTCTAAATAGTTTGTCGTGTAGGCCCAGCCCATCTTGTAGCGTGGGTCAGCAGCACAGCACTGGTCACCATAGCCTGCATGACCATACATGAACCAGCTCTGGAAGAGATTTACTTTCATTAGTACATCACATTCATCAATACATCACAAGATATGCTAACATCCATCAATACATCACAAGATGGGCTAACATCCATCAATACATCACAAGATTTGCTTACGTCCATCAATACAGGACAAAATATTCTTATATAACAGACTATTAGAACTAAAATTAAAGTGAGGCCCACATTAACCAATAACTCATTTGTTTATAAAGCTGTTAATTAAGTGTTGCACAAACAAATAAGGTAATTCTATTTTAAATGTGTCAAAATTCATAACTAATTTTTCCTCACATTCTAACAAAATATTTTCCCATTGAAACAGATCTATGAAAAGATATTACAGAATGTGTTCTACAAATACCTGATCCCCTTCAACGACTGGTATCAGCCATGTCCCACGACCATGGATATTTTCACTACCAGTAGTTCTATCCACCCCATCTGCCAGCGGTTCCTGCAGCCTGGCTATAGAATCAGGGGAGAGAAGTGTTTTCCCATCATGTTGCCCACCATTGGCAAGTATCCCAGCCAACTTGGCTACAGCTTCAGCTGTGCCTCCACCATGACTCGATGAATTAGGAAGTTGCAAAAAGTCTGGGTCGTTCAACTTTCGACTCTAATTGTAAAACATTTAACAGATATGTTTTATCTTATTGTTAGTTTTAAAAAAAATTATGGCTACATCAAGAAATTCAGTGTGTATTTGAAATTAAATTTATTTAAGTAATACAACACATAAATATATTTCTCAGTAAGAGCTTGTTAAATAAGTTAAGAACTGAAAGCAGAATTTAAAGTTATATATCTTAACACATGTCATTCATGCTGTGAAGTATGTCATGCTGTGAAGTATGTTTTGCAGTAAAGTTTTGAATAAAAACATTATCTTACAGAATTCCAATCTGTTGGCTGACTAAATGCCAAGGCATAAATAGTTGGGTCCAGTTTGAAGGCCTCCATCATTTTTGCTAAATCCTCTCGTGTCAATACAACAGGCTCAAGTCTGGCAGCCCTATACTGAAGATGCGCTGGGACCCCAATGTGAAAATCAAGGCCTAGAAGCAAATACATTTATTGGTATACAATACACTGATACATGGGATCAACTTAATAAAAATAATACATATTTACATGCATATAGCATAATTATATTCTAAATCTATTTTTGTTCCACAACTTCCTCAATCCACAAGGAGCCACCACGTAAACAAATCAAGCATATCTCACTAAACAGTTCTCACACCTGCCACTTAATGAGCTTTGAGCTGTTCTGTCACTATGCATTAGCACATTTGTGATATTGATACAATGTACTTACTCAATCCTAATAGTGACTCAAGCAGCCATTGCTTGGCAGCCATTCATTACAGCAAATAAAATAATACATCAGACATCTACATTTGTATGGTTTTATAGATAGAGAAAGTGCAGTTTTTAAAAAATCTTAATCCTGTATAATCTTCTCTTAATACTTACCAAAAGGCTGGCCAATTTCTTCCCAATAATATTGAGACAGTGTCCGACCTTTTTTGTCAACTCTCTTGACAATTTCATTGAGGTAGAGGCCAAATACAACAGGGCTGTAGCCATGGCCATCTCCTAAACACAATGATATTTTTGTCATCAAAACAAGATTCGGCATTTTAGTATAAACAGGGATGTGTAGGCTGCAAATTTTCACTTAAAACTTAAAAATTCTGGTTTAAATAATATACCACATGTTTATATTGGGAATTAGCTGACAAACTCTTCCATACCTGGATTCCACAAAGGCTTCTGATCTACTAAAGCATCATACAGTTTTTTTGGGTCATCTTTCATCCAAGATAACTCAAAGTTGTTACTTAAAGCTGGAAGTCCAGCCTAAAGAAAAAAAATTTTTTTTAAAAAAAGCTGGTTGATATTTATAGTTATTTGTCCTATTTCAGACAAACAACTAATATTGTTTATCATCAGTTAACCTATTATCCAAAGTAATGCACCTTTAAATACTGCAATATTTAATTATAAGTGAGTGCGCGCTGAAGAAATTTTGATTAAGTAGAAACATATCTAGATTTATTTATTATTAAAAGAAAATTGTTATTTTTTTACCTTGTGAGACAATAGCATTTCCAGAGTGATCTCTTCTTTTCCATTTTTTGCAAAATCTGGCCAATACTTAGCTATTTTTTCATCATATCTCAACAGTCCCCTAAATGTTCAATTGTTTTCTTAGAAGTTTAATTAAAAGACAAAATCTGATTAGTTCTTATAGCTTAGAACCCTCATAAGATGTGTAGGCTTACAGTCTTTTAACAACCCATAGGTGATATAGACTAAATGATCATCTTTCTATAACTTAGTAGCCTAGTTATGCTTTAATCTCATTTCTCTTCAGCAGGACCTTTTTATCTACCCAGCCCTAAAGAGCACCCAGAAACAGCTGTCAGACAGTCAACAGAATTAAAGCAGGGTTAATGCTGTTCACTGTAATTTATTACTGCACCAATATTCTTTCATGCACCATGCTTTAATTGATTGTGATCTATTTTTAACTAAAAAAGAAGTTTGAAGAACAAAGTCCTTATTTTGCCTGTCCATTATTTTCAGTGCATTTTTATCTTTAATAAGGCTATTTTATTTGGCCGATTCTAGTCGGAATAAGATACGCATGCGATACGCATGCGCAATGGAGAGAAACTGCGACTTAGCGGCGATGTTTTCGATGGTACTGCGCATGCGTGTGTTTACAACCGCAGAACCCTAACACCAACCCTAATCCTATCCTTAACCCTATCCTTAATCCTAACCCTAACCCTGACCCTAATCCTATTTAGCTACTAGCCCTAACCCTAGCCATAGGTCACTGCGCATGCACAGAACTATCTTTTGCCGAAAATCTTATTCCGAGTAGACACTCCGATTTTATTTTTAGAATTGGAAAACTAATAAAGATATAGGCTACATTATTTATTATTCTTTAATAAGATAAGATGATAAATTTTATAACAGTTTTTTTTTTAATTAATATTGGCTCAGATAACCAAGATGTGCTATAAATTATAATAATAAATGGTATATAAACCTTCAACATTACTTGTAAATTGAAAAAAACATACTATTTTTAAAACTAGGAACTAACAGTACCAGCGGCGTAGCAACGGGGGGGGGGGGGGGATATGGGGGGGATGGCAGGGGGGTGCGGAAGTTACCGGGTGACACCATTTAGGGGATGACACCAAGGCAAAAATAGCAAAATATATGCAAAAAAATGATAATTCTACTTAATTAAATGATTAATTAGGGTGGGTTAAATAGTCTTTTAAGAGCAAAGTTGACATATCCTGACAAGGGTGGGGGGAAGGGGGATGACAGCATGACGTAAACCTGCTAATGATAGAAAAAAGAGGCTACATCCAGCTGTATTTATAACTGACTATAGATAAAAGTCGTTAGTATTATCTGAGCACAGTTTAGAGCAATCACAGTGGTGAGGGGGTGGAGGGGGGTGAGGGGGAGGTTACATCAACTCAACATTGCAAAATATGCCTGAGGAAAATGGTTTGGTTGAGAATCGTAACAACTTATGTGTTAATCCATGTATCGGGTGGAGAGTGGGGGTTAAAAAATCAAATAAACCCAGAAAAAAATATATATCTGAATACATATACACATGCGTATACACATGCTTACAAGTGTATATGAAATATATATATATATATTTTTTTAATTTCTTATGGGGGGGGGGAGGAGGTGAGACACCAATAGGGTGACACCCGACCTCGCTACTGAACGGTACTAACCTCTCAACAATATGTGCAATAGTCACAGCAGCAAAAAATTTTGTCGTTGAATAAAAGAAGCCAAAGGTGTGATCTTTCCATGGTCTCTTCACTTGCTGATCTGCTAGGCCTCCCCAAATGTTTACAATCAACTTCCCTTTGTAATAAGCTGCAAAACTGCTACCTTTTTCAATACCTTTAGTAAAATTGTCTCTTTAGAATAAAAAATGTTCATAAATATTAAACTAACAATTGGTATAATTGTTAACTAAAGAAATGTATTAAAAGAATCCAAGAGCCAAACTGGATTTAAATTGCATTTAACGATTTAAAGAATGTTTAATTATTAAGTAATTTATAGTAAGTCAATATTCCATTTAAGTTTTAAATCAGTTTGTATCAAATATATTCTTTCCATTTAGATAATACTTAATTAAGTTGAGACCTAACACAGCTTAACATTACATATTTACTTTAAAACCTGATCAGTAGCCTGTTATATATTAAAATTCCCCATAGCAATTTGTGTATGGCATATTGGGCTCAGAATTTGATACCATTATAATTATTTGCAGACATCAGCTCAATTGACCAATTATGTTATTGCAACTAACTAGTTAATGTAGTTATCTTCAATTGTTACTTTAAGCAGATCTCATCTTATTCAGTGTTTAAATGTGTTGTTGTTTCCTTTTATGGTTCTAAAATCTATAGCGATGACTGACGGAATGACTGACAAAAGTGATTTGAACATCTTTTTAAATAACCTCCCCTGGCAATATTATAAACATTTTAAATTAATTAGTTTGTTTTGATCCTCTTTCGCATATGTTAACTAACGAACGTAAAGAAATTATTAAATACACTCACATTGTTAAAACGGATGATATTATTAAAGAATCGACCCTTTGAATCCTGGACAGATCATCCCCCTGGCGTGGCCTGATTCAACTTAGTAAACAACAATAATACACCAAGTGTTTGTGTTTTCGTTTGTGTTTGCGCTGTGTTTGTGTTTTCATTTGTGTTTGCGCTGTGTTTGTGTTTGCATTTATTATGTTTTCTTTTTTAGTGTTTAGTTTTGTTCTGTTCCCAAGTAGGTACATTTAAGAAAGATTCACCGTGGCAAATGCATGGGTATGCATTTAGTCTTCTTTTGTTGCTTTAAGCAGATCTCATCTAATATTTGTGTTTAAATTGCAAATAAATTTTTAAAACTTAAAAGTAATTAAATCTAGATCCCATAGCGGGGCATATATTAAAAATTAGATATTTGTGTTTTGTCATATGAGTTGCAATTCCTGCAAAGTTGAAAATATTATTCCCCTCCTCCTCCTCTCACATTACTGTGACATTACCACAAAAAGTAAAAATAGATCTAATTTTTCTGAACTGTGTAAACAAACTTGATGTTAAAGTTGTTAAACATATCTAAAATTATCTATCTAAATTCTAATTTAAAAGTCACATCTCCCCTCTACTAAAAAATAAAAATAAACCACACTACAGCATCTTCCCACCCCTTACAACTTGCAATGTTTCTTATTCCAAATAGTTTTTTCTTTCTAGATCTATATCTATCATCTAGATCTTCAATAAACTACAATTAATTTAATAATTAACAATGTCAATAAATAATAAATAATAATTAATTATCTGTCTAGGCTAGCGGCTAGGCCGCTAGGGGGTGATGATGAGTCGTACCTGTACACCCGAAGAACTCTTTCAAAACCAGGAGCAGTATACCCTGTTGGTAAAGGATATTTAACTGGCATTTCGTTTATAGTTTTAAAATTAGCCTAGATCTAGATGAGTTTGTTGAAATGCTAACTTTATAAATATTGATTCGTCTCATCGCTCAGATATACAGTAAAATTAGCAGTCATGAACATTTTTCTCATCATAGAATCCAGTACTATTGTGCCCTTTGACCCTTCCGTGAATGTTTACAAATGACAACACATTTTTACACTTTCTTATACAGAAGAGTCCGTAAACTCGTGAAGTATTCCTGTCCAGATGTAACAAAATGCATTAAGTCTAAGACTATGTGACAACACACTTGTGCATTCTAAAACCATTTTACATTTTAAAAATGTAATGTCAGAAATTGAATTTAAATATAATTTAGGGTAATCCCTTAGTTTAGCGTCGGAAATGGAGGCGAGCGAGTTGACGAGATTCCTTCTATAATGTTGTTGACATGGAGTAAAAACGTGCTTTTTAGATTTAGACCGTAAAAAAAATAAAAAATAAAAACTTAAGCCTAAAATTAATTTAGAAATTTTATATTTTTAGAATAAATGCTATAAAAGTTGCAAATCCAGAGAACTTGAAAATAATTTGTTGAGTTTAAGGCTACATTTCTATTTATTTTTATCAAGCCTAAGTTATAACCGGATGTTTCACTTTCGTAAGACAAATATTGATTGGCTGTACAGTAACTTAGTGATCGATAACTATTTGTTTACAAAACTTTGCAGATTAAGTTTTTAAATTACAATGCAAATTTAAAACCCCATGACCTAGTTTTCTATTTTTAGCTTACAATGTGTACAATAAAATCAATGGCGGCCTATCCAATAGCAGGATGCCATTGTTTATGTCGCCATTACACGTGAAAACCAAATTGTTTTTGCTTTTTTTTTAAATTTTATTTAGTTACCGAAAATATTAAAAACATCAAATACGTCCAATCTTTAGTAAAGTCCAAAAATAACCAGAAAGACAGGATTTTATAACCATATTAATTGTAACTACGCCGTGCAAGATTTTTAAATTAATTTATACACCTCTCAAATACCTTTGAGACTTTTCTCGCTCGTGTCCATTATCGGGTAATGTTTGTTGAGTTTCGGTAACTAAAGTTACGGTAAACCATTCCATTGACCATTGAAATATAAATATTTTAAATTAATAATTTAAATATTAAATAAATTGAAAGTCGATTGTAGTAAATTAATGTTTTAATTTTTTAAGTTTAATCGACTAAAGGAAACAAGAATAAATATAATAGTAGATTTAAATTAGTAGATCTAAAAATTAAAAAAAAACATATAAATATAAATAATGAAGTCAAATGTAATAATTTAATGTTTTTGGCTTGCAGCGGATTTGCGACCATTAATTAATTAGATCTAGATCTAGCTAGATATCTAGCTGCTAGACCAAGTAAAAAAATCTAGATTACGAAAATAGTAAAAATGATTACAAAATGTAAAAATGATTCATCATCCACATCACATCCACACCTGTCGTCCCTACTGGGACATAGGCCGCTGACAAGAGCTTTCCAGACGTCTCTGTCCAGGGCTAGTCTCTCCAACTGTCCCCAGGTGTATCCAATCTTCTTGGTGTCTTCTTCCAGGTCACGTCTCCAGGTCTTTCTTGGTCTGCCTCTCTTCCTCCTGCCTTGTGGATTCCAGGTGAGGGCCTGTCTTGTTATGCTGGATACAGGCTTCCTGAGTGTGTGGCCAATCCATTTCCATTTTCTCTGGAGGATCTCTACTTCCACTGGCAGTTGATTTGTCCGTTGCCATAGAACATCATTTCTGATGGTTTTAGGCCAGCGAATTCGCAGGATCTTTCTGAGACATGCGTTTATAAATGATTGTATTTTCTTCTTATTTATAGCAGTTATTCTCCATGTCTCGGCTCCATAGAGTAAAACAGGTTTTACTAGTGTGTTGAAGATCCGGATTTTTATTCTAAGGGTTAAATCTCCCGAACCCCAAACATTTTTTAGTTGGTTGAAGACTGCTCTTGCCTTACCCGTCCTTATTTTTATGTCTGCTTCTGTCCCACCCTGCTTATCAACAATACTTCCAAGGTAGGTGAATCTATCCACTTCTTCTAGGGCTTCTTCTGCCAGTGTTATAGGGTTGTTGTTTGATGCATTGACTTTGAGAACTTTACTTTTCCCTCTGTGGATGTTCAGACCCAGGCTTGTAGAAACATTTGCAACCCTGTTGGTTTTATCCTGCATTTGCTGTTGTGTGTGAGAAAGGAGGGCCAGGTCGTCAGCAAAGTCCAGGTCATCCAGCTGGCTCCACAATGTCCACTGTATACCGTTTCGCGTTTTCTCTGTTGACATCTTCATAACCCAGTCTATGGCCAGTAGGAACAGGAATGGTGAAAGTAGGCAACCCTGCCTTACTCCGGTCCGTACTGGGAAGGCCTCTGTAGTCTGTTGGCCATGCACTACTCTACATTTGAGACCTTCATATGAAGACATAATAATGTTGACTATTTTCTGTGGCACCCCGTAGTGTCTCAACAATTTCCACATTGACTGCCTATCCAGGCTATCAAAGGCCTTCTCATAGTCTATGAAATTAATATAGAGAGATGAGTTCCACTCTTGGGTCTGTTCAATGATGATGCGCAGGGTAGCAATTTGGTCTATGCATGACCTTTCCTTCCTAAAGCCCGCCTGTTGATCTCGAAGCTGGGGATCTATGGCTTCCTTCATTCTGTTTAATAATATTCTGTTGAAGACTTTGCCTGGGATGGACAAAAGTGTTATCCCTCTATAGTTAGAGCATGCACTAAGATCGCCTTTCTTTGGAAGCTTTATGAGTAGTCCCTCCTTCCACTCCTCTGGTATTTGTTCATCTTCCCAGATTTTCTTGAAGAGTGTGTATAGTAGTGTGGTGCTAGTTTCTATATCTGCTGTCAGTGCTTCTGCCGGTATACCATCTATTCCTGGAGCCTTCCAATTTTTCAGCTGCTTTATAGCTCTATGTATCTCTTCTTTTGAAGGTGGGTTGCAGTCTATAGGGAGGTCACTTTCAGCTGGTGGTATGTCTTGCGTGCACTCTGGTGTTGGTCTATTCAGTAGTTCTTCAAAATGTTCTACCCATCTCTTCATCTGTCCTTCCGCATCAGGTATTGTCTTTCCATCTTTGGTTTTCACTGGCCTCTCTGGCTTACTGTACTTACCAGATATCTTCTTAATTGTATTGTACACGTCCCTAATATTACCATGGTACAGTGCTTCTTCCGCTTCTCTTGCCAGCAGTTCCAAATAGCTCCGTTTGTCTTTCCTTATGTGTTTCTTTACATTTTTGTTCGTTTCGGTGTATTCTTCCAGTGCTTTTAATTTCGTAGCCCGTGTGCGGCTGTTGTTTAATGTTGCCTTCTTTCTTTTTCTCTCTTCAATAATTTTCATGGTATCTGCTGATATCCATTCCTTCGCTTGTCCTTTGATAGGGCCTAGCACTTCTTCGCATGTTGATGTTAATATACTTTTAGTTTTTTCCCATGTTTCCTCTATCGTCTCTTCTTCTATTAGTTCTTGTAGTACCTGGAACCTATTGGACATATGAAGTTTAAATTCGTTGAGTTTAGATGGGTCCTTTAGCAGGCCTGTGTTGTACCTGTATTTCCTTTTGTTTTCCAACATGTTTTTCTTCAGCTTGAGTTTTACTTTAGCTACCAGTAGGTGATGGTCTGAAGCAACATCAGCTCCTCTCTTGACGCGTACATCCTGAAGTGATCTCCTGAACTTTTTTATGATACATATATGGTCTATCTGGTTTTCTGTAGATAGGTCGGGTGATACCCAAGTAGCTTTATGTATCCTTTTGTGATGAAAGAGACTACCTCCAATGACTAAATTATTTGTGGCACACAAGTCAGCAAATCTTTCTCCGTTTTCGTTCATCTCACCTAAACCCTGCTGTCCCATACATTCTTCATATCCTCTGTTGTCGCTTCCAATCTTAGCATTGAAGTCGCCCATGAGTATAAGGATGTTTCTTCTTGGGCGGTTCTGGATAATGGTCATTAGCCTGTTGTAGAATTCGTCTTTGTCCTCCTCTTTGCTGTCATTTGTTGGGGCGTAGGCCTGTATTATGTCCATGTTTATTCGTCTTATTTTAGTTTTAAAGGTAGCTGTTATGATCCGCGGGCAGTGTGCCTCCCATCCGATGAGAGCCCTTTGTGCTTGATTTGATAGCATGAGTGCAACTCCTTGAGTATGTGGTGCATTTTCATCCTCATGACCTGAGTACAGCAGTAGCTCTCCTGATATCAGCCTTTTTTGTCCTGAGCCAGTCCACCTTGATTCGCTGACACCCAGGATAGCTATTTTATAGCGTCTCATTTCTGCTGCTACTTGGGTTGCTTTTCCAGCTTCGTACATCGTGCGGACATTCCAAGCTCCAATATTGATGGTGGTCCTAGTGGAAATAATGGTGGTCGACCTGGTAGTTTCCAATACATATTGGCTTTCACCACCCGGCTTCATAAATTCTCCATCGGGAGATCCATTTTTCCCCTGGTCCGAGCTGTCTTTGTTTCTCTCTGTCTGCGTTTCTGTAGCGGGTAATTTTTTTTACGAGATAAGGTTGCTGACCTTATGCTCAACCCCCAACCTGGAGGACCAGGGTGCTAGCTTTCGTCTGACCCCTACCCGCGCAGACCTTCCCAGCTTGGTTGAACCTGCCAGGAGTTAACACTCCCGCTGGTATAGCTCTGGGGGTCGTCAGGGTACGCAAGCTGCCAAGCCACGACAAGGCCCTAGCACCAGATGACAGGTAAAAATGATTACAAAAATAAATCTATCCAAAATTTAAACATTCTGTATAAAAATAAAAGATGACGCCAAATAAAGTATGGTTTACAGTACTTCCGGTGAATTCTGGAAGTGTGTGACAGACTTTGGCATTGTTTTACTGTTTTTTACTGCTATACGATTCCGGAATAATAACCAACGCTAAACTAAGGGATTACCTTAAACTTTTGTAAATTGAAATTCAATAAAATTGAATAAAAGTTCTAAATAAAAAATTGACTCATCACAATCACATCATCTATCTTTTCATCATTGACATCATTCATTTAACATACATTATTCCGGCGGTGTGAACACCCTCTTTGCCTTGGCCCTTGGGAGTTATCATCATATTGTATTGTACTATTAGGCCTAATCGTTTTTGCGTGATTCTTCTAGTCCAAGTTGTGTCCACAACATTCTGGCTGCTTTTGCTTCACTGATTTTGTCCAAGTTTGTTTTGGCCTACCTACTTTGAAAACTTTCCTCTTTCCTTGTTATTTCCAATACAGTGTCTGTCTGGTGATGTTGCTAAGTTTAGTGTGTCCAATCCATCCCCATTATTTGCGTTTTTATGCTGCAATAAATATTATTATTATAGATCTCTCTCAGCTATATACACTATTATACACAATGACAATGTTGAGCTGAGCAAATACATTTTAATAAACAATCATGAAAAGATTCAATAGTAAATAGATCCTGTGAGACTGTTAGTATTTTAGAAATCGCTGTTATAGGCCTAAAGTTAAAGTATATACCTCTCTGGAGAATACTAGGAAAAAACAAGTGGGGGGGGGGGGTGAAACAAAATATTAATTAACCATAGTAAATTATTGCAAATTTTTGGAATTATAACTGAATCCAATACATATTTAGTGATATTTATTATTGGGTGACCTCATTTTAAAGCATCCCCATTTATTTCACTCGTCACATAGACTTGCAAAAAAGAATTAAGTATGAACATTGAGAATAGATCAAAATCTTAGTTAAGTAGCAGAACTAAAAGACCTTGTCATCTAGAGAGCAGTAAACAAAATGTAGGACTACATATCATAATTCATTTAACATAGTCCTAGTTTTTTTTTTCAGGTTGGTTATATTGTAAAAATGAATAGGACACTTAGTGTAACATTTTTACCATGTTTTTAGAAATTATTCATGAACTGGTTGTTATGTAGAAAAAATGAGGTGGCCCATAAATTATGTTCTAGGCATGACACCAGCCACAAGTATTGCCCATCCCTGGGTCTTATGCAAGACAGAATATGCCTAAAGTCACATTTCTCCCTCCTCTCTTGTTATTCTTCAAAAAATAAACATTAATAATTTAAAATAGGACCTATAAATAATTTGTTAATATTTTAGTAAGCTTCAGCAAAATAGTTAGTTGATTGCAATGTTTTTGTTTTGACAGAAAATAAAGTATAATTATAATGAAACAAGTTTGATGCTGATGTAGGAGCCACTGCAAAACTATCTTAAAATCAAACACTGATCCACTACACTGAGTTGAATGACTGACAAGAATGGTGCAACTGCTACAGGAAAGAATTCTCAACATGAAATTCACAGCATTTACAATGTAAGAAAGTCTATTAGGTCTATTTCTTGAATGTTATTAAATGATGTTATAGTTGAAAGCACTCATTTAAAGTAAAGTTTCCCTTTCAAACCTGACGGTCTAGGGGGCAAGTAAAGTAGAGTTCACTTGTTTCTGTGACCTCGGCATATGAAGAGATAGTGTGGTCAGCACTATGCCCAGCTGCCTTTAATTTCCCTAACGTGAGTTAGGTACCCATCAGAGTTGGGTGGACTCAGGGACGGTTTACTGACTTGAACCCGGATTCGAACTCGAGACTAACGGGTTAGCAGTCCAGCTCTCTACCGCTAGACCACTCCGTCCCTGAAGCACTCATTTAATGACAGATTAATTTTTGTTTTGTTCCTGGCATATGCAAGGATTGTGTGCTCAGCATGTCCAGTCGCATTTTTACTTCAATTAAAATTAGGTAACCCTAAAATGCAGACCAAAAACTGCTTCTGACAGACACAAGTCATGCTGGATGACTTTCCTCCACCAAACTGTTAGCTGCCATGTCATGTAAGGACAGCCCCTACTAAAAGATACACACTTTTTACATTCACCTTTGACTCCTTAGTCTTAAAAGTTGATTGGATGATTATACCTTGGTGGAAAATCCATTGTGCAAAGCCTGGGCAACAAGTTGTGAAGAATCAGATTTTAAATTGTTGTTAAATATTTATATAGTTAAAATTGTGATCTACACATTTTTAACTTATGTTTGCTATTTAAGAAAAAGAAGAAATGAATTTATTTTTGTCAGTAACTCTGTACTTAACCAGAAATGTCCTCACTATTTAAAAAATGAAACAATTATATTGTAATGAATTTATTGCATTCCTCAACAGTCACCAGTTTTTAAATCTTTCATGGCTGGAGCAATCAGTGGGACTTGCTCTGCCATATTGTTTCAACCTCTAGACCTAGTTAAAACTAGGTTACAAAAGTCTGATAATGTTGGGTAAGGGAGATTTGTAACTTAATAAAATCATTATGCCTTTCTGTAACATTGCTGTAATTTGAACAAATCTTATGTTTTTATAGTAAAACCTTTTGCAAAAAAATCTTTCAAAAGAAAACACTAGCTAGTATCAATGCCTGTATGAATGCTATGATATAGTTCTAAATTCTGTTCTTTTTCTATATCCAGATTGGGCATGTTTGCAGCCATTCGAAATGTTGTTCGTCAAGAAAAGATCACTGGCCTATGGAATGGTCTTATACCTGTAAAAAGTTTTACAAGTTATCTTGATAATATTGTAATTTAACATTCTGAAAACTAGTTATGCAGATGGTGTGAAAAATTAAAAAATTGTTTCTCCACATGGATTTCATATATTTTGATTCTATTTTTGTATGTGCAGTCACTTGTGCGATGTGTTCCGGGTATTGGCTTTCATTTTGCCAGTCTTCATTGGCTGAAGTCCACATTTGGGTTAAGTGTTCAGAATTTTTTATACATTAACTATTAAAAATAAATCATCTAGAATACCAAATTGAATAAAAATCCTAGACAAGAATTATTTTTTAAACTGATCAACGATTTGATTCAACTTAAATAAATGTTGAATTTTATGCTGTAATTGTTGTAGTGTTTGATGAATAACTTGCATGAATGACAATGTTATATTACAATTGTATAAGTAATTTACATAAATGATTACGTTCTGTTACAATTGTTGTAACATCTAATGAATAATTTTCATTAATAACTGTTTTGTTTTAACAGTTGTAGTGTCTAATAAATAATTTTTTCCAACAGAAGTGAGAACCCTCACCCATTTGAATCTGCACTGATAGGAGCATCAGCCAGAACTATTGCAGGCATCCTGGTGCTACCTGTTACAGTCATGAAGACCAGATATGAGGTAACAGCACAGATTCTTGTTACATCAAATCATCTAATATATGTGACCAAACCACCATCTAATCAATCTGTGACATATCAATGTATTCAATGTCTGACCTAGGCACCATGTATTCAATGTGTGACCTAGGCACCATGTAATTAATGTGTGACCTAGGCACCATGTATTCAATGTGTGACCTAGGCACCATGTATTCAATGTGTGACCTAGGCACCATGTATTCAATGTGTGACCTAGGCACCATGTATTCAATGTGTGACCTAGGCACCATGTATTCAATGTGTGACCTAGGCACCATGTATTCAATCTGTGATCTAGTCTAGATATGAGGTAACTGCTCAGATTTTTGTTACATCAAATCATTTAATCAATATGTGACATATCCACCATCTAATCAATCTGTGACCTAGCCACCATCTAATCAATGTGACATGGTCACTTCATCATCAATACAGTGCCAAAATCCTTTATATTATAATGCCTTTTTGTGGCTTTAAAAGTAGTCTGTATGTTTACAAATTATTTGATGCCACAATGTACACATTAATGAATCAAACATTTATTCATTTAAATCCATTTTTGTATCAACCAGAGTGGTGACTTCCATTACAGTGGACTACTACAAGCATTGAGATTGACATACAGAAAAGAAGGATTTAGAGGTATATGAAAATAAACACAACTGTTCATGTATTTTTACTCTAGTTAGTATTGACTCTTCTTAAACAAAAGATTTTTATTTTAGGTCTGTACAGTGGCCTTGGTCCAACAATGTTACGTGATGTCCCCTTCTCAGGCATCTACTACATGTTTTATTCACAGCTTAGAACTTTGACCAGAGGTAAAACATTCATTGGGCTTTAATTTACATACACTTTCACATTTTGTGCTAATGATTATTTTAGTTTCTTTGCACCAGTTAAATATATAGGGGAAAATATTTCTTATATTTTGATTGGAAGTCAGATTTTTAGCAAAATTAAATTAATGTTGATGATGCATTTTTGCATCTAAACATAGACTTCTCTTATATAATGTCAAGATCTATGTTAGTCTTAAGGAAGTAATTTGAAACGATAAAAAAGGCTCAGTATATTGAATGTTTTTACAAAAACCCAGGAAAGGTACAAATTGTGTTTTTATTATTCAACATTTATCCATTTTTTTTTAAATGTTCCTTTTATTTGTTTGTTGATCAGATAAGCAAACATTTACAGCCCCATACATCCACTTTACCAATGGAATATTAGCAAGCTGCTTGGCTTCATTAGTAACACAACCAGCTGATGTGATCAAGACTTACATGCAGCTTAATCCACAGAAATATGCCAAGTTCTCCACAGTGATCATCTATATATATACAGTAAGTGTAAACTCACAGTTGACATTACCTCCATGAGAGTAGCAATTTATCTTAAGGGCATGGGCGGGTGTACTTTTCGTCATAAATCCACTAAATCATCGATTTCCCACTTTTACTTGATCTATACAGAATAACCATCGTTGAATCTAAAAATGACATTGTTATGACCCTAAAAACAGTATTTATTTATGAAAAACCGGGTTCAATGTAGTGTGTACAGGGACTTTTGTTTAATTTTTTGGTAAAAATAGCCATTTTTCGACCTAGAAAAGTACTATTAGGCTTCGCGGAAACCTAATGTGTTTCATATCAATGGAAAGGCCGTGACCTCCTTTCTTTATTTGTTCTAAAATTAAATGACCAATCAAAATACCTATTTTAATGTGATTATTTTTCTACGTCATAAAGTTGTTTATTTTACTCAGTCGGGTTTTTCCGGTATGCAAATTTTTGACCTCAATTTTTTCATTGGCATACAATTGCGGAAGCTATTTAGCGATTGGTCGTTTCGCTTCGGAAGTAAACATTCCCTTAGTTTCAGCGCGTTGCTAAGTTTGATCTAGTTTTGTTTCTCTAAGCTTCTGTGAAATACTTACATTATTTTAACATATACTTATTTCAATTAAATATACTATTAACAGTTTAGATTAGTTTGTGTGAATTATCATAAGCAGTGAGACGATTTAATTTGTTTCTCTTTCGATAATGGGTAGAACAACACTCGCTAAAAATAGATACACACATCTAACTAATTTACTAAAGCTAGAGCATGTCCGAATGCAACTGATTGCAGCTACCTCTACTCAATCTAGCACTATTCAGACAAGCACTGGTGCAGATGTAATATGCACATTTACTAAGAAACTGCGGCAATGTAAGACACAGTTTTTACAGACAGAAGAAAGCACTGTTAAATCTAGTACTGGTAGTGCTAAGTGTAAACCACAGCCATGCAGAATTATTGTCGACTGTGATTTGCTTCTTGATGTTATCAATACATTTCCTCGCCCACTGTGATGTAGTGGCTACTATTGATGAAAAAAGTGTAAAGGGTTTGCTTCAAGCATAGTGTGGCAGTAATAAAAATGTCGTAAACCGTAAGTATACAACTGCAAAAGAATCCAGAACAAGGCCTTTCACAATAAACAAAGACATCGTCTTATCATAATTGGCTTTAGACATGAGACCATGCAAAATATACTGCTGTTTCTGCGATAGCATAATTCAATTTTGGGCCCAGGCATGCTATGGCATTGCTGTCAAAAGAAGGAAACTATAATCGAAGACCCAGTGAAGGACGCCAAAAAAGACGCCATGACAACAGCTTTACTACAGCTCTAGGTAAAACAAAGAGCGCCAGAAAAAAAGAAAACTAACAGCTGAACAAGCTCAGAAGGAATATATTCAGCAGCACCATACTTCAGGCTATAAATGTGGTCGATTTTAGTGACATACAGCGATAAATTTTCATTTTTTGCAACTTTTTGTTAGTTTTTTGCGTTTTTCTCAGTTTGATGTTTTTTTGTACAATTGTTGAAATAACTTTGTTAATAATTATCAGAACTGAACTAAATTTGCTCCAGTTACTCTTTATATATGTTCAAATAAAACTGATAAAACACTTTTGGAATTTTTGTAAAAAAAAAAAATTTGTTGTTGAAATAGTGAAAAAATTGGACGAAATAATGAAATTTTTACAGTGATGTTTGAAAAAAAAAAGTAAAAAAAAAACTATTTTCTTTTTTGAAAATGTAATCTATCAGAAGTCTTAAGCACATGTGTCTGCAGACTATATTAAGTTTTCATGGAATTTGTACAAACCATTTTTGAGTTATTTCCATTTAAAAATCATCAATAAAATCCAATATGGCCGCCGTCACCATGGCAACGGAAGATTTAAAAAATTAAAAAAAATATTTTTATGCTTAACTCTTTGAGTTATAACTATTAGCTAATTATTACATCTTTAGACTCGGAAATAAGGAAGTTGGTACTCATCACCCACCCATGCCCTTAAATAAAGCGGTAGTAATCTCCCCTAAACTTTCTTGAATATGTGTTTTATGAGAAATCTGAAATAGCGTAATTTACTACTTCCGGTAAATGGAAATAAGTCAAATTTTTATCGAGGGCAGTGAATTAGATCTTTTACTTATAAGTGAAATTTCATTTATCTGAAACAGTACCCAAGTTATAGGCTTCTAAAAAACCAAAAGTAGAATAAGTTGCACTTCTGGTTATCAGAAATCACTGAAAAGTTGATACAGAACTACAAATTTGATAAAATACTTATATAGGAAATTTTATCAACCTGGCTGTAACTGTATGTAACGAAACTCAAGTTATTGTGTTCACAGACATATTGACTAAATTGCTAAACTATGTTTTTCCGACTCAGAGAGGTGTGAAACAATTTTTTTGCACGATTACAATACTTCCTCTATACTTTGTATACAATAAAGTAAAAATGTATATTTTTAAGGAACATTTAAACTTCATACCTTGCCTTTAAGTTTTACTTATGTGTTAACAATGTCTATACATTTAATGCTTTATCTATACCAACTACTAAGGTGATAAAAAAATTTTCAGCATCTTATAGTTGCTTATTGAAATTGTAGTAAAGTTTTAAGAACACATTGAAATTGTACAGTACTATTTCAGGAGCTGGGGCTGGTTGGTTTCTGGAGAGGTATTGTCCCTCGTACTGTAAGACGTACTTTGATGTCTGCTATGTCTTGGACCGTATATGAAGAGGTTTGTGTTTATCTTTCTCTGGTGTACAAATAATTTTATACCTGCAAATTCTGAGAATATTTACATTTTTGTTTATTATCTTTCAGATAATGAGGGCATGCAATATTAAAACCTAGATCAAAATATGAGATTAAGATCTGACATTGGAAGAGAATAAATTGACTATCTAAGTGGTCTCCAAGGCTGTTGGTTTGTTTTAGCAGTTTTTCTGTGGATCTGTTTCAGATTGCATAAGACAGAACCAAAGAATGGTTTTCACTAAGTGGATATTGTTTTCTATGAAAACATGTTTTACAGAGCACATTATATGCCTTGTACCAGTAGATATATTGTCCACATCAGTATGATCTGGCCTGAGCTATTTAATTCCCAAGAAGTTATAATAAACATTCAATCAATATATATGTATTTTTTTTTTAACTGCAATAAATGGAATTAGGTAATTACACAAAGTTAAGAGTAAGATAAGCTTTAAAAGGTTTCAATTATCAAACTATTTTATGTTAACACCAGTGTGTTCAGCTGAGATTTCAGTTTTTGTATTGTTGCCTGTAGTAAAGCCATGATATTATGCAAGCTGTAATTTGTGGATTAACTCCTATCTGTCTAAGATCTGTCCTATAATCATTCAAAGTCATCCAGAATTTTTTTATTTCAATTTTATTTTGATTATGATTGATAGCAGTGTCAGATAGTTTTCCAAAATAATCTGAAGGGCTTGAAAGTCATTTATTATTTGAACCAGTGTGAATTCTAGTCAGTCAAGTTCTGGGATGTTTATCATATTTTAACATGTAACCTATTTGAGCTCTTGTTAGTAAAGTTTAAGGATCTCTTTGGGCTCTAATTCTTTAAGAGTCACAGTATGATTTGCACACAAAAATTTTAGATATGTATGAAATGTACCTTTTTTTTAAAATGTAACTAAAAAATTGCCATGTAATATAATTTATAAAAAACACTGTGTAGTGGTTGTTGATTAAAAAATATATTCAGATATTAATCTAAATCATTATAATTATAGCTATGGCACACAGTGTAAAGGCATATACATGATGGCCTTTTACTTGTATGCTTTGTGATGAATTTTATATCATTAGTTTTACTCTACATATTAAAAAACATGTTGAAATAAAAAAATGTCATGTTGTCTTGATGTACAATGGGAGTCAAATGTGTTCTGTGTGAGTTAAAACATGATTCCCAGTTTTCATTGTCATATGTTAATGTATTAAAACATGATTCCAGTCAGCATTGTTGTTGTACTGCAATAATGCCAGTAGAGTCTGCCTTATCTTTGTTGATTAACTCATTGTTCACATGTTATTTATAGTATGTTTATAGAATTTTCAATAAAAAATATTGTAAATTTGTGTGTCCTGTAATTTATGCTTGATGAAAGTTGAAATTATTAATTATGTGATAAGTTTATTTAAAAGAAGCAGACCATCAGAAGATGACAGTAATTGTTGGAGATAATATAAAGGATGGGGACCCTTAGCGTCCAGTTACATACCAGAAATTGTAGTTGTTAAGTAATTTAAATGTTTTAAAAGATAAAAAAGCCACTGTGCTATAAAGTTTATTAATACATAATTACAACTTTAAAATTTAGATTGTTGAGAGTATGCTACACAATATCAATATATTTACATATAACTATAACATGAGCAAATGCTACAACTTTCCTCCTTTAACAATGACTGCAGATGGCTCACTTGTGCCTGGAAACAAAAGTTAAATAGAAAAATCAATGACTTGTTTAAAATGTTACCACAATAATTTTAAATTGCCATAATAGTTGCAATATTTTCAAACAGTTGTGATTCCTTAATTCATTTAAGGATTCAAATTTCATTGAAATTGATTCATACAATTATAGCTTATTCTTATTCCATAGTTTAACCATAATGGCAACAAACTGATCAGCCAGACCCAGAATTTTGAAATAAATTTTGCTTACCATTTTCTTTTGAAGCTGTATATCTACTACCATAATCTTTCTCTGGTTGTATGAAATTACGGTTTGCCCTTTCTGCATTTCCATCTTTGTAATGAGAAACAAGGCTGTATAAAAGTGGCCTAAAAGAAAATTAAAGCACAGGCTGAGTAAAGGATTGCACTTGTTCAAAATAAAAGTATTAATTTAATTATGCATTTTTCATTAGATATTTGTTATACCAAACAAGTTGGATGAGGGAGATAACCTTATTTCTACCCCGTCCCTCACACAGAACTGGAATCTATTTTCTTCATTTCAGATGTTCTACTATAAAGCTATATTTCTCTTCAAAAAACATTACAAGGGATATTGAACACATTAAATAGTTTGAAAAAATAATTTCTCTTACACTGTCCTGGAGGGTGCATCTTCAACTACATTTAATTCATTACGTAAAAACTCCCTGTCCAGAGGAGTTGAAGAGAGTCCAGTTTCTGAATGGTGATTAGATGAAATTCATTATATATTTTAAATACACAAAGATCATGAGTTGTAAACAAGAGAAAATAAGGCACAACACGAGTGGTCAAAATATCAAAAAGTGTTAGTTGAATAGGAAAACACCAGTAGATATATTAATAGCATGGAAAAGGAAAGTACAGTTAATATAAAGTATCATTTAATGAGCTTCATTTTGTTTAAGAAACTGAGAGGTTAACCCTCATATCTCAGATATTTCATGTGTCTGCATTGTTTCATTTTTAAAGCAGTTATTTTACAGAAAATACTTTAAACTGATTCATAGAAGTATTAATATTAATAGAAAAGTGAACCAAAATAATTTGTAATAATTCTTTAACAAAGAAGATGGATCCTAATAAACTTCAGGTAAATTCAAGTTGTAAGACAGGTAATGCCTACTTCATTCAGACTGTTGTTAAACCACAATAAAGAAATGAAATAAAAATCAGAATAATTACCTGATACCAACACAGAAGAAGTATATTTACAATTGTTGAATTCTAAAAATTCACGAATCAGCTCAAATATAAGAATATTTTCATTACTTATTGGAGGCTTTGCTTCTGACTGATCATCCAGAGCAGCAAAAACTTCAGCTCTGATTCTAGCTTTGATTTCACCAAGGGCACCTCTTGTTTCTAACGCCTCTTTCAAAACTAAAAGACAATTAATACGACCAATCATCTATTCATTCATTTAGTAAGCTTTTGTAACAAATTCATTTTAAATACCTAGCTCTAACTCTAAGGTCTCCTGGACATACTGATAGATAACTATTAACTAACAAAAACATACACACATAGATGGCTTGATATCTATATATATAATTCTCTTCTGGGAGAAGCTAGAAAACAAGCTGTAAATGCGGTCCCTACCACCCCCACCCCTACATGGTCTGGTGAGCTATGGTTCACTAAATGTTTACAAACAGAGCCGGGTTTAGTGACGACTATTAGGGGCAGATAATTTAGTTTGAAACTATTTTAAACGTAGAGGGGGGGGGGGGGGGGGGGGTAACTAAGTGGAGTTTACTTTAACGGAGGGGGGGAAGGAGGGGGGTTTATCGTCCTTAACGAGCTACTTATAGTGTTTTAAAGAAATATTTTCAGTGGCAGCGTTGGTAGTGTCGAATTCACAAATTAAGAAATTATGATTAACTGAAAAGTAGAAAAAACAACAACTAAATAGCGGAGTATGATATGCCGAGGGTCGGCTCGTTATTAATAATCATGTCAATGCTAACCCTATCCAACTATCCCTAACCTTATTAACTTCAACCCTAGTCCTACCACCACACGCCTGACATTAATTTCAAAATTTGAGTAATTTCTAACCTAAAACTAGATTCTAGTCGAGATAATGGAGATTACAATACTATTACTAAGTATGTAATAAGTACTAATTAATTAAGTACAACTAATAACCCTACAACACTTTCTACAGTACTCTACACTGTAACACTACACTAGTACTAGTACACTACGAATTCACTACGACACTACGGACTACGACTGAGTCACTAGTCATAGTGTTAAGTGTAATGAAAATGGCATTGTATCACAGAGTACTTCTACTACACACCTAGTTTTGGGAGAGTCTATTATCGGACATGGGTATCTAAAATCATCACAATTAATACTCAATACTTAGATCTATTTTAAAGATAAATGCCAACCCGAGTTTTGCACAACTGTTTATAGTTATACTTTACCTTCTTTCAAGTCATGGCTTGACGCCATTTTGACGCTCTGAATGGTTGATATGATGATTTCTTAAAAGACAAGGACCGAAGTATTTATTTTAACAAAATAATTTTACATATTGTCAGCTAAAAACACGAATATATTATATTAAATTATTATTATATTAAATTTTTAAAATATATTTAAAATGTTAGTCCTTAAGAAGATCTAGATCTAGAATCAGTATAAAACTAATAATAGGCCTAAATATTGCTGAATAGATCTACATTTTTAAATATAGTATTCTAAGTCAAGCATTTTATTCCACACTAAAAACAATTTTATTAGGCCTATCTCAAATTTAAGAGAAATATCAAAATCAAATAAATGTCTCCTTTGACCTTTAATCTCCCGGGCATAATTTTAACGTTAAACTGTTGTCATTTTTTGCAGTAGGACATAAACATTACCCCTAAATCTACAGAGTTTCTTCCAGGCAAAGCCCCCCCCCCCCCCCCCCGAATGAAATGAAATTTATATAATTTATATAGAAAATATATACTTTTAACAGTGTCCGCCCCCCCCCCCAAAGAAAGTCTACCGCCCCCCCCCCCCCCCCCCCCGAAAATTTCAAGTGCCCCCCTCCCCCATAGAAAAAAGTCTGGAAGAAACACTGGTCATCTATAAATGGAATCACGCTTTTTAAAACGATTTTTTTTTACCACAACCCCTCCCCAAAACAAAGCCAGACTGTGAGACACCCACATAAAACGACCTTACTATTCAGCCTTCAATCTCCCTCCAAATTATTGTTGTTTTTAACACTGAGTAGGCCTACAATCCACTCTATATCACTCAGTCGTGAAAAAACCCAATAATATAGGGTTTCCACAGAAAATTCCCCGCTATTCTAAAACATTCCTTGCTTTTTTTTTTTTACTTTCTCGTATATAGATCTAGATCTACAAAGTATAGAGAAAGTCTTGTAATCGTGCAATTAAAAAAATTGAGATTTTTACAAATCTCGACGTTTTACACCTCACTGATACGGAAAAACATAATTTTGCAATCTTGTCCGTATGTCTGTGTGTCTGTGTGTAAACAGCTAGGTTGATGAAATTTCATATATAAGTATTTTATCAAAATCGTAGATCCGTATCAACTTTTGAGCGATTTCCAAAAGTGGTACTTTTTCTACTTTGAATTTTTCAAAAGCCTATAACTTGAGTACTATTTAGGATAGATAAATGAAATTTCACATGTAAGTAAGAGATCTAATTCTCTACTTTCTGTCAAATTTTGAGTAATTTCCGTTGAACGTAAGTAGTACTTTACGCTACTTCCGATTTCTCAAAAAACGCATGTAGATTTATAAAGTACTAATAATATTGCGCACTATTATGCACATTTTGTTGGGTGTGGGGAAATTGCGAGACGCGAAAAGCGAAATGGCGAGGCGGGAAATAGCGAGAAGGTAATGCGAGACATACCTGCGGAATTAAGGGTAAATAGCGAGACACTTTTTGCGAAAAAAGTTTTTTCCTTTTTTTTCCATCTTTATTTATTTCAATTATTTTTTAAAATATTTTTAAAATAAACAAGCATTTAACCATACCCTTTAACACGAGTGTTGTATGTTGTTATTTTTTATCTAGATACTAAGAAGATAGATAGATCTATATCTAGATCTATTTAAAAATCCTAACATCGTTGCTGTGCTACTGTCATCGCCCGCTCTTGTCAGCAAGAGGAAAATCCCGTCTCAGTCGGCATTAGGCCTAATTTAAAAATCTAGCCCGCTCATGTTTATACAAACGTGAGCTGTGTCATTGTGAATTGGTATAATCTTGTCAGCAGTAGAGATATTTTGCAACATCTATTTATGGATTTTTGTACTTGCAAAAAGTGTAAAAGTATAAACCATTCTAAAAAGTGCAATTTATTTTTTTATTAAGTAATTTTAATTACAAACAAAATTTACAAACAAAATCTTCTGAAACAGTCCTCAAACACACCTCGTGACACCATCTTTCACACATAGTACACCCAACCCAGTTCATTAGACTCCCATTTATACATTTTTCTTTTGCTACTTCTTCCAATCCACATTCACAACATTTCACATTCTCATCACAGTTGACCTCCTCGTTCATCCCACAAACAACACTGGCACCCATGTTCTCATCATCATCATCCGCATGCTCAACATCTGTTTTCCGTTTTTTATAATTTGTATTTTTTAACATTTCTGTAATTTTGGCAATGTCTTGCTCATTGTTGTCACCAGCAGTTGAGTTTTTTTTAAAACATCGATAGTTTCCCAAAATCTTGTCTAATTTCGGTCAAAATAGAGTATTTTAATCAATTCCTATTACAATGTATTAAAACAGTTTTCTAAAACGCGAAAAAACGTCTAAAATTCTTTTTCTAACATTGCTTTTTTATAGTGTGACTTCACATCTAACCCCCCCCCCCTCCTCCCCCTCATCACACATCGTCATAAAATTACAGACCCCCCCCCTACGAGTGTGACGTCATTTATGGAAGACCCCAAATAACACCACCACCAAAACCAAAAAATTCAGATAAGTTCAACTTGGTTTTAAAAATATTTGAAGTAGGCCCATAGCTTACGATATAGCACGAGCAACTGATAATATCGGTGACGTCACTTTATTTTGTTGTATCCAAATGATGTAGGCATTTCCTTGTGCTTAGATTTATATGGTTAAAAAAAGCTAGAAAAAAATCGTAGGCGGCGGCTATAATACAAAATTTCTATGCAACAATAGAAAATATGTTTGCGGCGGTAGCGGATCCGGGCACGGCGATCTTCAAAGACGGTAAATCAGGCGGCCTCGGCGTTCCACACAAAAGACAGAAGTTGATCTATCGTCGGCGGTATTTCCGTCGGTTTCGAACAAGGTGGTATTCTAAGTCGACACAAAAGATGGGGGGAGTTGACAAATCATCAGTATGTCTAGCGACGGAAAAATCGGAAGTTTTAACAATGTAAACGAAACGTCTTTGAAGTCTGGACCAAATACCACTGAAAATCGTGTGCGGTAAAATTTTCGCAGAAATCTTCGCATTTCAACACCACCCAGCGTAAATATCGGCTTGTGGTAAAATGCGAGACAAAAAAGTCACGTGACCGACCGTTTTCGCGCCCTTCTCGCATTTTCCCGCCTCGCCATTTCGCGTCTCGCAATTTCCCCACACCCCATTTTGTTTTGGCGTTTGCTTGGTGCGCAATTCTTTTTTCTATGAGATTCTCTTCTATTTTTTAAAGTTTAAGTAATAAAAAATCATGTCTATATTCCAAGTTATATAGGAATATCGGTTTATTTTAAATGTAATTTTCACACGCACAAAAAACAATTTTGTATGATGTTAAATAAAGTGTGTTGTCAGATAACTGTGTATACTCATTTGTCCAGCCAAAAACCACACTATCCCCTTGTACGCCAAAGCCATTGAATCAGATTAACTTAGATTCATCTGCAAGCTCCTAATAAGCGTTGTCATTGTAATACATACATGCATGGATTAAGAGCTTAATAAAAAGCTAATTATATCTAAAATAAAATTGATTTCTGATATGCTAAAATGACCAGTCATTTTCACGTGCACAAAATTTTCCCTTTATAAACAAGTTTTAAAAAAAAAATTAACAATGTTAATATAAAAAATGGAAATGAAAAAAAAATTTCAACATTAGCCTTGACTAATTTTAACTGTAATTTATTGGTAATGATCTATTTGCACTTTGGATTTTAAATTAATTAGGTCCAATCTTCAACAGTAAATTATAAAATCTGACAGTGATTTTTCTCTATTTAGTAAATAGGATAGACAATGAGATAGGGCCTGCTTTTTATTAAAACAATTTAGTTATAAGACCTATGGAAAATCGAATAAAAAATGTATCATTTTGATAGTAATAGTATTATTCCTACTTTAGGTATGGCCTTGACTGCTGGTATCGTATTTTCAACACACAAAAAAGACATTGTAGAGAGGTCACTATAAGTTCATATTAGTTTAGAAATCAGCGGGCCAATCGTATATTCTATATCATGAACAGTTGCTATTTGAGATGGCCGGGTGATGTGATCCCCCCCCCCCCCCTCCCACCAACAACTAAAACAAAATGAAATTTGAATTGATAAATTAAAATTCTCTGTGGTAGGATAACAATCAACATCCATCATTTTCCAACCAATTTTTATTTCCCTCTCCACAAAAAAAATATTTTTAATACACTTTTTTTTAAAAAACACTCATCTAATTTAAACTCAAGAATATAATTTAGCTGTCAATAAAATTAGAGACTAAATAATAATAAAAAAATGAACAAGTATTCAATATGTTGAATTCTTTTAATCATGGTTACAGTACAGCAACTCACAACTTGGAAAAGTCAAAATTCGAAAATGTCAAAGGGATAAGGAAAAGATAACATATGACATAAAGGATAACAGGAGCAGATTAATTCATTGAAGTCATAGTCAACTTTTCTTTAGACTCCCTTTAAAAGACAATCTTGCCATTATCATGGTATAAAAATACTTAGCCTATCTCTACAACCTTTTAATAACTACATTATAATAATTATATACAAGAAGGTTTCAGGTACAAGTGTCAACAACAGTTGAGGCAGAGTAAAAGTAAATGGTAGAGGGGAGAGGAAATGTGGTAAATATTGAAGTGTAGATGGATATAAAAGTTTTAACACAACAGATTAACAGCAAAAACGTGTATAGAAGTGTGTTATAATGGTTAAATTATACCTACAAACAGTTACATGTAATGTATAATTGGTATATTTTTTTAAAAAAATCACTCGCTGATTATAAAGTTCACAATAAAAATGTCTTGTTAGATGAACAGACAGCATTTTAAAATTTACAGTCCACATATTTCAGTGAGTTTACCATGTATATTGTATTATTTTAAATGTATTTTACCTTGCTACTTAAATAGTTCCTTAATTCCAGTTGCATTATTTTCTTTTACATATTAAACAGTAATTAAGAAAAAAATAAAGAAACTAAAACAAGTTGAGATTTAGATCTTCTAGTTAACATAAACTACAACTAGCTATAATAAAATTGTAATAAAAAATGTGATAAAATGTACTAAATAAATATTTTACAAAAACTAGCTTGTACATCAGTGCCAATATCACAATTATGCAGATATTTCAGGAACTGAAAAGAAAAAAATAATATTACATAACATCAAGCAAATATCTTTTATTAAAAACGTAGAAAAGCATATACAGTATTTTATAATTGTTACTGTTACTTGTAAGTAAAAATATTTCACTTACACTTACACAATATGAAAATCTAGGTATGATTATGAGCACAACCAGGCCATTTAATCATCATCGTCATCATCAGGTACAAACAGTTCATGTTCCTCCAACCAGGCAGCAAACTCTCTACTCAGTGTTGCTCCACCAAGCAGAAAGGGGGTGATGATTAAAGCAGACTTGTAAAAATATATTTGAGAATTGAATTACAACAATCTTTACCAAAATAAGTATATTAAACTTAAATAACAAGAAGACTTAATAATAAAAACTTTATTTAATACACACTTTTGTACCCAAGTTTAGTAAGTTAGATGTCGTCCATAAATGACATGTATTTTATTAGGGGATTTTATTGGAAATCAACATCTTTGTTCTCCAATACAATACAAAACATATGCAGTCATGAAAAGCTCATGATGAAGGAATGGGTCTAGGTCAGAGGTTTGTTTAAGTCTATGTTTGATTGAACCTGGGGTTTGGTGAGACAGTATCAGGGGTTCAGCGGAAATTGAGACACACGCCTAACACATTTTGTCAGTGAGAATGACACAACTGTTAAGATGGGCTCTGTGAATGCTCAAATGAAACTGGTGGGGTTCAGTACCTCCAAAAAGGTTAGGCTGACTTCTACCATGATTCTGTTTCATTTACCAATTGAGTGATATAATTACAATTGGGACAGGCACCATTGCTATGGAGCCTCATTTAAGCTGAATCCCATTCAACCTTGTTGCTTTTTGCATTGATTACAGATGGTTCAGGCTTTGGAGTTCATGTTTTTTTATCTTGGCATTTGAAGTGATAGTGTGGTCAGCACTATGCTCAGCTGCCTTTCCCCAATGTAAGTCAGTTACTTATCAGAGCTGAGTGGACTCAGGAACGTCCTAAAAAGGCACAAGTCCAAACCAAGATTTAAAATCAAGCCTTTGACCATGCCTTCCCACAGTTAAGTAAAAGTATTAATTTATTAATTATTATATTAATTATTAAGTCATTATTAAGACATCGTGGCCAAGTGGAGAACAGGTCTGCAGAATCCTAATTACTATCTAGGTTATAATATATATTTAACTAACTAGTAGAGTCTTAGATTAAGTCTAAGTTTAAGTGTCTTAGTCTAAAAAAAAGTCACTAAAAGACTAAAAGGAGTAAAACTATTAATATTATTGATACATTTTTAATAAAAAAATCATTCTGTAATAATTCCGGGTCCGAATAGCGGCCTTGGCTATTTAGACCCAGGTCAACAGACAAGCAAAGTAGAAGATCTAGAATCCTAGATATCTAGCTAGATCTAAATCTAGTAGCCTTGTAACTTAGTAAGCTACCGAGTCCTGGTGGAGTGCTGGGCGCAGCATTTTACACAATTTTACTTTTAGTCAGTTTTAATGAGCCACTATTGCTTATTGGACTTGACATTGACGGTAAACCTCCATTTTAGCGTATTTTATTTCCCCGCTTCACTTTTACCTCCAGTTTAGCGTATTTTATTATAAACAAAACCGAAACACAAAAAAACGTTTGGAAAACACTAGATTTCCTTTTTTTAATGAATGTGATTTTTAATTAGAAAAGGTAAAAAAAACAACATAAAAAAGCATTAGAACTGTTCCAATTACATAGCGTGTGATCGTCAGCGGGAGAAAAATCCTTACACGGTCAAGGGTTCACCATGAGTTCACATGGACTTTAACTATCAGCATACGTAATTCATAGCTCGGGCAATAGCTGTTTGAAATATTGTTGGCCTCAGTTTTGGGGTCATTGTCAGTTTATAAATGTTTATTTATAGTATCATGCCTGGGAGATACTTGTAACAATACAAACTTAATCGCCTTGCAATTGTGAGTTACGTTTCTCCGTTTAGATCTATGTACTAATGTACTTCATCCATTGCCATGAAAATTCTAACTGACACACAGCACATTCAATATTCTAAATTTGGATTTTTCTCAAGTTTTGACAAAAGTAAATTTTCAAAATCTAAAACAGAGTCAGTAGGCTTTTTGATGAGAATTACAGAATGATTTTTTTATTAAAAATGTATCAATAATAGCTTGCACACTAGTAAACTAAGCCAATTTAGCATATTTTAACTTTCTGTGCAAAGTCATTATTACTGAAAAAAATTCCAAAGTCAGGTCAGCCTGTGGCACCCTCCACTGAACTTGACAGAAGGAAAAAAAAACTTGACCCGTGACCTTCATTAAAACAGAATTTGCTTTTGGTTTTTTTTCATTTTTAGTAAACATGTGCTTAATCTTACCCAATAAGTGATAAAAATTTGAAAATTAATTTTAATTACTGTTGTAAAGTGAGATAAACAGATTAATAAACACGTGTTTTCTTGAGGGGGTGTGGCACATCCCGACATCGCATTGTTTGTAACTTTATATTTGTGTTTTATGACTATATTTGTTCACAATCAGCATGCTATGCTTTTAATTTTGATAAAGGGTAAGTATATCAAGTTACAAAACCTGAAATCTAACTAATAATTCATACTTTCAGTTTAAAAAAATAATGAAAACGATCATCAATGAAGAAAGCGTAAACATTCTATTTTTAGGTGTGACATAAAAAACAGTCATAAATCTAGCCGAATGATTGGATTCTTGCGCGTCACACATTTTCCCGCGCTTCGTGTTCACCAAAAAAGATTATAATAAAATGGCATTATTATTCTTACAGAGCATATCTCATGCCTACAATAAATTATTACCAGTTTATTGTAACGTGTGTAAAATTAATGCTTTCAAGTAAAAGATAGCAATAGTCTGGTTAAAAATAGCTGAGGTATTTTATAGTTATTTGATTCGAAAGATAAGAATTATATAGAGCTACTTTCACTAAGGCGCCGCTTGCGAGACAAACAAAGGAATTAGGCCAAAAGTAGATCCGACAATTCTTAAATAACAGACTTAAATAGAAACGGATAGTTCCGATTTCTTAAATTAACGATGGCTTCGTAATCATTAGTTTTATCGCTCTACCCATTAGTGAAAGCGAAACTGGTCGCCATTTTTGGTAAGCGCATGAGCCGTGCAATGGCGTCAAAACAACAAACCCGGAAGCTGTGAAACGAACGGCCTACAGAGTCAGTCTCATTGGTTTTTTTTTTATTTTTATTCATTTGTTAAAACAAAGGGTAATCTATCGTTTTGGGTACGTAAAATCGCCCGCGACTAGTAATGTACGAAAAAGTTACCTCATTGTCAAGGCTTTAATAGAAGTATATTTTGATATATTTGTGTCAAATATTATAGATAAATGAATAAATAACCTAAATCAATAGCTAAATATATCAATATAGGCAAGAAATTAACTTTTAACAGCAGTGTTTGCGAGCAGGATTTCCTATATAAACAGCAGCCATTTGTAAAATAGAGTTGCCTTCCCCTGATCTCGCGCTATAAATTAACAAAGAAAGAACTTAAACAAGATGGCTGCTAGAGTAAATGAGCATGGTTGCATCTGTTGGAAACATCGCTAGTATTAATTTATTATTGAAAAGTTTTAATTCAATTGTTTGAAAACAGGTACATAAATGAAACAAGGAAACATTTTTGTATTTTTCAAAACACAAATCCTCCTCAAAATGTGAAATAATTATTAAAATTTAAGGAGTCACCTGTTTTTCACATTACTAGTCGCGGGCGATTTTACGTACCCAAAACGATAGATTACCAAACAAAGATACAATACAAATTAATAAATCGTGTTTTCCTAATGTTTTGGTGTGTTTCGGTTATTATAATAAAATACGTTCAACTGGAGGTATAGATCTACAAGAAGCGGAGAATAAAATACGCTAAAAAAATCATGTAAAAAATGGTCAAATGGACTCTGGAGTTGTACACCGACATTAAGACCTAAGTCAGACATTGACATGTCTGACACTTCTTACCTTAATAAGGCCAAATCTGACTTGACCTGGTTTGGGAAGAATAGCACCACTGTCATTTTTTACAAGATTTCTAGTGGGTGGATTGAAACTTGCTAAATTAGCTCGATTTGAATCTATTAACAATCTACGAGTTGTATTTGCTAGAATTCTTAAGCTGCTAGCAGCCATGTTTTTTTTTCAAGCTGTGTCATAAAAAGTCTGAATCAAAATTCTAGATCTAGATTAGATCTAGAATCCTGCAAAACAAAAGATATTATAACCGTTTGTAATAGATGTATAAAATATATGCCTAGGTTTATGTGTTGATGAGTTGGTTTTTTTAAGAATAAGTTTGTTTTCATATTGGGTAATTTGCCCCTGAACAAAAATCTAGACTTAGATACATTTGAAATTCTTTTAAAAAAATAAAAATACAACGTTCCCACAAGTCCTCCCACCCATCCATCCATCGTCCAAAATGGCTGCCTGCAGCCTTTTCGAGGAAGATGAAGTATACGTTGAAAAACCTGGAAAAGGAATAAGTTTCGGCCTAGTTTTAGAAAACTCAGAGTTCCTAAGCAGCAGTGAAGAAGATGAAGCTGATAAAGTTGATGACCGGCTTCAAAAAGGAACAGTTAGGGTTGCCTGGCATCCAACAGGCAAAGAAACAGTCGTTGCTGAAGACAAGGTGTGCAAAAAAAATTAAAGTTAATAAAAATTCTATTATTCTAGATCTAGATCTAGTCTAGGTCTAGATCTAGAGATCTAATTTTAATTTAGAAATCTGTAGAATTAGCTCTAGCCTAGATCTAGATATCTAGTCTTATGTCATCTAACTAAGTTAAGAAAAGTTAAAGTTAGTCATCTCCAGTCCAATTCAATATTAATATTTGTCAATATGTGAATATTTGAACTTGTAGAAATTTGGAAAACAGATCCTGCTGCCAACAACTTATCAACTTTCAACCAGCAATATGATCTCCTTAGAGTAGAGCATATTTTTTTTTTAAGTTTTAAAAAATTTCTGTAAACTTCAGAGATATAGATTAAAATCTAGATTAAGGCCTGAATCTAATGTTATTTTAATTTTATTTAGGAATCCATCATGATAGTGATAGGCCTATACTATATATATTATTATATATCATTTGATTTAGGCTTAATTTCTTAATTAGAAAACCATAACTTTAAAAAAAAAATAGACTGGGCTATAGGGGCCTAAAAAATTTATTAAAAATTCATTTTAAAAGTGGTTCTTTAATTATACGAAGTGTCTATTCACAGCCGGCTGTGAATAGCCGTATTGGGGCTATTCACAGTCGTGACCGTTTTTGATAGATTTAATGTTAAAAATGTCAAATTGGGCATGAAGATGTGTGGTCGAGTGGTCATAGGGAAAGGCTGTCATGCTAGAAGGTGGGGGTTCAAATCCATCAGATGCCAATTGGTCTGACCCTTAATGTATGCCTCATATTGTTATAATCAAAATATTTTTTTACAATTAGGTCTAGATTCTACTTGAGTTACTCATGGGAGGGTTATTTTTGTTAATTTTTTTTTCGTTTGTGACGTAATTGTTGGCATATCAGCAAAAAAAAAAATGACCTGTCCCGTAGATTTTTGCTAAGAGAAAAAACAAAAGTGTGATGGAAACTGTGAATAATAGCTGATGAAAAAGGACATCCTATTTCACCTGATATTTATTCTAGATCTATGTGATAATGTGAATTTTTAATGGTAATTGATAGTTGAATAGCAATGTGAACAACCAAATAAACTGATGCTTAATTCGTATTATTCATTTAAAAATTACTAGATCTATTATTCTAGTGCAGGGGTCTCCAAACTTTTCAGTCCGAGGGCCGCATTACCCATCAATTTCAGTTCGGGGGCCAGTTTCTTCCAGGCATGTCTTTGATTTTTCTGGGCAAAGTTCCTCAGCCATCAACAACAGACGATTTTTCCTTGGACAAAAAGATCTCCGCGGGCCGGATGAGAGGACTTCGCGGGCCGGATGCGGCCCGCGGGCCGTAGTTTGGAGACCCCTGTTCTAGTGTATAGATTTAAAGTGTAAAATTGATCATCTAATCATCCTTGACCTACGTAGCCTGTAGCAGATATGTCTGATATGAGAATAAATAAAAGTTAAACTAAACTTTTACGGTAGGCCTAATAACTTTTTTATAAAGATATAACAAAATAAAAATAGCACTGCTCTCTTAATCTATACCTCATTCCCCAGTCACAATAAATGCTTATATTATAATTATTTTAAGATATTATTCAGTCGTATTTAGTATGAAAAGACAGCCGACTGTGAATAGCCGTATTGGGGCTATTCACAGTCGGCTGGGAATAGCCCCAATACGGCTATTCCCAACCGGCTGGGAATAGCCATGGCCTTAATTATATTGAATTTTGAAATCACAAATGTTTCACTGATAAGTTAAAGATCATCAGCCTTATCAATGATTGAATTTTAATTTCTAAATTATTAAATAGCTTTTTTTATTGCATAATTAGTTGACTTAATAAAAATATTGCTACAGGTTCATCTTGTTGACCGTGCTCTCATGCCAGGTGATGTTGTAAAATGTCTTGTACCTGGGCAGGATACTCAGTGTGGCTTTGTTATGAATATGGATGTTCGATGCCACCTGCATGTCCTGCGTACCAACAAGTATATCTACAATATAGATTCCAAAGATATGCACCCACTACAGGTAAATCACATTTGGACAGTATTTATTTTATTAAAAATTTTTCCTATACTTATATACCTTATTCTGACCCATCTCAATTATTTTAAAACCTTCTGTTTAGAAAAAAACAATTGCAATTTGAAGGAGGGGCTAGAGTGGGGCATCATTTACATTTGATGATGATGGGGGAGGGGTGAAAATCAACTAAAAAGCATATAAAGGTGACCCCATAACACTAATAGCAGTGGGGATTTTTAACGTTTTTGTCATTTTTCAGAGATTTGAAAGTGGGCAAGAAGTACTTTTGGATTCTTGGTTAGGTCGAATTGAGGGGGCCAATTATGAACTTGTTGTTGTCTTTCCTGATGGAGCTAGGTAAGTAGGTATGCTATGTTGTTGAACTAAAGATATATCGTGCTATTTTCAATTATATTTATATTTATAACTTGTAATTTTACATCACTTACTTTAGGTGCCAATTGGACGAAGAAGACCTTTATAATTTTGAAGACATAACAGAAAAAAAATCAAGGGTGAATACAGTAGTTATTTTTAAATACATGAATGAGTTACAGTTATCATTGGGTCTAAAAATGTTTTTAAAATAGCACTAGTGATTTTTTACTTGAACAAATGTGCAAAGGATTAGTTTAGTTATACTTGTAATAAATTAAGACAGTAACACATTGACTTTTGTTTGGGTAGGTTGTGATAAACTGCTTTGTATGACTTAGGTATTCATTGTTTTCAATTGATATTAAAAGGATATGCCAAAATGTGCTTTTATAAGCATTGTTTTACCTTTGTTAGAACACATATACCCCATGTTGGCCCACAATTTTGTATCCTCTAAATTTAACCTTTCTTTTAAACATCAGCATGGAGAGTTTAGTCTCTGCCTTCACTACCCTGGGCAAGAACTGAAAGGTTCCATGGATAGTTTTGGAGAAGCAAAATGGCTTCATTCTACACCCCGGTATTGTAGCAAAGTGGCAAACAAAAAAGGCAAAGTCTCTATGGTTTATGTAACTGTTGAAAAGGTGAAAACTAATTCCATTTTGATAATTTGTGTTAAAATTCATAGAAATGAGATGTCTTTTGGATCACGTTTTGTATTTTGAAGTGGCATCTCTTGACTTTATTTGTTTTTAGACTTAAATAATAAATCATTTGTATTCATACAAAGTAAATATATTTTATTTAAAATTAAAATGTATGTTTTTCAACAGATTGTGACCAAAAGTGTTGAAGTTCACTGGGTTTTTCGTGGCTATGAGAAAGTGGACAATCCAAAAGAATCTGTCAATCCACCTCCCAGAATGATAGAAAATGAAAACATTGATAGGCAAGTAATGCCATTTAGTTAAGCTTATGTCAGTATTGTTTACTGTTTTATTGTGCCATTGTAACTTCTCTAAAAATGTTGAGTTAAGTGATAACTTTTTAAAAGTATTTTTTTTTTCTTTCTAAAATGCAGGCTGCAAGTACTTGACTGGTTTAATCACTGTAGTATACAGATTGGTGATAGGATGTTGTACAGAATAAAAAACGATGACTTAGTGTCAGATGTTTTGCCTGGAAAAGCTTTTGATCCAACAACAGCATTAAACAAAGAAGCACCTATTACTATCACAAATGATTCTGTCCATAAAAATAATGAAGATTCTGTAGGAACTGTAAGTATAGTACAAATATGTTTGTAGTTCGATTAACTTATGTTTTGTTTAGTGCTGATTGTCTATAATTGGTATGTTTTTTAGTACCAACAATATTTTCCTTATTATAGTTCTTTTTTCTTTAACAGAGTAATACTGTTGATAGCTCAGAAAAGGAAGCAGAGGATGCTGAAGATGCAGACTTTGAAGATATTGAAGATGATTCTGATGGTGATGACAAGCAAGGTGCATTGGGTGGTAGGAGCACTGTTGGAAGGAGGAAAAAAACACGTGGCCATAAGGGAACTTTGCGACACAAGCCTGGGAAGCCTATCCAAAGCCACAAGAATACAAGAGGAAAACGTGGCCAGAAGGAACGACACATAAAGCCTGACGAAGTGGTAGAGGTAGAAATTGAATTCACAACATCGTGGGCTACTGTCATGTGGCAGGTTAGTAAAAACTTTTTATTTGGTTTTACTTTAAAAAATACATACATATTGGTGCTGGATTTGATAGATCAAAACACATTGAATTATTTCAGGATGGATCTGTGGAGAAAGATGTACCATCAGTCAATTTATTTCCTGTTCATCATTTGGATGAATTGGAGTTTTTTCCAGGGGACTTCATTTTACCAAACATAGGTAAGATACACAAGGCATTTCTGGAAAAAGAAATTATTTCTTATCCATAAGTATACTAATACACTTTTGAGTTAGGCTTAAGGTTTAGTATTTTTTATACTTATATTACCTGCATATATGAATGAGCTTATCAGATCTGTCAAAATAATATTATGTTTTCTACAAAAGACCATCAAAGTTGATAATCTCCAACCATTAGATCTTTCAGCACCTGTTGATTATGGTGTAGTAGTCAAAGCAGACCATCGGGAAAGAACTTGTTGGGTTCACTGGTTTAAAGCTTATGATGTGGGAAAGGCAAATGAGTATGTTTTTATTCCATTTTATATATGTTTAGCATTTTTTTTTACTAAAACGCATTTTAATTGTTAAGCATTGAGCCAGCATTATAGAGATCTTATTTCCTATCTGCTACAGTTGTTAAGTGTGATATTGATTTAAATAGATATTGCAATATTGATATTTCTTTGCTTTTAACAGACCCACACTAGTTGAAAGTAATGTAGAAATGAGTGTATATGACATCAAAGACCATCCAGATTACAAGTTTAGACCAGGACAGAGTATTGTACGGGTTGGAGGCTTTGAAAATATTCCACCGGTATTATTTTTATTTCACTTAGTTTTAACACAAAATTTGTTGATAGCATTTTTTTTTAAATTTCTGGATTCATTTTTAAGTAGCCTAGGGTGTTTATTACCACTAAACTATATTTATAGGATGAAATACGCACTCCTCAAACTATTGGTCAAATTTACGAGCTAGATCCAAATGGCCATCTGGTCATCAAGTGGGCAGATGGAAGCATTAGCCAGCATTTCCCACAAGAAATATTTATTGTATCAGATGAGGTAAGCTATTGTAATTTTGAGGCTGTATTAACTCCTAGAATATTGCTTTATCATCTGGTAGTTGTGTTGAGTGTATTAACCATCATGTGTTTGCAAGAGGAATATAATCAGATATCTTTCCTGCAGGCTGATGATTTTACAGAAAACAGCTGGGAGTCAGGCTCTGATTATGAGTCAGATGGGTCTGTGGAAACATGGGAGACAGAGTCTGAGCAGGAGATCATTGGGGAAGAGGATGGTGCTAAGTATGAGTCTTTTGTAATCTTTGTTAAAACATCACACTTTAATAACATCTTCTTGTCTTACTAGTGTCAAAAAGTACTTGCCCCATTGCACTTCTCAAGAAAGTTTAAAACTTAGCTAAAAATGTAAACAAACTTGTCATTAAAGTTATAATATATGAAAAACTCTCAATAGTGTAGATTAAAAATTGTGACTGGTTTGAATTTTTAAAGGTACCAGGATTTTAATTTTTTTGGGATTTTGTAGCAAATACACATAATAACAGTATTAGTACTTACTTAGCAGGGGGTACTTGGCACTTCTCATTGCTAGCCTCGACCTAACTCAAACCTTAACAGTTAACATGAACAAACAGCAGAAACATCCTTTATAAAAAAAAATCCTATTTTGAAGGTAGTCATAAAATTAAACCTTATGTTTTAATTTGAATTACTATTAGTTTTACTTCTCCTAATTAGTTGTTTAGTGCTACTAATACTTAATAATTATGAATTATGACTAACAGACTATCATATTATTTTTTATTATTTAGGGCTTGTTCTATTTAGTTTAGGCTGCTTATCTTTTATAAGCCTACCAGTTTTTATTAGTTATAGTTTCCTTTACTAGCTCAAAATTAGTGATTTGATTAGTTTAATTAATGTTTGTTGTTAAAAGCCTATAGTAGTACTAGTATCAGTAATAAATACATATTTGATTTTATACTATTTAGGCCCTACAATGTATTTTAGTTTTTTATGTTGTTCAATACTTTTAAATGAAAGCTAGAAAAGTACTAGACTTAATTCGTCTAGATGATTAGATCTAGTTATATCAACTGAGCAAAGTGTTCACCTAAGGGGTCATCCATTTATGACATCCACACGCGGGGGGGGGGGGGTCCGAAAAAAACTGACTTTTGTGGACGCATATGGACTTTTATAAGGAAAAAACGTGGATTTTTGTGGGGGGGGGGGGGGGGGGGGTGTCCAAAATCCAAAAAAATTGTGGACGTCATAAATGGATGACCCCTAACAAAAAACTGCAGCTACAATAATAGTTTGTCTGTTACAACTACAAAATAACTGAAAATAGAATGTATCTAAACTATTTGAACAAAAATTACTCTGAAATTTGATTATATCTTTAAGTTTAAATTCATGTAATGAATATGTTGTCCAATCATGTTGTTAAATTGAGCCGTAAACACTTTATTAGCCAGTTTAAAACTTTCCTTGCTACAGGGCAGATAAAGATGACAGTGGGTATGATCAAGGAGCCCTATGTGAGCACAAACAAGAATTGGACTCTCTTCTGGTGAGAGCTGAAACAGCACTGGCCAGACTACAGAAACACTTGAACAACTTTGATGTTTCCATTTCAGCACCAGAGTGTTTTCATGACATCATTCGCATTTATCGTAGTTGCCATGATTTGGACAAAATTTTACAGTCTTCCTTTTTTAACGACCCAGAGCTTCAGTTTTTAATTTCCCAAGCCAAAGCAGAGCTGCGCCATGACAGGGCAAATAAAATCTCCAAGCACTTGTCCCAGCTGTTTGAGTCCTGGAGCAAAAACTTGCCTGCAGGCCCCCTAGAGAACATCGGCACTGTGGCGGTTGGCGGCAAGACCATACGTGTTGGGATGCTCAAAAAAGGGGATGAGTTTGAAGTTTCGCTTGAACTCCCAACTTGTGACCCTGAGGCCAGTGACACTTCCTTTGACAATGGAGTGCCTGTGGAAAGTAATGGTGCCACTGGAGGTGGTGCTGTCACAGAAAGGGGTGACGTCGCTTGCAACAATGAACTGACATCAGTGTCTGCTGTTGCTGGCATTAATTTTGCCTGTGAAAACTTTGAGCTGAGAACAATAAAAAAAGAGTGTAGTGAACCAGCTATCAGCAAGTACAGTAAGAGCCATGAGTCCAGTGGCAGGAGACCCTCTGACCCCTTCAGTGACACCAGCTCTGGTGCTAAGTGTAAAAAAAAGACTGAAGCTAACCTGGTGGGGGAAAATTGTGTATTAAAGGCTGCTAAACGCACTAAATCTGATGGTTACGATGATTCCGGACGAGAGGCTAAGAAAAGCAGGGACGACTCAAAATATGCAAATCACGTTGCTCAAGAGCTGTGCTCTAAAATTTGCCAGAATCTTCAGAAGCAGATTTGGCGCATACATGAAGAAGTGAACAAAAGAACTAGAAGGCTTCTCTCATCTGGCAACTCCACTCAGAAAGAAGGTGATAAAAATGAGGATGGGAACATTGATTTGGGAGAAAATGTTGCTGAAGCTAGTTCAGACAATCATGAGATGAATGAAAACAGTGCCAAGGAAGTAATAGCTGCTTCAGGTGATCAGCACATGCAATCCCAGGGTGATAGTCAAGCTGAGAATGCTGACATGCATTTATCCAACACTAGTGAATGTACTGCTCATGTGTCTGAGTCAGGTGAAAATGGTGAAATACAAGAGAGCCCACAGGAAGTTAATAAGAAAAATGAAGTTCCTAATGAGGAACAAAATGAAGAATTGGCCCCACAGACTTCACCTGTTCTAGATCCAGAAGCCACTTCAGAGGATATCACCACATTGCAACTTTCATGCAAAGGTAACATTTGCATTCCATGATTTTTTTAGTCAGTACATTGCAAGTAATCATCCAACCTTTTCACCTCATGGGTTCATAATTGTACTACAAGGGCATGAATATTTGTTTGCAGGTTTTGAGATGTATGGTGAAGTAGTATCATTTCATAAATATGTTGCTCAAGAAAGCCAGCCTGCTAACCCTAGAACTTTCAGAACTGCTGTCAGAAAAGAAGTAAGTCTTAAGGGCATGGGTGGGTGATAAAACCCAAATGAGCCAAAATGCTTGTTTTAAAAACCTAATTCTATCATATCTAGCATAACTCAAAAGCGTTAAGTCTAAAAAATTAAAAATGGCCAAAAATTTCCTGTCATTGTCATGTTGATGGTGGCCATCTTTGATTTTATTTACCTTTTTAACATCGAAATAACTCAAAGATGGCTTATGCGAATTTAATAAAAACTTGTAGGGTTATAGAGTCATAACTAAATGCTAAATATTATAGTATTAGGTTTAAAAATAAGCATTTTGGCTTTCATCACCCGCCCATGCACTTAAGTTATCAAGTAATTTATATGCACTTTAAAAAATTGATAGGTTGTTGTTTCTTATTGTTTCTTGAGTGAAAGAGTAATATAGCGTTTGGAAGAAATCGGATATGGATTGGTTTGAAGAAACCTGATAGTTAGATTAAAAAGAATGGAATGTGGTTGATTAAATTATGTAATTGAATAGGGTTTGATTGTTGAATGGGAAAGCAGATATTTCACCTGTCCTGCTATTAAAAGAATGATTGGGAAATTCATAGTTTTGAACTAGTCGCACAGTCATTTTGTAAAATACATGTAGCTTTGTATTAGACATTTAGAACACAAAAATACATGTTGCACACTACTTTTTCCCCATAGAACATTGGCCTTAAGTGGTTGACTTTTCTGTGATTGAGAAAATGGGATTTGTTTTTAGTATTATTTGCTTTGTGATGTGTATTTAAAGCAAAAGATGATTTGGTGACCATGGGTGTAACCTGACACATCTTTTTCAGCTTAAACTTTTTCAGTCTTCCCTCCCAGATGGCATTTTCATCAAAGGATTTGAAAACCGTTTGGCAAGTTATAGCATCTTACGTATATATCTAAAGTTAGGATTTAAATTTTTAAAATGTATTGTGTTAAACTTTTATCCTGGGCTAGATTGTAATAAAAAAATTTTTTAAATACAAATGTCTAGAATCAACAGTTTCAGTAATTACTCTTCATTATTTCAAAAGCCATTTATACAACCATTCCATACACATTTCTTAACTTTTTATGCTTACCTAACCTTTTTTGTTGTACCTAGGACCTGTACTCTGTGATGATCCTGGGACCAGAAGGTACACCCTATGAGGATGCTTTGTTCCTGTTTGATTTGATGCTGCCTAATGATTACCCAACCTCCCCACCACTGTGTCACTATTATTCATACTGCTGTGACAGGTTGAACCCCAACTTGTATGAAGATGGAAAGGTAATACTTGTACTTCTGCACGTTTACCTTTGCTTGTAGTCCGGTGGTAAATAAAATACCTGACCCTGGGGTTTATCTGTGGTTTTCTGATCAACTGATCCACATCATTATCACACCTGAGAATTTAATGTAGTATGTCAAAATACACAGCAACAAAGCATGTCAGTCATGGGGTCCTGGTTACTTGGTGAACTAACAGCAACAAACCATGTCAGTCATGGGGTCCTGGTTACTTGGTGAACTAACAGCAACAAACCATGTCAGTCATGGGGTCCTGGTTACTTGGTGAACTAACAGCAACAAACCATGTCAGTCATGGGGTCCTGGTTACTTGGTGAACTAACAGCAACAAACCATGTCAGTCATGGGGTCCTGGTTACTTGGTGAACTAACAGCAACAAACCATGTCAGTCATGGGGTCCTGGTTACTTGGTGAACTAACAGCAACAAACCATGTCAGTCATGGGGTCCTGGTTACTTGGTGAACTACTCTCTTATCATCTGGACACCAACAAGGGTGGAGTCAAATAAATACTGATGCTATTTGTGTTCATTCAATCTCTGTAGTTTATCATCAAACAGCTACCTACAGCTATAACATTTAGTTCAAAAGCTGCATCAGACTTGCAAAGCTGCTTGTTTGTACTTTCCATCTATCTGATACATTTGTTAAGTTGAAGTGACATTTTTAAATGTTTGTAATTGAATAACAGGTGTGTGTTTCATTGTTGGGGACTTGGTCTGGAAAAGGAACAGAGGTCTGGACATCAAAATCAAATCTGTTACAAGTGCTTCTTTCTATTCAGGGTAAATAAATGTTAACATTGATCATAGCTTAATAAATAAAACTTTAGTGTGCTGCTGTTACAGTGGTTCCCTTTTTTTCTTAGGTTTAATTCTTGTGCCTGAACCCTATTACAATGAGGCTGGCTATGAGAGACAGCGAGGTACACAGGTGGGGCATGAAAACAGTCGCATGTACAATGAGATGGCCATTTTAAAAACTGTCCAGTCCCTCATCAAAATGTGCAGTAAACTTCCAACTCTGTTTAGCCATGAAATTTTTCCGTATCTTAAATCTCATGGGCCAAAGTAAGCATTTTTTTGTATTTCTTTTTTTTTCTTTAAAAAATGCCTGAGTTACAATTTTTAAAAAATAATACTAAAACTGTAAATGAATTAGATTATTGATGAATCATCAAAGTAAATGTTTTACCAACAGGATGATCGCTCGACTACGAGCATGGATGGAGCACAATCAGGATAAAAAGAGTGTTGAATGTACTGCTAATCCATCTCCTCCGCTCAACAATACTAGGTCACAGCTTTCTGAAAATGCACCTGCTACACTTGTAGAAGGGGCCTCAGATTCCCCCCTTTGTGCTCCACTTGAAACTCAGGGAATTGTTACTGCACCAAATGAGGAAGCTACTTTTGATGCAGCTCAGCCAAAGACTGAAGAAATCAAGGACATAGCCAACAGCCATTCCTCCGATCCTAGTCTAAAACAAGATATTTTGAATCCTGAATCTGCATACACACACTCAGAAGAACAGCTGGTAGATTCTGTACTTAGCAGACAAGAAGTGTTTGTGGACAACATATCTCAACAATCACCCCATGTGCTTTCCTGTGTCTCCCATCAAAGTGGTAACCCTGTCAACATCAGCCCCCAAAATGGTGACCGGTTGCCAGACTTGAATGCTGCTGCCCCTAAAAAACCTGGCTTTGAATCTATTTGTGATTCAATAACTAATAGTGGACTAGCAGATTTAGGTGCCACTCAATGTGGGCCTCATTGTGAGAATGCAAATTGTAGTTTGCCGCAATATCCTATATTTCCCATGTCTAGAGGCTTCTGTCTCACCCTACAAAAGTATCTCATCCTGTATGAAAAGGCATTAGCAGAACTGCAGCCCCCAGCATCTAGTTAGAACATTCAAGAGAAAATCTCAGAAATCTTTGAAACATCATTAAATGAAGTCTACCACTTAATGAACAAGTACTTTTACATCTATAGGCTTGCACCAATATACGCCTAATATAAGCATACAGTTTATATTGCTTTCCCCCAATGTATATTTCTTTTAGAAATGTACAAAACATTTTCTTCTCACTGGTAAATTTAAAAATGTATGCACAAAGCAATACAACATTTTAAAATCGGTAAATAGAAAATGTTCAGTTGACAATCTCATTTCTTGTGTTTTGAGCCAAGTAAATTAAGAAACAGTATTTATTTATTTCCTCGTATGTTCATTTTGTTTGTTTAGTAAAACATTTTTTGAAGTTTTTCATGTTGCGATATGTGATGTTTATTTTTGAGTTAAAACTGGTAATTGTAATTTATTCAAAAATAATTATGTCAGAAATTTCCATAGCTGACACTCCCAAAGATCCAGAAAAAATTCTACTTAACTTTCTTTAATGCTGTGTGAATAAGTACAGACATTAACTTTAATATTGCTTTTTACTTAATGCTTAGCACTAGTTTTTTTAACTATTTCAAAATTCCTAGGTTAAAAGGGTAGTCTATTTCCAAAAATCGACTGCAAGTCTGTACCAGTTTATTAATAATTGTGGCTTGAGTAAACTATTGTTGATATTGAAAATATTCTTGGAGAAGTTACTTAACATTTGTTACACAACTCCCTTGACTAGATGCGAACCTTGTGTGAAAATTGGTCTAGAATCTAGTCATAATTATTATATAGGTAAATCTGGCATCTACCTGCAGCAATATTTCGAATGTTTGCTACAAATGAAATGCAAAATAATATTTAAATCAATATTTTAAGCACTGGGATGACCCTTTGCATTTTTTTTTGTTCAACAAAAAAGTGTCTAGGTATGGATGTGAGTGTTCATATATATATTATAGTGTGTGTGTGTGTGAGTATACACAATACATATGTTGACACTTGGCTGTTACAGAAGAGCAAAGGGTGTGGATGCACACGTAACAAACTATATCTATTGCATCCAAAATGTGTATTATGATATGAAGCATATAAAGTAAGTTAAATATTGAGTATGTTTGTCTTAGAAAATTCAGTAATGAGAATGTCTACATTCCTTTAATGTAGAGATTAACCCTAAAATTGTATAAGTAGTCACCAGTTACATAAATATACATGGCCTAAACTGGCGTTCACCCACCATGAGAGCTACCATTGTTAAACATTTGCATTTATCATTCAAGAAGAGTTAACAACTTCAACTTTGCTTTCTTTTTTTCTTTTTCAAGGTATGGTTTTTGAATGATTTATGTTTTTATGTATAATTAACTACAATCTTAAAATTAGTAAAATGTATTATTGTTCCTTTTTTTTTCTCTATAAGGCTGGTCCATCCACCGAGCAAATAATTCATAATTTCAACAGACTGTAGTAGTTGTGTCTGAGGCAGATTTGATGAACAATGTATAAACGTTTTGTAAATTTTGGTAATGGTTGAGTCCAGTAACTATGGTAGGGATTTTTTTCTCAAGGTGATCAGAAAATTGTATCTTGTCAATTGTTTGATATTTCTTAGAATATGTATGACGACTATTGAATGATTAGATTTCTTGTTCTGCTACCTCGTCAATATTTGACTGAGATGTAAACTCTACAGCTTGAATCTCTTTAGATGTCTGTGATATTGTTCCGCCCTTGTTTTGGTTGCCAATACATACAATTTTCCAATTGCAATTCTCTGTGTTCTTATTGAAATTAACAAGTTTATAAAGAGAAAAAGGGGCATTATTACATTACTCTTATTATTTGTAGTTAAAAGCCTTTTACGATTAGGATTTTTTCTTAGTAATCTGTTCTTAATTTAAAGCAGAGGCGTAGCGGGGGGGGGGGGGTACATGTCCCGGGCGCTGACCTTAGGGGGCGCCAAAAGGGGTTGGAAAAACAAATTAAAATGTCATTTTACTATTTAGCTGCATTTTTGCCTTATAAACAGTTTGAGGGGGGGGGGGGGTGTAAATTGAAAATTTGCTCATTGGGGGGGGGTGCCAAATTGAAAATTTGTCCCCAGGAAGTGTAGCTACGCCTCTGATTTAAAGCCTAAAAATTTCTCCCTTTAATTGTGATTGGCAATTAAAGGGAGAAATTTAAATGTAATAAAATTAGTTTGTTGTAGGCGGATCTCAATATCCTCTTTTATTTAGTAATCCTTAAATTTAAACAGTTAACCTAACATCATTAGGGTGTCTTTCTAGTTTCTGAGGAACTTCCGCTTATAAAACCGAAAAAGATTCTTTTAAGAACATATGATCATAAATTTTTATTATCAACTGTAATTTACTGAGTAAAACATAATATTTACTATCAACCTAATTATGTGTAATAACTCAATAGCAGGAACAAAAAACATGCATTCAGAGAGGAAAATTTGGCTCCCTTCATGGCAATGTTTTCAATGTGGTACAACCTAATACTAAGATAAAAGTCATTTCATAACTTGAATGTTACTTAAAATTAAGATCATTTGTATTTGTTCAACTAACAAGTCTGGAACATGAGCATAGAAGAAAGCAAACCAAATACATTCACATCACAAGCAGTTTCTTCCAGGCATCTCTGCAGGGGGGGGGGGGGGTGCGGTGCTCTATTAATTAGACAATCCTGTATTACTTCTTTGCATATCAAGTTAAGTATAGAGAAAAATAGTGATTGAAAAAAATTGAAATAAAATCTGGAAGTTTTACACATCCCTGAGTGGGAAAAGTCTTTGTGAAACACTAAGACATTTTTAACAATGTATTGTGGCAAAAACTGTTACTCAACATTTGATAGCTTTTTAAATTATACTAATGGTCCGCACTCTAGTATAAAGTCAACAAAGTAAAATGTTTTGTGGGACTAATGTCTGCACTTTCACCTTTTTATTAAATTCTTACCTTCATATAGAAGCTTCTTCATGTTTAAGGAATATGCAATACTATACGTTGGCCTCTACACACACGCTGCAGATCTTTCACATCACACTATCATTTTTCTTTTAAGTTAAGAAAGAAACAAAATGCTTTCCAAAAAGATTTAAGTTTAATTTTTTTTTATACAACATAGAAGTGATTATAAATCACATGATTTGTCGGATGGCAATGTTTATTTTGATCCCCTAATCAGGATAAATAAATAATACAAAAAAAAAAGCATGGTAATAATAATTGATTTAGCAACCTTCAAAAGGTATGTTTTAACAATAAAAAAAATGTTTAACTAGAATAAACTACAAAGACCACTAGTAGAAAAACAGCAATATTAAAAATAAACAGTACTTTGAAAGAAATCTTGAGAATACTGGGTGAATTACGTTTTTGAATCTATCAAATTACTTTAAACTAAAAAATTACTATAAAAAAAGAACACAACAGAAATGTCAGACCTGCCAACCATGATTGTAACAAAAATGTATCAGCTTTAATTTGAGCTAATACAAAACTGATGCCTGCTGAAACATCTGCAAAAAGCCTAAGGCTCAAAACCGGGATGATTTACTAGGTAACCAGAACTTTGGTATACTTGTCTAAAACCAACATGATTGGAAGGTCTGTCACCAAAACGAGTATTTTTAACACCTATTAACATCACTATCAAAATTTAGATGCAGGAGGTTGTCCTAGAGGAGGGGGAACAGCAGACAATGAGGCTGCAGTAACACCACCCATTGTGGATCCAGCTAGACTCCATTGACTTTTAAATCCTGCAGAGTTTCCATTTTGAAATGGTTTCTGTCCCATGCTTTGGGCACCAGTACTAGCACTATAGCCATTCATACTGCCGCTGTAGCTGTTTTGTGCTTTAAAACCACCACTACCACTGGTGTAGTTGTTTTGAGATTTGAAGCCACCGCTGAAATTACTGGAACCTGAAAATCTGTTTCCAGAATTAAATCTACCACCAGCACCTCCTCTACCTCCACCACGACCACTATCTTGACCTCTCCACCGTCCTCCTCGACCTGAAAAAAATAGTAATAATCATCACACAACCTAGTTCAAAATTTCATACATAATTATGCCTTAAATTATTTAACTCATTTGCTACGAACACCCTTGTAAAAATTCAGATACTAAATTATTGAAAAACTGGAAAACTTGATTGAAATTGTATTGATTTAACTTTAGTTTTTACATCCATATATGAAAACTTAATAGCAAATGCTATCTTAGTGATACAATACAGTATGCCTTGCTTTTTTTTGTAAATATAGATAAAATATAAACAGCAAAACTCTACAGTTTGTAGATAACCTTGTACACCATTCAGAAAATAACACTATAGGATATTTAAAATGTTGGGCAATTGAGATCACACAGCCTCATACTCTGGCAAATGGGGTATCGCATTCTGTCACAACAGTAGCAAATGAGTTAACTCACCTCCATGCATACCTCTAGCACTTTCTTCAAGCTGTAAAAGTTTAGGACTAATGACTTGTTTGGCTTCACGTAAAACATTGACAAGGTCAGTAGCTTGCTTTGAGTTGTTAGGAGTGAAGAATGTATATGCTGTGCCAGTATTTGTAGATCGCCCAGTGCGCCCTATCCTATGTACATAATCCTCTGAACAGTTTGGATAATCAAAATTGATTACAAACTTAATGTCTTCAACATCTGTGGAAAGAAAGTTAATTCATAAGATGTATGTCTATATTAGATCCACTTTATGATTACAGGACTGAAGGCCTTGACATCTTTGTTTTATTATTTTTGCTCTGAAGGGAAAAAGGATAGTTAGTTTCTGAAATGTAAGGGGTGAAATAGAAGGCAACTTTCAATACTGCAATCAATAAAGCAGAGTATCAAATACCTACTATATCACCCAATTTTTTTATATTCCTATTTGTCTCTTGAATTTATATGAAAAGCGGCAAACTGACCGAAACTTATTGATAACTTTAAAAAATGAAAAAAAAAATAAAATACCACAACATTTCAATCATGGTTTGTATAGTTAAGTTATGCCCACAATAATGTGTCTTAACACAGAGATAGCGTTGAACTCTCTCGATAACCGTGCCTTCCAAGCGTTAACATGAACTGGTGGCAATATTTATACATCATTTGGTGGTGTATGGATAAAAATCCCAAGCAGCATCACTTAATATCGTACCCGTACATGTGTTCTTTTACTTTTACAGACAAAATACTTTGCTTATAAAAAAAACCAGTTAAGGGTCTCTTGCTCCTTCATTAAGGATAAAAAATTGAATTACAAATAGTAAATGCCTGCACATGCTACATTGTGATGACAACTGCCTGATAAACTCAACTCTCACCACCCCTAAAGTCATTGCCACTCAGTACTTACGCCCGGCGCGGAATACCTGGCCAGCCCCAATGCTCCAAAAGAAGCGTAAAGACTGACGCTGGCTTCGAGATCATTATGAACGCCACTCCCTGTCAGTGCCCACAGTGGGAAGATGTACTGCATGTCTATCAATCAGTCAGCTTCAGCCATCAATCACCGCTTCCTTAATCACAGACTAGGATTAAAAATAAAAATTAAATTTAAAATTGAACTAGACTGATGTGACTCCCCACATCAAAGAAATATTTCACTGATTGTAAAGAAACTTGTTAAAAAAGTTAACCGAAAAACTATTCCCTGAAAAAAGAACACAAGTATGAAATTAGACAAAGTAAAAGGGAAGTCATCCCCAAAAGCTTCAGAATACTGCAACTCGCAATTCAGTATCACTAGAACCACACATAAATTGAAAAAATAAACAAAGTCCTACCTAAACCTCGAGATGCGACATCTGTTGCTATTAAAATTGGATTTCTACCATTCCTAAAATCTGTCAATGGAAGAAAATAATAATTCAAAACATGCACTTGTATATATCAACAGTAGCATAGGAAGAGCTTAATCATCAGCAATATAAAATGAGCCTAGATCATAGTTATATAAATTCAAATAAATGGATAGAATATTAAATAGTACCATTTAATGCCCAGTCTCTTTCTTGTTGAGATTTGTCTCCATGTATACTAATCACTGGCCACCTAAACAAACAAATTGAAACAAATTATCTTAAGTCAAAATAGACTAAATAATACCAACAACTAGGTTGATACATACCCATCTCTTTTCATCCTGCGTGAAATATCATCTGCTTTCCTTTTCGTTTCGACAAAAATAAGGGTTTTGTTCTCTTTCTCTTGCATTATTTCATTTAACAGTTTGACAAGCCTAAAAAAAGATAGTCAAATTTTTTTTAAATTTGCTAACAAGTGTAAGCTTATGTCTTCTTTTTATTTGGCAATATGCTAATAATGTCCTTACTTCTCTTCTTTTTCATGATCCATGCAAACATCAATAATCTGTAGAATATTGTGATTAGCTGTGAGTTGCAGGGCACCAATGTTCACCTGGATGTAGTCGTTCAAAAATTCCTCTGCAAGCCGGCGAACTTCCTTGGGCCACGTGGCACTCCACATCAAAGTTTGTCTATCAGGCTTGAAAAATTATTTAAAATGCTGTTATGCTTGAGCAAGGTTAGGTAATGTCTACCTTAAATTAAGTTAATCACAAATTTTTTAAAAACTTACCCTAATTTGTTCCAGAATTTTTCTGATCTGAGGTTCAAAACCCATATCTAACATCCTATCAGCTTCGTCCAAAACAAGATAGGTTGTACGCCTTAGATTAGTTTTGCCAGCCTCCAAAAAGTCAATCAATCTTCCAGGGGTAGCAATACAAATTTCAGCCCCTAAATTAAATTAAAATTTTTAAAATAAGTAATTTAAAATTTCCAAGAACAGATTGTGTGATATAAACAAATAACATGAGATAATACCTCTCTCTAGATCACGGAGTTGGGGTCCTTTGGGAGCCCCACCATATACACAAGCTGAACGAATTTGTGATGATCTGCCAAATTCATTTGACACCTCTATAACTTGTTGGGCAAGTTCTCTTGTAGGCACCAAAACCAAAACCTGTAAGAAGCACAAACATATATAAAAAAAATCACAAACCTCCAAAACAATGAAAATCTAAAAATGATTACAATTGTACACTTACTATTGGCCCATCTCCATGTTCTAGATATGGTTGATGATTAACATGAACAATAGCTGGCAGCATGAACTGGAAAAAAAAAGTTGAAATAAAGCAAACTGTAGGTACAATTTTTCTTACTTATTTGCCAGAGGTAATCATATTTATGTCCCATGACGTATACCTTTTACACATCAGAGCAAAAGGAAAGTTAGCATGAGGTTACTTAATTTTGCATTAAGCAAATCACTCACACTTTTTATCAGAGCGGAGTCTTATTTGCTTATGCCAGCCAAAAATAATTCTGTACAAACTTACCCCTAATGTCTTGCCTGAACCTGTTTGAGCGATTCCAACCAAATTTCTCCCAGAGAGGGCAATTGGCCAAGCCTGGCTTTGAATAGAAGTGGGAGCTTGCCAACTATTTCTCCGTATCTGGTTCATAACATAGTCTAAAATAAAGGAGATCCTGTTTAGTAAAAAAAATACTGGCAGAACAAAATGTTCTTGTCAAAAAATTAAGAGTACCCCAGAATTGCTGATAGGCCATTTACAATACTAGTAACACAAGATTAGTGAGCAACACACCTGGAAAATTGCCCTCTTCAAATGTGAAAATAGGATTTGGAACATCTTTTCCAGCAATAGTTATTTGTTTTTCCCTATGGAACTGTTGAATTTCCAACTGAGGAAAATAAAATTTTGAATATACAGATACAGTCATGGTTAGGTTTAGTAGCATATAACATACCAAAGAGCAAAAATCACTTACTGGAGATCTGTTAGTAACAGAAACATGTTCTTTATAGAAATTCTTTTCAAACTTTGGAAGTGTTGAAACATCCCACTTGGGCTTTCTTAATCTCTCACCGGGCTGAGAACCCTTAAGTGAATTACGGAAGCTACCACCCCCAACACCACCACCTCTTCCTCTGTAACTGTCTTTGTCTCTTGGGCCACCACCACCATACTTTGGTCCAGAGTCTTTTCTGCAAATAAAAATATTCAGTCAGCAAAACAAGCAATATGTAGACTGTAGATCTATGTTCACCCTGAGTGTCCCCTACACAAGAAATAACCAGGGATATCCATCATCGGCCAATAATGAAAGCTAGGTGCAACATCTTTTTTAATTTGGGAGATAACCCCCCAAGAGACAAATTAGGTCTGTGATGTCAGCCAATACAGTAAATAGTTACACTGCACTGCTTTTTTATTTCTCTATCTAGATCTAGAATTTTAGATCTAGATATCTAACAAGATATAGAACAGTTGCATACAATTTTTGGGAGAATTTTTATACAGGTGTCCAATAATGGAATCTTCGGATGATTATAGATACCGGTGTCCGATAATGGAATCTTCTTTAAAAAAGGGGTGTTAGGTTGTTAGTAGTAGTATTGCAATCTTGACTAATCTATGGTTAGAAATTAGGGTTAGGCGTATGGGTGGACCAGGGTTGAGGTTAGGGACAGGGTTAGCATTGACATTAACCAGCCATGTGTGTATTTAGATAACTACCAGTAACCTAACACCCCTTTTTTAAAGAAGATTCCATTATCGGACACTGGTGTAAACATTCTCCCGAATCTTCTTTAAAAAAAGGGTTTTAGACTACTGGTTGTTAACTAAATAATACACACATGGCTGGCTAATGTCAATCTAGATCTATTGGCCTAATCATCCTTAATTATAAATTTATAAGAGACAGTGGGAAAAAAACTGCTGAGGGCAGGTCTAGAACTATAGGGTAAAGGAGGGCGTTAAGAGCCACACTTTTTAGCACCTGTACATTTTTAAAGATTTCTACTAATCTAAGAATTTTTTAGTATTGAAAATATGGCAAAATTATTCTAACATATCTTACACAATATAAAAATAATAACAAAGTCTATTAAATATACTTTAAATGGGATTAATTGAACATTTATTGTCATACCCCCAAAATCAGCATTTGGGGTGAAAGGAGCCGGGCAGTGGGGCAATAAGTATTATCTCCTAGTTTAGACTAACTCCGCAATAAAAATAATTAATTTCTAACCCCAAAATAGTTAATGCTGTGTACACACACTTTAACTGATACTAGCTATCACTAGGCCCCAATGGGCCCAGTCTACAATTGATACAATTGCAGGTGTACATAGGGCCTAAAGTCTAGTAGTTTACAGTAGGCACATTAGTATGCCTAGTGTGTAGCTAGTATACTAGTGTGTAGCTGTCCAGAGTTAACATTCTTGTATGTAAAAAGGGGTGGTACTAACTAATCTGCCTTAATGCTTTCCCCTGATAAGCCATGTGTGCTATACATTACATAACATGACATGGAGGTTAGAAATGTTGAGGGGAGAGCAGTGGTACTGGTTTCCCCTTTGTTCTCCTTGCTGGACCCTGAGAGCCATAAATTACATAAGGAGATGCTATCTCTGGTTGGCTGAGATCTAAGAACTAAGTCCATGCTACCTACAAAGAGATGAAGTTTTATGGTGGGTTAGATACAGGTGGGGGCTTGGTATCATGGGGGTGAGAAATTGTGAGGGGAGAGCAGTGGTACTGGTTTCCCCTTTTTTCTCCTTGCTGGACCCTGAGGGCCATACATTACATAAGGATATGCTATCTCTGGTTGGCTGAGATCTAAGAACTTAGTCCATGTTACCTACAAAGAGATGAAGTTTTATGGTGGGTTTGATACAGGTGGGGTCTGGCTATCATGGAGGTGAGAAATTGTGAGGGGAGAGCAGTGGTACTCATTCCTCTTTGGTCTCCACCCTGCTAGACCATGAAGGTCATATGTTACATAACATGCCACCCCAGATTGTCTGAGATCTGTAACTGTAATCCATGTTACCTACAAAGAGATGAAGTTTAATGGTGGGCCAGAAACTGGTGGGGGCTGGGTATCATGGGGGTAAGAAATTGTAAGGGGGGAGCAGTGGTATTAATGTGTCTTGTTTACTTCCCTGCTGGACCATGAGGGTCATAAATTACATAACATACCACCCCAGATTGGCTGAGACCTAAGAACATTTATTCCTGTTACCTACAAAGAGATTTGAAGTTTTATGGTTGGTTAGAAACAGGTGGGGGCTGAGTCGGCTGTATTGCCCCTTAGGGGTAATAAGTACAAGTACCATTTTAAAAATTACATTGCTAACATCAGATGGCTGAATTTTTACTTTTTAGCAGGTTAGAATTGTATTTCTATCATTTAGACACAAGTCTGTTTAACAATTAATACATTTTGTGTTAACTATTCCTATACCAGTGTCATATTCAGTGGTCTAATAAATGAGAAACTCGCACATAGGGTTTCAAGAGCCACATAACAGTATCTGTTATAACTTTTCTAAACAGGCAAGCTAGTGAACAAAATTAATGTATTCATGAAGATTTAGTTATTATCTAACAAATAAAACCATTATGGTAATGATCAGTCAAGTTTTACTCTGATAATGATAAAAACTTTATAGCATGGTAAAATGGGACAAATGTCGGCCATTTTGTTTTGGCACCAATAATCACTGTGCAAAAAAAATTCACCAAAATAAAACTATTCTAGCCATAGCTATAAAAATAGTGTTAAAATGTACAACAACCAATCCTCTAATATAGGAACAAAGAATGGGCTTGAAAAACTTATTTGGTTTATTACAAAGTGAAGTTTCCCAAGATATGTCTATTTGGAAAAAAAGTTCACAAAATGGTTTTATGGAGATGAGAAATTTTAGGGAAAGAGCAGTGGGATTAAATCCTATCTCATCCTCTCCCTATTGGACCAAGTGGGTCATAAAGTACATAAAATGAATCCTCTGTTTCTCTGTTATCAAAGAACAGCAGTGGTTGTTACCTCAGAAGTAGATTAGCAGTGTTATTGGGGGTTTTGTGGGGGTGGGGTGTTGATTGGGGCTTAATACCACACGGCTCTTAACGCCCTCCTTTACCCTATAGATCTATGTATAAAATTATCTCCCTTCGTTTAATGATTAATGCTACCATGCCATACATTAATTGGTAATCTATCGTTTTGGGTACGTAAAATCGCCCGCGACTAGTAATGTGAAAAACAGGTGACTCCTTAAATTTTAATAATTATTTCACATTTTGAGGAGGATTTATGTTTTGAAAAATACAAAAATGTTTCCTTCTTTCATTTATGTACCTGTTTTTAAACAATTGAATTAAAACTTTTCAGTAATAAATGAAGACTAGCGATATTTCCAACAGATGCAACCATGCTCATTTACTATAGCAGCCATCTTGTTTAAGTTTTTTTTTATAGCGGATATAGCGCGAGACAGGCGGAAGTCACTCTATTTTACAAATGGCTGCTGTTTATATAGCAAATCTTGCTCGCAAACACTGCTGTTTAAAGTTAATTTCTGGCATATATTGATATATTTAGCCATTGATTTAGGTTTATTATTCATTTATCTATAATATTTGACACAAATATATCACAATATACTTCTACTAAAGCCTTGACAATGAGGTAACTTTTTCGTACATTAATAGCCGCGGGCGATTTTACGTACCCAAAACGATAGATTACCCATTAATTTTATAATTAAGATTGTTGAGACTGAAGTAAAACTTTCCTGGATGATTTATCTTCAATTGATCTAGATTTTATTAGACTACATAGATCTAGATCTATCTAAATATCAATCTGACCAGACAATCTAGATGATCTAGATTCTAGATCTAAGTCTGACTAGGATTGGTTAATCGACTGCTTCCACCTCGAGGCTTAAGAGACGACGGACATCTTTATTTTCCGATTTTCGATCCAGTTAGATCTAAAAAAAATATTTTAAACGTTCCCCTTAATTAAAATCAGTTGAGAACATAGCACTTACCCTCCACCCCGTCTATCTTTGGAGTCGAATCTTCCTTTTTGTGACATTCTTTTAGTATAGAATCTAGAATCAGACCTGTTAAAATTAAAACTTGTCAAGCTACTGAGATGAATTTCAAAACCTAGGTCTACAGGCTGATCTTCAAGCTAAAATCCACGTGAAGAAACGAGGCTGTGTATGAATATATGTTAATGAAAAGCTCTATCATGTTATTATCTTTGTTTTTTAGTATTAAGTAAATGCTTGTTAATTATATATTTTCACATGACTTAACTTACTTAGGTTTTGGTTGTATTTATTTTTAAGTAGGTAGCAAAAATTAATATTGAAAGCGCACTATTTTAATGCGTCATTTCTATTATTAGACCGTGACGTATCCAACTTAACCGGTGAAACACGTGGTCTATTCCAATAAAAAATAGGATCGGCTTTCTCTAGAGTAGTATGCGAAGCAGCATACTAAACTAACACATTACCAGTCTAGATGTAGATCTAGATCTAGATTCTAGATGTGGATCTAGATCTAGATCTAAGGCCTAAATAAAAGCAATTGGAAATAAATTATGTTATATATTGTGCCGATATAGACAGTGGCGTAGCTAGGGGATAGCGGCCGACCCTAAGGGGGCGCCAAATGGAGTAAAAAATAATAATTAAAAAGCTCATTTTAAGCTGAACCATTGAATTATACACAATCAAAGTTACAACAAGAAAAAACTTCTAGAAGGATTTACACCGATTTAGCTGGGTTTTTTTTTTTTTGGCACCAAATAAAAAATGTTACGGGAAAGTAACTAATAAGAAGCGCCACAAACTTTTCCAACTGGAGGGGGGGGGGGCTTTTTCACAAACAGGAGTAACTATGGATAGAAATAAAAGGAAGGGATCGAAGTTGAAAGTCCGCCCCGGGCGCCGGAATAGGTCGCTACGCCTCTGGATATAGATAAAAAGATAGGCTTACATAATTATAATATCTGCCTTTATAAATCTATTAAATCCATCCCTCCCATCTTTCTCTCTTCATCCCTACCTCCATCCATCTCTTTACAAGGGTGACCAGAAAGATGCGCAACGGAAAAATGCGGGACGGAAAAAAGCGCAATAAGAAATTCGCAACGGAAAAATGCACAAACGGAAAATAGCGTAAACAGATCCCCTTCAAGACTAATAATTAAGAACGAAGAAGAAGAAAAAGAAGACTTGTTACAACAAGTTGAACTTTTATGGCATTTAGAATTACATAGTAGCTTGTTATTTTTACACTTGCAGAGATTTGTTGTCCACTTTATTGCGTAATTGCAGCGAGTGTAGCCTTGGGCGCCGGTCAGTGATTGTGAAGATGTGATGGTTCGTAGTGATTTTTTCTCAGTGCCAACGGACGAGCATACAGTTGTTTTAGAACACCATGTTCCATTTCTAGCTTGTAGGAAGCGCCCTCGACGTTCATGACAACTGCAATGACGCTTCGAGGGGCACTGGACCTCTGTCAACATATGGTTTACGGATGGGAATATTATCTCCCACTTCAGCTTGTTTAAAATTAGTATCTGATTTTGTTAGCATCTTAGCACCTTGAGTTTGCAAGTTAGTATGAGCTGCTGACCTGTTGTCCATGATGTTTTGTTTATTGTGACACAATCTGCAAGAAATGTTCCCTTCGTACCCTTTGTCTGCTTCATTGGCTTTTCCGCATATTGTATCGTTGCCACAGGATCCGCAAGAATGGGCTGCACTACAATATTTTTTACAAACTACACATAATCTGTTGGCCATATTATTGTCACGCAACTGGTCTGGACGTTCCGGCACGGCAGTATATGTGTTAGCTGAGGATGTCGTTGCATTTATGACAACCTCCATTTCTTTTTCAATGTTCTCAGGTCTTCCTCGGTAACTAAATTATCGAGAGCCTTTCTTGGTAGATTTGAAGTGCTAAGTCTCACTTTTGCTTTGCATCCAAACAAGGCTTTGTTGTTGGATTCCTTGATGAAAAGAAAGGTTTTTCATAAATTAAATAAATTTGAGACTCTCGGCCCAATGAGCTGATTCATTTGTCTGCATCCATGTCATCATCATGTTTTGAACATCTTGGTTGGCACGTTCTATTGAACCTTGGCTTTGGCTATGCCTTGGTTTTGCGTGAACTAGTTTAAGTTCAGACCACGCGTTCTTTAGTTCAGAATTATTTTAACAGCCATCTGGTATGTCTGTATCTTGGTCTGACAGCCCTTTTGGTCCATGTCGCATGCATATAGAATGCTATACAAACAAGAGCCAAACAATACGTTACTCACAATGAAACCGCACCCAGGATAATGAAAACGCCATCACCACTTAGTCTAGATAGGACATTGGCCAGGACATCCCGGCCAATACGCGCATTGGCAGCCCAATATACGAAATACGTTCTCATTGCTAAGCTGTTCGGGCTTTGGCCAAGAGAGCCGGCCAATGCGCACATTGGCCGGCCAATTCGTGCTTCGGGCTTTGACCGTAACATATATATATATATATATATATATATATATATATATATATATATATATATATATATATATATATACAGTGCCCGGGGCATATGTACCCCCCTCCCCTCGCTAAGCCTCTGAACTGCAAAGATACTGAATTACAAATTAACAAATTAGTAATATAATAAATTAGTAATACACGTTTTCTATGCATACTACATTTGTATGTCTTTGTACACGCTTGTGTATAATATGTATTTCATTTTTTTTACTTTCTCGTATGTACGAAGTATAGAAAAAGTCTTGTAATCGTGCAAAAAACAAGTTAATAAAAAGTCTAGTGACAAATTAAGCGCAATTTCCTTAATTAATTTTTGTGACCGAACGAAAGGATATTTTTGAAAACTTTCTTCGGCAATATTGTTCTAAATTATGGCAGGAATCGATTGGTAAATGTTTCAAGTCGCTAAGTGGTCTGGTTGCCGAGATATGGGCAAAAAACTCGTATCTCCTCCTCAACGAAGCAATATCGAGGACTAGTTCCAAAAGCAAATATGTTAAGCAAGTTCCGAGGATGAATGTGGGCAAAAAAATTCCTGAAATTCCTTCCTGGATTCCCGGAAAAGCCAAAAAACCTCGAAAAAATGCAGGTTTTTGCTCTGTTTTAAAATGTTTAAGTGATTACATTTACAAATGGATTTAATATCATGTCTATATCCCGAGTTGCCACCCCCTGTTGTTTTATATAAGAATATTCGAGAATGTTTAGGGGAGATCACTCCCGGTTTATTTTCTGGATGTATTTAATTATTTTTATAGCTACGCACTGTGGGCTGAACATCGTCCTGTTTTTGTTTTTTTTTTATTTATAGGAAAATAAGTAACATAACAAAGCGACCAAATACTTTTTTAACGACATTTGTTTCCGCTACAAGCTCTTTACCTCGTATGGGTATATTACATTTGTAATCAAATGAATATAATTTAACATATTCCATACAAAATATACAACATTTAGTTTAAACTTTTTAAAAATAGAATAGAATCTCGCACAAAAAGAATTGCACACCAAGTGAACGCCAAATAAAATGTGTATAATAATGCGGAATATTATTAGTACTTTATAAATTCACATGCGTTTATTGAGAAATCGGAAATAGCCTAAATTACTACTTCTAGTCAACGGAAGTTACTCAAAATTTGAAAGAAGGCAGAGAATTAGATCTTTTACTTATATGTGAAATTTCATTTATCGATCTCTATCTGAAACAGTACTCAAGTTATAGGCTATTGAAAGTACAAATAGTTCCACTTCCGGTTCATAACTTTTAATTGGAATAGAAAAAGAACCCAATAAAAAATATCACCCACCAAATAAACTACTTAAGCACAATCAAATGTACAGCTATTCTTCTAATGGTGTCAGCTATCCTCCTCCTCCACACACACACAAACACACACACACTTACACACACACACACACACTTAGACTGTAGTATAAAAATTTGCTTGATGGAATATGTACATTTGTAAATTTCAAAAGTGGTTTCATCCATATCCACTTCGGTGGACAGTGTATTTGGTGTTATATCCCCCCTCCTAGCTTTTTGTCGAAAGGCTTCAATGTGTGCATCCACATAGAAAAAAAGCATTTAGGGGCTTAACTGTAACAGTATATTAATTCAAATGGAAAAATGATTGTATTTGTTAGTAAATTGATAAATTTGGTGTCACTCAGACCCAGACGTGGATTGACGTGTCATTTATTACAATTCTCAAGAAAACCTTTTTCTTTGAAACGTTTAGTTAGTGTAATCCCCCCCCCCCCCACCCCCACCCTATTCCCGGTCATAGCTTTAAACTGTGCATATATAATACTAACGATTTTCATCTATAGCCGGTTATAAATACAGATGGAATGATAATATATATATATATATATATATATATATATATATATATATATATATATATATATATATATATATATATATATATATATATATATATATATATATATATATATATATATATATATATATATATATATATATATAAAATTCTTTTTGTCATGGTGTCACCCGGTGCGGTCCGCACCCCCTCGCGACGCCCCCGCTTACACGTAAACGGACATCATCACCTACCGCCTACCAACAGAACCGAATGTCCCACCCACACACCCTGCCTACTACCTGGCTGTCTGTCTGTTTGTCCATACGCCAGTCTATAAATCTCAATATGATCCAAGTTCTATTATAGTTGGAATAACAGTTTTCCGATCAACTACAACTTCAAGCGAACTACAAATTTGCGTGCGGCGTCAAAACGGCCTATGACAAAACGGCCCAGTCACAACGACCCCGACAAATTGGCCCCAACTTAAGAGCCCCGTCAAATAATGGACCGCGTCATATAGACTCCCGACAAATAGGCGCCCGTCATTTAGGCTCCCGACGAATAGGCTCCCGTCATATACGCTTCCGACAAAATGGCTCCAGTTAATAAGGCTGCCGACATATAGGCTGCTGTCATTTAGTTTCTCGACAAAACGGCCCCCGTCATTACGACTCCCGACAAATAGGCTCCCGTCATTTTGGCTCAAATAGGCTCCTGTCAATTTGGCTCCCGACAAAAGGACCACTGACAATACGGTTTCCGCAGAGACTAAGTCTCCCGGCAAAACGGTCTCATTGAACATTACACCTGCCAGTAAGACACCTTCATCAATACTCTTTAGAGTTAGCTTAGCCAACACTCTTAAGTAATTCAACGTATGCATCTCTTGTTCGGCAGGCCTTATAGTTTATCTATTATAAGAAATAGTTTGTTTAGTTTTAAGGGTCATTTATCTATGACTTCCATAAATGAGTCGGTTATAAGCTGTTCCAACTCAGTTTGTAGGGAGAGGGGTCCACGCTGTAAATTCCTACCTGCAGTATGCTTTTAGGTTATCAAAACAAAATGCCATTATCCTGTAAACATAAGGTATATCATACATTTACACTTCTGTGCTAGCTTTTAAGCATCAGATCTTTACAGTTATAAGTTAAACATAATCAAAATTTTAGAATTGGTGGAATTTTGCTGTTAAGGGCTCAATTAGTTTGTGAATTGATGTTGGTTCATGAAAAACAATTTTATTCAGGCATTTAATTAAAAGAGGTTATAGTGGTAGTAGAGGTAGGACTTCTTCTTCGTTCTTAATTTTTTTTTATTGTTGGAAGGGATCGAGCCTTATCTGCCAGAGGGTTTGAACCAGTGTTTCTTCCAGACTTTTTGAGCTTTTGCCGACTCGACCACGCCTCCAACACAATTAAGGATACGTGTCAACTGGTTATGCGCCATTAAAGCCATTGACTCTGATTTCAGCCTGCTTTTCTTTTTTGATTTGCTTCCATAGCCTTTGTCCAACCAAGAACAAACTACAAGGCAGCAGTTGTTTGATTTTGGAGTTGTCTCTCCTAGAAGAGTGGCTGTCCCCAGCTAACGAGCCAATAGTGGTCATACGATTCATTTGTCTGGAGCCAAGATGCCGGGAGTTATTTTTTTGTCGGAAGCCAATATGTCGGGAACCCATTTGTCGGTAGCCAATAAATCGTGAGCCCATTTGTCGGGAGCCCTTGTCGGGAGCCAATATGTCGCGAGTCAATATGACGGGAGCCCATTTGACGGAAGCCTAGGGGCGGCGCTACCTATAAGGCGAACTAGGCGGTCGCCCAGGGCGCTGTCCATAGGGGGGCACCGAAATGGGTTGGAAAAACAAATTGAAAGTTTGAGTGGGGGGTGCAAATCGAAAGTTTGAGAGGGGGGGGGGGTGCAAATCGAAAGTTTGAGGGGGGGGGGGGGTGCAAATCGAAAGTTTGAGGGGGGATGCAAATCGAAAGTTTGTCCCCGGGCGCCGGGAAGGGTCGCTACGCCTCTGATAATACGGGGCACGAAAAAATTGCGGGGGGTGGGGTTTAATAAGTTTTGCCTAGGGCGCTAAATAACCTGGCGCCGGCACTGCGGAAGCCAATAAGTCGGGGCCCTTTTGACGGGGATATTTTGACTGGGTCGGTTTGTCGGGGGTCGATTTGACGGGGTCATAATAACGGGGCCATTTTGACGGGTCCGATTTGTCCCGAGCCGTTTTAACAGGGCATCACCAATTTGATATAGTATTAGGCAAATACTTATATATTACATTTCGTCATGGTACAGACACTCAAACAAATCGAAACTAAAACAATATATGAATAAAATAGAAACCATGTTTTTAACTTGTGTCCGACGCCCTAAAATTTCTAATGGCCCCCTCCCTGGATAAAAATTTTCTATCTGAAATAAATTCTGCCTCCAATACTAACTCAACTGTACCCTTACATAAAATTGAGATACTATTAGTAACCCGCGAGGATCTTCCGGAATTTATTCTGCGAAACAGTAGATAGTTGGCGGGAAGTAAATATTGTACAAGTCAACTGTTTACAGTTTAATAGGCCTAGTTTGCTTGTGTACACTAGACACTCGCTAATTTTTATAATACACTACAGCGTCGAAAACAAAATAATAACATTATTAAAATTGTTTGCTAAATTAACTCGCTTAATGGCATAAACTCTGAAAACAACATGCAAAAAGCAATAACGTGAGCTTCTCTTTAATAAAACTTTAATTTTTAATTTAATTCATTTTTTTTTAATGATGATGTGTGTGACTGTGTGTGGGTGTGTGTAAGCCTGTAGTACTGTAGTGTAAGGTAAAACTCCATTTTAGCGTATTTTATTCCCCGCTTCACGTTCACCTCCAGTTTAGCGTATTTTATTATAAACACAACCGAAACACACACAAACGTTAGGAAAACATTGGGCTTATTTATTTTATTTCTTTATGACTTTATGAATTTTTGTTTTAATTTTGATAGTTTACTTTAGTCAAAACTTGAAAAAAATCCAAATTTGGAATATTGAATGTGCTATATCGCTAATGTTCGTGTGTCAGTTAAGATATTCATGGGTGAAGTATGAAACTCAAAATTGCAAGGCGGTTAAGTTTGTACTTTTTCAAGTATCTCCCACGCATGATACTATAAATAAACTTTTATGAACTCACAATGACCCCAAATCTGAGGCCAACACCATTTCTAGATCTAATAGCTATTGCCCAAGCTATGATGTATGTTGATAATTAAAGTCAATATGAACTCACGGTGAACCCTCGATCGTGTAGGGATTTCTCTTGCTGACGATCACACTATTTAATTGAAACTGTACTGCTTTTGTATCTTTTTTTTTACCATTTCTAAATAAAACTCACATTCATGAAAAAATATATGCAGATCTACCTCTAATCTTTGTGTTTCCCTAACGTTTTTGTATGTTTGGGTTGTGTTTATAATAAAATACGCTAAACCGGAGGTGAACGTGAAGCGGCAAATAAAATACCCTAAAATGGAGTTTAACAGATGTGTAAATTAATCGGTAATCTATCGTTTTGGGTGCGTAAAATCGTCAGAGGCTAGTTATGTGGGAAAAAGTTGCCTATTTGTTAAGGCTTTAATAGAAATATAGTGATATATCTGTGTCAAATATTATAGATGACTGAATAATAAACCAAAATCAATGGCTAAATGAATGATGAAAACATTGCTAGTCTTTATTTTTTACTGAAAAGTTTTATTACTTTTGAACAGGTACATTAATGAAACTTTGAAGCATTTTTGTAACTTTCAAAACATAGGCTAAATCCTCCTAAAAATGTGAAATAATTACTAAAATTTAATGAGTCACCTTTTTTTCACATTACTTCTAGGCCTAGGCGATATTACATACCTGAAACGATAGATTACCCATTTTTTAGATCTAGTTTCTCTGTTGACAATTGAAAATAATACCTACTAAATAGTAAATAGGCCTAGTGCCCTAGTAGATCTAAATAGATTTATTATATAATTTAATAGCATACCCTTAGCCAAGATTTATTTATTATTATTAGTAGGCCTATTAAACATAAAATGATAAAAATTTGTGTTAGGTCTAGGGGTGTTGGAAAATTGCGAGACGCGAATGGCGAGGCAGTAAACTGCAAGAAGGGCTCGAAACCGCCGGTCACGTGACATTTTTGCCTAGCATTTTACCTCCACACGATACTTATGGTAGGATGCGAAGCTGTCAGCTAAAAATTTTAATGCGACCGATTTACAGTGATATTTGATGCAGACTTCGTAGATGTTTCGTTTACATTGTTTAAACTTCAGATTTTTCCGGCTCTAGACATTCTGATGATTTGTCAACTTGCGAAATACTGCTGACGATAGATCAGCTTCCTTTTGTGTAAAACACAGAGGACGCAAAGTAATTTTGTTTTATTACGTAGCAGGATGAACCCCCCGGTGTAGCATCAACTCAACCAACCAGCGGGTTTGTTTCATTGAGTTAAATATAAACTCAAAGCAATAATATATTTAATAGGTCAGACCACATAGCACACACGCATGTTGTTTTGTGTCGAGACTTAATAAATTTCAACTAATAAACTAAATAAATAAACTATCTCCCTTTATTTTCTTTAGCGATAATTAAATTAACTAATAAATTTAAGAAATGAGATTGCAAATTTGCTGTATAATTTATTTTTACTATTAAAGAAACAACTACATTGTTTCAATACCACCAGCTCCCTTTCTTGAATCAAACGTTAATTATTATTTTTTAAAGTGCCGTGTAGGAGAGGGTAGAGGGGTTGGGGCAGGGCCATATACTCATTGAAACAGAACGTTGCGGCATGCAGGTATACTATTTCCCCTCAAAAACTCAAGGCAGTGTGATATTACACTGCCTTGAGTTTTTGATGTGTCTTTCTAGTTTCTGAGGAACTTCACTGTGACCCCACAAACGGCAGTTTATTTTTTTATTTTCTCGCGCAGTTTAGAAAACGTGAATGGGCGAAAAGCAGACGACAATGTTTAGAATTTTGAATATCTAGGTATAGATTTTTAAAAATAGCCTAAAATAATATTCTCTTTATGACTCACACTGATCCGTCTATCCAGACTGGATTTTTCTCCTGCTGACAAGAAAACGAGAGGGGGCGGTCATAGGATGTTAAGATATTTGAATTTAAATATATATAAAAAAAATCAAAACTACATTTTAAAAAAGAACAACACACAACATTTGTGATATATCAGCTTCTTTAGTTAATAACTATAAAAAAAAAAAAAAACATCAAACAAATCCCCCCCCCCCCCCCCAGGTATGTCTCGCATTTTCTTCTCGCAGTTTACCCCTTCGCCGTTTCACGTCTCGCAATATCCCAACACCCTAGGCCCAGGGCAGGCCTAATTGGCTAAGTAATAAGCTAATATTACAAATCAAAAGGCACTATGAATTGAAAACATATGTGTACTATCAGAGACAGGAACTTATGTTGATGTCTGTTCCTTATGTAATGTTCAAGTGCAATTTTTATTTTTTTACTAAATTTTTTTCTTTCACATTATAGGTCATTTTTTTCAAAAGCACCTCAAAAAAAGGTTGCAGAAAACACTGTAAATGGCAAAGACAAATCAGAGTCAACAAAACAAGTTGAGGTAAAGCCAAAGGAAGACAAAGAACCACAAAAGAAGAAAGATGAACCCAAAGATAGGTACTGTAACTATAGTTGTTAACAATTAAAATACAAATCTCAGACAGCTATATGTTGTTAATTCATATCTTATTTGCTGCATGCTCTGGTGGTATTTTGTTTTTACATTTTTATGTAATATATATTGTACATTTGCTTTTGCTATGCAGCCAATAAAACACATTTTTTTGAAAAATGAAATGTTAAAATTTTCATCAACTTAAAATGTTTCAAATACATGCTTAAAAATTCTGCTCTTAGATTTTAAAAATAAAATTGAAAATTACAGTTTTACTATCTTGTACTTAAATTTTAAAGTAACTAAAGTTACTATTAAATTCTATTTTAAATTCTTGCATCTAGGATTTAATTTGTTTTAATATTTATCCAACAAAAGAACTAAAAAGTCTCCAGCTGCCTCTACAAAAAAAAAGGCATCGGATGCAGGGAAGAAAGAAAGTCCAAAAGTTGAGAAGAAAAAGAAAGCTACTCCTGTTGAAAATGAGAAAGAAAGCCCACCAGTAAAAAACAAGAGAAGTCCAGCAGTAAAAAATAAGAAAGAAAGCCCACCTGTAAAAAATAAGAAAAGTCCAGCAGTAAAAAATAAGAAAGAAAGCCCACCAGTAAAAAATAAGAAGGAAAGCCCCCTAGTAAAAACTGAGAAAGATACCCCATCAGTGAAAAATAAGAAGGAAAGCCCCCTAGAAAAAACTGAGAAAGATACACCATCAGTGAAAAATAAGAAGGAAAGCCCTCCAGTAAAAACTGAGAAGGATAATAGCTCCCCATTAAAAACGCCTGTCAAGAAAACTGTAAATTCGATAGAACAGGACTCTCCTATTATAAAAAGGAAGCGAGTTAACAAAGCTAGAGTCATTGCCAGTGATGATGAAGATGATCTCAATGATAGTGAAACAAACGAGAATGAAACTGTGAGCCACTTAAATGAAAATAAATCTGAAGAAGAAAGCAACTCTAATGAGGAAAAGCTAGATAAAACACCCTTAAAAAAGGTAATTTGTTGTGTAAGTTTTCATTAGTTTGTTTAACACAACACTGGTAGTTGCATTTATTTCACATGAGAGTACTCTGTATATTAAAATGGTGCTTTGAACTAGAATAACATTAGCGCTAACAGCATTGTTTGGTTGCTCAGGTCACAAGCAACTGTGCAGGAACGCAAACACCGGACGATGACTGTACTGTAACTCCTGAGAAGACACCTGGTGGCTTCTATAAACGTAGAACAGGTAATAGCTTGTTTAGATTATTTTATTATATGCACACTTGAAATGCTATTAATTAAATAAAGCTTAAAATTTCTTATTCCAAGACAATGTCATTTTTAAAATCTAATTCATGATGGAGGAGAAAGATTATTTCGTTGGTTTAAAAAAAATATATTTATGAAAATTATTATGTCACGGTTAATGTTTGTATTACTATCTTTTATTTTTGGTTGACAGCAAGAAAAAGCATTAGTACACCAGCTGCAGGGAAGCGCAAGTCAGATGTGCTGTCTCCTGACGTGGCATCCACTGCCAGCAAGAAGCTGAAGGACAGCAGCTGGGGTTCTGACAGTGACGACAGGCCTGAAGGAGGAAAAAGTAACCAGGTTAAGTCGAAGACTGAGATCAAACTCGCAGAACGTAAAGAGGAAAGGGTGGAGGAGGACATGGACACAGAGGTAAAACCCTAGCTTTGGTCAGGGCTGTTGTCTGTTGGTTGTTATTGGTGCTAATAACCTTTCATTTGTCTAAAAATGATTAGTCAAAGAAATATTGTTATTGGTGCTAATAACCTTTCATCTGTCTAAAAATGACAAGTCAAAGAAATATTGTTATTGGTGCTAATAACCTTTCATCTGTCTAAAAATGACAAGTCAAAGAATTATTGTTATTGGTGCTAATAACCTTTCATCTGTCTAAAAATGACAAGTCAAAGAAATATTTGCTTTGCGTTTTATTTTTACCAACTTCAAACAAAGTAAATTCAGAAAGAATATGGAAAAATTATATTTTGTATAAGGAATAGATAAATAAATGGAGGGAATTTATTTTATATATCTTCAAAGCTAGATTATGTGTTAAGTTTAATGTGAATGTAAACATAAACAGTTTAATTTTTTTGTTTTTATAAAATGAAGGATACAGTAGAGGATAAAGCTGGAACTGAAACGCCTAATAATGAAATTAAATCTGAGAAAAAAAATGGCAAAGTTGAAAAAAAATCATCAATTAAAACAAAACGAAAACTGCTAGAGGAGGATAAAGAAACAAACCAAAAAGAAAAGAAAAAAACTGTTATCAAGGAAGAGAAGACAGCTGGTAGGTTTTCCATGTCTTTTTGTTGTGACCCCTACATTTCAAAGTTGTAACTTTTCTGCTTTTTAACAGAAGTTCACTATTTTCTTCTAAAGGAAAAACCCATCGGGAAAAAAATTAATTTATTTTTTGCCAAACAACTTTTTCCTAAAAATTTGACAGCTTTTTTACAGATGCATTTTTTAATGTTGAATTTTAAACGTTTTATGTAGGAAACAAAAATGTGCAGAGACAGGCGCAGTACTCTTAATGTTAAATGTACAATATTTACTGACACTTTAACAACAGGCTTCTTTATAACCTACATCTTGCCTGCTTGTTATGGTTGCACTGATAGTGAGGCTTACAGCTTGCGACAATGCAAGCAGTCGATTTCATGCAGTCTCAATACTAGCCTACATTGGCTATTATTAAAATATCTATTTTAATTTAGAGTTAATTAGCATTAAGGTTAAAAAGAAAACAATATTGTTTAGGTGTGACACGTTCGGGGGCATTTTTGACTGAGGTGAAGGGGGGAAGGTTATTAAATAAATAGAAGATTAATGTAGCTAGTGTAAGATAAAATAATAAAAAAAAATTATAATAATCTGTTACCACAAGCTGTCAAAAATCACATTTCTATTGTTGTAATGTATTCTTCTAGAAGTGCTTAAAAAAATTGTGAAATACAAAAAAATTGTTTGAGAAATGTGAGCAGCCACACTGAGCAGATCCTTCCCCACCACCCAGCATGTACAACAATTTAGCTTTTTTTATCTGTGAACAATTTTTTATTGGCTGATAATAGTCAAAGCTTTAAATATCAGATGTTCAGCTAAAAATGGTGTAACAATTTTTTATTGGCTGATAATAGTCAAAGCTTTAAATATCAGATGTTCAGCTAAAAATGGTGTAAAAAAAAGGCCCCATCCTGTTTATAAGTATATGTTGTAGTTGCTAATTTTTAAAATTTTTATTAAGTGTTTGATAAATTAGTTTTATGTAACTTAACAGCATTGCTCTTTTTTTTTTCTGTAGATGACAAAACCAAACCTGGCAACACTCCTGTGCACAGTTTTTTTGGTGAGTTCCTGGTTTAGTATGACATTGTGACCTTTTGTGTTTCTGATTTGATGTTGTATAGGTTGTGTCAGATTTTATGGGTTGTGTTCCTGATTAAGTTTTAAGTAACATGTTTGGTTAAAGTTTTAAATGTTACCCCTTATGTTCCAATTGATTTATAATCTGCAACAACAAACCCTTCAGCACCAAGAAACAATTCTAAGGGAGACAAACCAGCTGATACACTACCTAAGGGAGACAAACCAGCTGATACACCATCTAAGGGAGACAAACCAGTGGATACATCAACAAAGGGAGACAAACCAGTGGATACATCTGCAACACCACCAGGCAAGAGCAAAGGGTAAGTAAAATTTATTTTCTTTGTGGTCTATGTGGCCAATTAAAGTAGAACTGAATAGTCCTGCAGTGGCCATTATTCATCGAAACGACTATGGTGTAGTTTGTGCTGGGGTGTAGTTTGTGCCTGATAACTTTAGATCAGGCACTGTCAGTTGTTGGGATGGGAAATATGGAAGAAATTATTTTGTGTAGTCTTTAGTCTGCATGGCTATAGTGGGATTGGGAGGGGGGATTTGAATGAAATATTTGTTTTTAATAGCTGTGATGGTGGTGAGGGGATATTAAAATGTTTTTCTTATGGTCTGCATTACTGTGTGGATGTATGATGTGGGGGGGGGGGGGGGAATGAAATGTTTAAGGGCATGGGCTGGTGATTAATACCCAATTAGCCAAAATGCTTATTTATATACCTAATGATATCATATCTAGCACATAGTTAAAACCAATGATTTAAGTTTTAAAATGGCCAAAAATTTCAAAATTTCTGAGTGCTACAAAACAATTGCTTGTATTAACACTTTTGTCTGGTAAATCTGAATCGGAACATTTTAACTTAATTGTAAGCAGTTAAGATTTGTCTTTTTTTTATGCTGAATCAGTTACACCAAATATATTTTCAGTTGTCTCCCTTACACATATTGCTTTCTTATACCTATAGCCTATATGACAATATGGGACTCCCTTTACATTAATAACATACAATGTGGCAAAATAAAATTGTCTTTTAGTTATTATATTTTTCTATAATACAGGAGCGTAACTTGGGTAAATACTACCCATATAATAATATAACTAATCTATCATATTGTAAAACAGCAATCAATCAATAAAATTTTGAACTAAATATGGTTTAAATGGACAATTTTTAAACAGTAACTTGAAGTTGATAGTTCCAAAAAGTATTTCTATATTATATACCTTTTAACATTTTAACTAATAATGATGAATGAAATACTGAAAATTTTTATAACATTTTGTTATAGTAGTTATATTGAAGGAAGTTGTAAAAACAGCTATAAAAATGTCGGCAAGGCTTATATTTATTCTAAAGATCTGCAAGATAAACTTTTCAAATAGATGTATGTGCTGATGTGAGGTCCTAGTGAAATACTGGGGTTTGGGCGAACTACTGGGCCTGTCCATTCAGCTGTAGGCAGCTGGAAGAAAGAAAATACTAGAGTCAGATGGTGGTGGCTGCACAATTTCTAGATGGTTCTTACTTTTTTACATGCATTCTACAGATGAAAAATTATATGACGCAAATGTGGTCTGTCACACACCCTCACTACATTAAAGACGACGGCTATTACAATTTAACACGAAAACAACAATACATAATCTTTCGACTTAGAACAGGCCTCAACAGACTAAATCAACACATGCACAAAAAACTGAAGGTTGGGTGTAGCGAAATGTGCTCTTGTGGCAAGGCCCCGGAAAACACGGAGCACGTACTCCAGGAATGTACTCTGTATGGCCGGGCAAGAGTCAGACACTGGCCCCAGCCCACCCCACTCAGGGAAAAATTATATGGGACACCTGACAAACTGGAAACCACAGTCCGGTTTGTCCACGAAGTTGGACTTGTTGTCTGAATCCTCCACCATATTCAAAAATTAAGAACGAAGAAGAAGAAGAAGATATGACCTCATTTACTAGTGACTCCAAGGTTGCAGGAGTCACTCTGTTTAAATACTGACTCCAAGGTTGATAGGAGTTACTCTGTTGGTAACTGATGACTCCATTATTAGCATATGACAAGGCAGCCCATTCACCATTGTTACTTAGTTACTCCAAGGTTGGCAGGAGTCAGCCCATTGTTACTTGGTTACTCCAATGTTGGCAGGAGTCAGCCCATTGTTACTTAGTTACTCCAAGGTTGGCAGGAGTCAGCCCATTGTTACTTGGTTACTCCAATGTTGGCAGGAGTCAGCCCATTGTCCCATTGTTACTTAGTTACTCCAAGGTTGGCAGGAGTCAGCCCATTGTTACTTAGTTACTCCAAGGTTGGCAGGAGTCAGCCCATTGTTACTTGGTTACTCCAAGGTTGGCAGGAGTCAGCCCATTGTTACTTGGTTACTCCAAGTTTGGCAGGAGTCAGCCCATTGTTAGGTGGTTACTCCTAGGTTGACAAGAGTCAACCCATTGTTACTTGGTTACTCCAAGTTTGGCAGGAGTCAGCCCATTGTTACTTGGTTACTCCAAGGTTGGCAGGAGTCAGCCCATTGTTACTTGGTTACTCCAAGTTTGGCAGGAGTCAGCCCATTGTTAGGTGGTTACTCCTAGGTTGACAAGAGTCAGCCCATTGTTAGGTGGTGACTGGAATGAGTCTGTTACTGTTGCTGTAAGATCCTCAGGCTAAAAAGACAAAACTTTTGAAGAAATGGGCAGTAGCATAGCCAGGATCGTTTCATGGCTAACACCCCCTAACACCCCCTGCCTACGACACTGGAAATGGCTCATTGAATCAGATGCTTGGACATTCTATCTAGTCCCACTCACACCTGTTATTTTGAGTATATTTAGTCCCATACACCTGGTATTTTGACCAGCCCCCATACACCTGGTATTTTTACCAGTCCCCCCATACACCTGGTATTTTGACCAGTCCCCCAATACACTTGGTATTTTGACGAGTCCACCCCCCCTACACCTGGTATTTTGACCAGTCCCCCCTACACCTGTTATTTTGACCAGCCCCCATACACCTGCATTTTGACCAGCCCCCCTCCCTACACCTGTTATTTTGACCAAAGGTTAATCTGTATTTAAGAGCAACGTTTTGCTGTAGATAAAATATTTGTGTAAGTTACGCTTTCTGGCCTGACTTAATAGGGAAGGTAAAGTAGAGTTTATGTGGTCAGTACTATGCCACCATGACTTTCCCTTACGTAAGTCAGGTACCTGACTGTCAATTGGTAAGATAAAGTAGAGTTTATGTGACTATAACGTATACAGCAACAGTGGTCAGTACTATGTCAGCCGCAATGACTTTCCCTTACGTAAGTCAGGTACCCATCAGAGCTGGGTGGACTCAGGCCACTCCATTCAGTTCAACTCTGTGGACATTTCACCTTAACGTATTCTGCGATGCTCTTAGAGCTTTTGTAGACAAATGCAAATAACGACAATAGAATATGTAATATGTGCATATTGGGGCTCTCTATTTGATATAAAACACGTGCATGTTGGTACTCTGTACGACATACACCATGATAAAAACCCTCTAGCCATACACTGTTAAAGAAAACTGGGATAATTTAACTTAACAAACAGTTTAGCACCAACAGTTACATGAGCATGTTTAATTTTTTTTTTTAAAGTTACCTTTCCAACGTGCCTAAATTGTACTTGAATTGTTAAGTCCTGATGTTGATGGAAGTGACGAGGTATGGGAACAAAATATTGAGTTCCTGCTTGAGTGAGTTTTTGTGAGTGCCCCAGACCTGGGCAGAAGCTGAGAACCGCTGTTGATTAATGGCACTGTCTGACGACAAGACAGGGACCGCTCTTCTAATGGAATTTTCCTCTCATTTCAAACAACTCGCTTAACCCACACATCTCAGCGCGGGCATTTTCTTCTGTTTATAAATACATTTCTCCACCCCGCCAAAACTGACAGTATAGAACCGTTTACCCCCCCACCCCTTGTCGAAACTTTGATTTTTCTCGCCCCCACCCCCACGGGACCCCCCCTTCCCTCCCTCGAGACATCATCGCCATCTACTAGACGCCAATAATCTCTAATCAATTGCGCAAGGAAACGTCTAGATTTCACCCGTGGGGTTTTCTCTCGACTGTATATCGTTTGGGTGGCTTCCCTTGACTGTATATCGTCCTTAAGGTTTACATAAAAAACTTGGATAAAAATTTTTTTCTGTCACTAGCTCGATTTTTTTTTAGGTTTTTATATCTTCGGGTTGAAAGTTCTGTATTTTATTTAAAAAATTTGTATCTAAGGAAATCTTAAGCAATTGTTTTGGGGTTTTAAATTTGAAAACTGTGGACCCGGTTTAACAACGGCGGTCAATGCCCGAATATAGCGCACAGTATGGTGGTACCACTGGTAGACTATTTACATAACAAGTATGACAACATACGTCATCAGTGTCACATGACCACATACGCCATCATATTGTCACATGACCACATACACCAACATATTGTCACATGACCACATACACCATCATATTGTCACATGACCACATACACCATAATAATCACATGACCACGTACACGACCATATTATCACATGACCACATACACCATATTGTCACATGACCACATACACCAACATAATGTCACATGACCACATACACCATCATATTGTCACATGACCACATACACCATCATATTGTCACATGACCACATACACCATCATATTGTCACATGACCACATACACCATCATAATGTCACAGGAGCACATACACCATCATATTGTCACATGACCACATACACCAACATAATGTCACATGACCACATACACCATCATATTGTCACATGACCACATACACCATCATATTGTCACATGACCACATACACCATCATAATGTCAAATGACCACGTTCACCATCATATTGTCACATGACCACATACACCATCATATTGTCACATGAGCACATACACCACCATATTGTCACATGACCACATACACCATGAGACTGCCACACGACCACATACACCATCATATTGTCACATGACCACATACACCATCATATTGTCAAATGACCACGTACACCACCATAATGTCACATGACCACATATACCATCATATTCTCACATGACCACATACACCACCATATTGTCACATGACCACATACACCACCTGAGTGTCACATGACCACATACACCATCAGTGTCACATGACCACATACACCATATTGTCACATGAGCACGTACACCATCTTGCTGACCGTCACTGACCACCATTTGAACAGGACCACAACAACCAGTGAACGATTTAACCTAACCACAACAAACGTAGATCTAACCCACAAAGA